AACTAAAGAGCTTGTATTGAGACTGCTGAAATAGTCTCTAGTTATGTCATATATATAATATTATGCTTTTGTTATTTTGAAAAATAATGTTGTTTTAACAACAATTTAATGTATAATTATTGTGTGTTTTCCTTTTATGAATAAAATTTACTTTCTTTTTATTGATGTTTATCTTAATCACAGAAATGGATAAAACAATCTCCAAGGAAATGGCTCGAGAAATTTGTATACCAGATAGTGGGACAACACACACTATTCTAAAGGACAAAAGATATTTCTCTAACTTAAAACCGACAAACATGATTGTCAATACAATATCAGGTCCTGTAGACGTGATTGAAGGAACTGGTATGGCCAACTTTATGTTGCCTAATGGAACCAAGTTTTCCATAAAAAATGCCTTGTATTCTCCAAAATCTAAAAGGAATTTGTTGAGTTTCAAAGACATATACCTTCAAGGATATGATACTCAGTCTGCAACTGAGAATGAAAAGAAGTATATGTACATAACTTCTGATAAATCGGGAAAAAGGCTTATATTGGAAAAATTTCCAAAACTTCCTTCAGGATTGCATTATACTCATATAAGTGCAATCGAATCGCATCTAGTGATTAAAAGAAATCCAGAAGATTTCACATTATGGCATGATCGCCTCGGTCATCCAGGCACCTCGATGATGCGAAAAATCATAGAGAGCACACATGGACACCCATTGAAAATCCAGGAGATATATCATGGGAATAAAAAGACATGTGCCGCATGTTCTCTTGGAAAACTTATCATAAGGCCATCGCCAACCAAAATTGATAAAGAATCACCAAAATTCCTTGAACGAATTCAAGGAGATATTTGTGGACCAATACATCCACCATGTGGACCATTCCACTATTTCATGGTATTAATTGACGCATCCAGCAGATGGTCACATGTTTGTCTATTATCATCTCGAAATATGGCATTTGCAAGATTTCTAACTCAAATAATCAAACTGAGGGCTCAGTTTTCTAATTACCCTATTAAAAGAGTTAGACTAGACAACGCTGGTGAATTCACATCCCAAGCTTTTAATGATTATTGTATGGTAACGGGAATTGAAGTAGAACATCCTGTAGCTCATGTTCATACACAAAATGGTTTGGCTGAATCTTTAATTAAACGCCTGCAATTAATTGCAAGACCATTGATCATGAGGTCAAAACTCCCAACCTCTGTATGGGGACACGCTATTTTGCATGCTGAAGCACTCATCCGAATGAGACCAAGTGCATATCATAAATATTCCCCATTACAACTAGTATTTGGTCGTGAACCAAATATTTCTCATCTAAAGATTTTCGGTTGTGCGGTATATGTGCCTGTAGCACCGCCACAACGTACAAAGATGGGACCACAACAAAGGTTAGGGATATATGTGGGTTATGATTCTCCATCCATTATAAGGTATTTAGAACCTCGAACTGGTGACCTCTTTACGGCACGCTTTGCTGACTGTCATTTTGATGAAAAAGAGTTCCCAGTTCTAGGGGGAGAAAGCAAACAAGTAGGAAAGATATAAAGTGGAGTGTACCATCTTTGTTACATCTTGATCCTCCTACAAAACAGTCGGAACTGGAAGTTCGACGAATTATGCACTTACAAAGTATAGCAAATCAATTACCTGATGCTTTTGCAGATACTAAAACGATAACCAAATCACATATTCCAGCTGCAAATGTTCCTGCTCGGATTGAAATTTCACAAGAACATGGAAAAGCAGACGATACACGTGAGTCTAGAACACGCCTGAAGCGTGGTAGACCAGTTGGTTCTAAGGATAAAAATCCTAGAAAGCGAAAGGAAGCTGAAAAGCTAGAAACGAATCATGAGTCTAATGACAATGATGAGCATCATGAGCCTGAAGGAAATCATGAGATTTCTATCAACTATATCCATAATGGAAAGATCTGGGATCGAAATAAAATGGATGAAGTCGATGACGTTTTCTCATACCTAGTAGCAAAAGAAATAAATGAGGAAAACGAAGATCCAGAACCACAGTCTGTATATGAATGTCAAAAGAGACACGACTGGATAAAATGGAAGGATGCCATCCAAGTCGAACTTGATTCACTTAATAAGCGAAATGTATTCGGACCTATTATACTCACACCTGAAGATGTGAGACCGGTTGGATACAAGTGGGTTTTCGTTAGAAAACGAAATGAGAAAAATGAAATTACGAGATACAAGGCTCGTCTAGTAGCTCAAGGATTTTCTCAAAGACACGGGATTGATTATGAGGAAACATATTCCCCCGTTATGGATGCAATAACGTTTAGATTCTTGATGAGTCTAGCGGCTGATAAAAATTTAGAAATGCGTCTCATGGATGTTGTTACAGCATATTTGTATGGATCATTAGATACAGATATCTATATGAGAGTTCCCGACGGGTTTAAGATGCCAGAAGCATTGAAATCTAAACCCAAAGAGTTATGTGCAATAAAGTTACAAAGATCATTATATGGGTTAAAGCAATCTGGGCGAATGTGGTATAATCGTCTCAGTGAACATTTAACGAAAGAAGGATACGTAAACGATCCTATATGCCCATGTGTTTTCATCCGGAAAACAAAATCCGGATTTGTGATAATCGCGGTATATGTTGATGATCTAAATATAATTGGGACTCAAGATGAAATACAGAAAGCAACAAACTATTTAAAAGGGGAATTCGAGATGAAAGATCTCGGACAAACAAAGTTTTGTCTTGGCCTACAAATTGAACATTCCCAAAAGGGTATATTTGTGCACCAATCCACGTATACTAAAAGAGTGCTAAAACGATTCAACATGGATAAGGCAACTCCTCTTAGTACTCCTATGGTCGTTAGATCACTTAACGTTGAGAGTGATCCATTTCGACCGCATGAGGAAAATGAAGAGATACTTGGTCCTGAAGTACCGTATCTAAGTGCAATTGGAGCCCTTATGTATCTTGCGAATTATACAAGACCTGATATATCATTTGCCGTTAATCTTTTGGCAAGATTCATTTCATCTCCTACGAGAAGGCATTGGAATGGGATTAAACATATCTTCCGATATCTTCAAGGGACGATAAATTTAGGATTATTTTATCCAAAAAATTCAAAAGGGCAAATGGTTGGTTTTGCAGATGCGGGATACTTATCAGATCCACATAAAGCCCGATCACAGACTGGATATGTCTTTACAATCGGAGGCACTGCTATATCCTGGCGTTCCCAGAAGCAAACGCTTGTGGCTACTTCTTCAAATCATGCTGAAATCATTGCACTTCATGAAGCAAGTAGAGAATGTGTATGGTTGAGATCAATAAGCCAACACATACAATCAAGCAGTGGGATCAACACAAATAAAGAGCCAACCATCCTATATGAAGATAATGCTGCATGCGTTGCCCAAACGAAGGAAGGATATATCAAAAGTGATAGAACCAAACATATCCCTCCGAAATTCTTTTCATACACCCAAGAACTTGAGAAGAATAAAGACATTGAAGTCAAATATGTCCGATCATGTGACAATGCTGCAGATCTTTTCACAAAATCACTACCTACCTCGGTGTTCAAGAAGCATGTCTATGCTATTGGAATGCGCCACCAACGAGATCTGTAAAGTTGATCACTCGAGGGGGAGACTACGTCGTTGTACTCTTTTTACCTACTAAGGTTTTTCCCACTGGGTTTACTTAGAAAGGTTTTTAACGAGACAACAGAAGACATTACACAAGACAATAGTGACACTGGTCTCCAAGGGGGAGTGTTACAAATGTCAAAGAAGTCAGGCAGCCACAATCAAAGAAGTCAGGCAGCCGCAATTGTTTACGTAAAATGTGTGGAGCCCACCGTCACTATGCGTGCATAGTAACTTATCTTTTTCTCTATAAATAGAACGTTAAACGTTCATTGTAAAATCACAATTGATACTTCAACAATAAGAAGTTATAAGAAATCTCTCTCCTCCTCTCATCTTTTTATTTTCAGTATCCCGATCCTTCTGAGGGTATAAATTCTTTCTCCATTATTTATATTTATATACACCATAAAATAAAGTAATTATTATAACAATATGTACATAATGATTTATAACATTAAAAAAATCAAAAGTAAATAAGTGGCTATTGTCCACTGCGTTTTTCGGTTGGACCGCAGGGTAAGGACCTGACTTCACTTTGAAATGCGGTCCATGCTTTTTATCCCTTTTTTGAAATCCGCAGTTTACTTTTTTTTTTTTTTTTTTTTTTAAAACACATATTTCTGAGAAGGTGTTGAATGGTAACATAGGTGCGGTTTTCAATAATAAAAAATGAAAAACGCCAAAACACTTTCACCATTCACTACCATAATATATTAGTAATATATATACTTGTAATAACATAAGTGTCTAAATTATTTGGATATTAAGATATTTTCGGTTGTTTTAGCTACTTTTGGTTAGATTCAGGTATAAAGTACTTAAAATTTAAAGACTTTTTGAGTATTTTCAATACTTTGCATAGAATCGGATACAAATTTTTTAATATTTGGATACTTCGGATAAATCCGAATCCGAACCCGAAATACCCGATCCGAACCGGAAGTTTTAAAATACCCGAACGGGTCTTAGTTTTCTAAATCCGAAAAACCCGACCCGAACCCAACCCGAATATCCGAACGCCCAGGCCTGATATACCTTTCGAAGGGAAGTAAAATACTTAACCACTCTGACACAATGGCTTAAATTAAACTCTAGCTTCATCAACTTTGAGCCATGAGCCAGACATGCTCATATGAGATCGAATGTTCTCTCATTTAGACTAATGCATCAGTCTGTCGTGGCAAAATAGATGGAAGGAATTAAAAAAAACATTAACGCCCATGCAGGTCTGAGCATATATACCCATCAAACAATCATATTAAACCTCTAATTTTCCGAGGCTTGGGGTATGAGGATATGGAAAAGATTTGTGGAGCCAGTCTTGTATATTTATATAAAAATAATTAATTTCAATAGATTTTCTAGGTAAATAAAGCAAAATATTTGAGAGTCCACAATTACATGATAAACAAATTAGGTCAAATTTAAAATTTTTACTCAACATTGCACTTAGCCTCATATTTGTCAGGCCTGACCTTGAAGCCAGGGGCAACGAAAATGGCAAGTGCATTGGTGACGACATGTAGCCTCTGTACGATTCCCTTTCCACTTCTGCCTACATTTAGACTCATATTCTTCGATGATACATTTCCCAGTTTGGTTAGGTAAAGGTCTAGAACACCATGTTTGTTTCACTTGTCTTCTTTGATCCACTCCTGATACTGTTATATATAAACATAAAATCTCAATTTTAGTAATTAAAAGTGAAGAACATTTTCTAGTAAAATATAGATGTTTTGCAGATTTTATATATTGCATATTAATAACATATTTACAATTGCAGTTTTTCAAATTTTGATTATTAAATTCACAAAAAATAAATCTTATTATTTTTCATACATAACATTATAAGAACTAAGTCTCTTACAAAGGGGTAGTTTAAAATTTTCATATCATTTAACTTAAAAAATAAATATTAATGAAACAAAAAAATATATCTTGACATATTTATTCAAAAAAAAAAAAACTTTGAATATTTTTGACAAATAGATACAATTGTAACTAAAAAGAATATAGAGGTATCACATAAAATTACTTTAAAAGCTAAAACTATAGAGTATTAATATTTACTAAATGAAAAAAGAGTGTGATACATTTATATATGCGGCACAAGACGACTATCATTGATAATGAAAAAAAAAAGCAAAGAAAATATGTTGAAGCAATTTCCATCAAAATATTTATTGCTAATATAATAAGCTCATATGTATGTTTATAAAATGAAGGAATTAACCAAAATATGTAAAAAAGTTTCAAATATACGTTTTGGGTATCTATTTTCTAGGTCTAGCATAAAACTCGATATAATGTAATTGGATAATAAATTTTCATTTTGAAAATTTTTTTATATAACATAAATGATTATTTTCTTAACATAAGGTATTTGTATTTACTTCTCTTAAAAAGATCAGGTTAAATGTAAAATGAGACAAACCTATCACAAAAAGGATGAAGAGAGTTAGAACGGTAACGAGAAAAGAAAGTTCTTTTTCATCTTAGATGATATAAATAATTATCTTGTGTTTTTTTCTCTGAAAATTGATTATGTTTAAAGAATACAATAAAAAAGACGAAAATTTAAATATAAGAAATTGGGTGTATCCCTCATTATGAATATCTATCTTAAGCTATTTATCTCCTTAAATTCAGGTTCAGCTTTCTGCTCATTTGGTAGGTTAAAAGCTTTAGAGTGGCTCATATTTTTAGAAATTATTTTCCAAATAAAGTAAAAACACTGACTTCATAAAATTCATATCTAATTTAAAGTATATATACTAAAAATGGCAAAGATATTCAAAATTAGCAATTTGGTTTTCATTAAAAAGGAAAGTTAATTTAGAACGAAACAATTGAAATAGGTTTCTAAAATCCTCTTTATGGCGTGTCTCTTTTCAAAAATGTCCTTTCAACTGTCCATTTAGAAAATCCTCTTTATGGTGTGTCTCTTTTCAAAAATGTCATTTCAACTGTCCATTTTCTAAAATGTCTCTCGTTAAATCTGAAAAGTTTATAAAGTTTATAAGGTACTTCTGGATGGTAACCACTACTCAGAGACTCGATCCAAGTATTTATAGAGTAGTTTATAAATTTTATAAGGTGTTTTTTAAGGTTTTACAAGGTATTTATAAGATTTTACAATTTATAAGGTTTTACACCCTTGTAAAAATAGTTTGTGTATGTTTTTATAAGCTTACACACATATATGAGTAGATCTCAGATTTTTAGGATATTTTTGATCATGTTTTAAGGTGGTGGCATTTTTGAAAAGTAGTATTGGATAAAAGAAAATTTTGAAATGCCCCCTAAGATTATTCAAAATCCTTGGTTATTGAATTAATATTTTATAACAATTACTTTAAATCATGCGTTATTGGAAAAAAAAATCTTTTTTTTATTAAATTATATCAAACATGATTTCAGGGGCTTTAATAATTAATTTCCCAATACAACATCTAAAAAAATTCGCATTCCATAAAACATGATCAAATATACACCTTTTAATAAGCAATTTCAAGGGTTTTAAATTTAATAGGTAATTTTCCAATACCACTTTTCAAAAATGCTCTCTCCCTAAAACATTATCAAAAATGCTTCTAAAATCTGAGATATACCCAAATATGTGTGTAATCTTATAAAAGCATAACAAACTACCTTTGTATGTGTATAAACCTTATAAAACTTTATATACATTTAAAATTTAATGAGAGATATTTTTGAAAATGGATAGCTCAAGGAGACATTTATGAAAAATGGCACACCAAAATGGGCATTTTTCAAAATTCCCCATAGTTTTAACAAATATTTGATTCAATAACAGGGGATTTTAAACTATTTTAAATAATCATCCATCCAATAAGGGGAGATTTGAAAAAAAACATTATAATCATCTCAAATCATTGATCCAATATGCTCCTCATATTAAAGTTGATTGTATTTGGAATAAATCTACTCTAATGATTTAGAACTAGCATTTTGGATGGTCATATATATAGTTTGAGATGTTATTGGGTTTAAGAGTATGAAAAGAGAAGGGATGGAAACTGGAAAATGAAAGAGAACCATCAACCATGGGAACTTAAAGAGAAACTCTAGGGACAAAAAGATACAAAAATGGCTCTAAGCTTAAAAGTTATGAAAAACAGAAACAAAATGAGACTTAATCCTCTAAACTTATAATTTAGCATCTTTCTTTAAATATTTTAGTTGTACATTTGCTCTTTTTTCTCTTTTTATTCATTGGAGAGAATGATGAAACTATAAAACGAAACCCCAAAAACTATATTCATTATTTCAAGTTGCAAAATTTGTCAACCAAAATGTAATATTGAACATCCGGTAAGTTTAACAAATCCGGTGGAGAAGATTCTACAAAATTTACATAAGTTTGGAAATATCAATCACTAGGGATATATCAAAGTTTAAGCTTTATAATATAAAGAACAAAAATTGTAAACAAAAATTAGCAAATTTTAATCATAAATTTCAAGAACAAATTAGGAAAGTTCCTATAGAGGAGACAAAATTCGTTGAGGGGAACTTTGTCGTCATTTGGATTTGTCTTCATCTTAACCATCTCTAAACAATTCTTTTTCGAAAGTGTAGCATTCAACGATATAGTATTTGCCTTAAACTATTTGCCCATAACAAGGAGTTGCTTCCTTCCAACTCCAAGACCCCGTCTAGAGGACATCTAGCCATTAAGCTTCTGGACAATAATAAAAATAATAGAAAATAGTTTGTCAATATTTGTGTTATAGAAAGTGAGAGGAGACTTTTGTACTGGACCATTGATCTTCCATTCGTCTTCGCATGCACGCACATAGTCTAAGCCATCCAATGCGGCATTGTGAGCTTTGTTTTGTACCCCTTTTAGTATTCCTATTTCATAAGCTTCATCGAATAAAGCTGAAGCTAGCCCATAGTTTATCTCACAACGTTTGATTCGTCTTTTCCCATTCGGACCACTAAAGTTTTGACGGACTTTGTTGATTTGTTTGGTTGCCTCGCTCACTTGGATTTTGCACTGAGAAAACTGATAAAATGTTTTAATTAGAACTCAAAAAATATATTAAGTAGATTTCCATGTCTCATGTTTTCAATTTATGATCTGTTCTTTCTATTTGATAAATAAAAAATACATAATAGTTAACGAAATTTACAAGCTATTATCTAACGTTACCGCAATTAAAAGAACGTCGTTGAAGTCTTTTGCGGCTAATATACGTTTGTCCGTTCCAATGTATTTCAAGCAGAAGTCCACATCTGCTGTCTCCTTGCAAAATGTATACATGTCTTTGATAAGCATCGCGTTTGTAGTTGGAGACGCAATGAACAAGAGTAATAACAACGACAAAGGAAACATGATGTGTTTGATGAACATTGTGGCCATATTGAGAAGAAACAAATCTATTTGGTATTTTCAAACACTTTATTTATACTCAAGATATCTGAAAGCTTAAAATGGTACTTACTAAATTAGCTTAATTGGTGGCTTCAAATGGAAAATATTAAATTCGAGAAAAAAATAGAATAGTATTAAATTAGTTATGAACATAGCAGGTTAGTGGTAGTAAACTGTTTGGAATAACAACTTCATTGGATTTAAGGATAGATTATTAGAGATAATGTTATTTATATTATAGAAGTTCTATATTTACTTGTGTTTTTTTTTTTTATAAATAGTAAAAATCATTTTGTAATTTTTGTTTCTATTTTTGTTTGGTTTACCGAGCGGTAAAAAAATGTTAAGATCCTCTCCAATGGGACACTAAAATGATACTGTTTTAGTGTAATGCAATAGTCTCACCAATAAACACTAATTTGGTGTGATACTATTCAAAATGGTGCTTTATCGCCTCTGCTTTGGTAGCCGAAATTAGGGTTGTTAATTCTGCCTTTGTTGCAGTGTCAATCACGAGCAACAGATCACTATTTGTGCTCTTTCCTTCCAATGGCAGAGCTCCACTTCTTAGCTCTAATTTTCTCAAGGTTTAAAGATTCCGCGAGGATGTTTATTGCTTGAGTACTGTTAAGATTGCTAGTCTATCCTTTTATCTATTGCTTTTGTGTAATTCGCTTGGCGTTTGGTGTAGCGATTCTATTAGTCTTGATGAATTCGCTTTTTTCGGTTGTAATCAATTCCTCCTTTGATGGAGTGTAACATTTTATAAAATGTTGTTGAACAAAAAAAATCAAAGACCGTTCTCATTATGATTGATTATGAATCTTTGGCATTCCCTATTCTACTGACGTTTCCTAACTTTGCTGAGATTGGCCAAAGACTCTAATTCCACTTTGTTTTGACATTGATAGTTAGGAACTTAGGATAGCTAAGAATCTTTTATTATCCCTGGAGAAAGATATCTTTAGTGCTGCTAATCGTTTTAACGTGTCTAAGAGTCTATGCTACAATCATCCTCTTTGATAGAGAGAACCTTGATTTAGATTCCGAACCCCTCTTTGCGAAACCATGTATGTACCCTATCAATATCCTTAGAAGAAGCGTGTATCAAGCCGGTGATACCCATGATTAAGAACCCTTTTCAACGTCATTATGCCTATTTTGGATCGTAACCAATTTTCAATTTTCCGAAGTCTTCGCGGAATTATCTTCGACTCACCATTCTCTCGCTTGTGGCAAGCTACGTTCATGTTCTTGCCTCTGATAATTTAATGTATGGATCTTCCGTCGAATTATCATATATACTTTCTCTACAATTCGCTGTTAAAATGCTAGTTGCTTTCTTTGGTGTTCGCAATCTTTTTTTTTTTTTTTTGTCAACAATTATAATAGATTAGCTCAAATAAGCTAATGTTGGAGAAAATTGTTTACATAGGTGATAAGATGTTTCTTGGTTCGAACAGTTCGAGCCAATTTATCCGTTTTCACATTCGCATTTTAAGAAACTAAAGATAATGAGAATACGTCGAACTCTTCCTTTTTTTTTTTTTTTTGGTGTGAAAGAGGGAGACTTGTCTCCCATTTATTAGAAAAAAAGAAAAACTACAAACGGACTCGCCTTGGGCGCGCAGACCCAATAACGTCGTCACTTAATATCGGTTCAACAAAGACCGGAACAACATCAAAAGAATGAAAACCAACGTCGAACTCTTCCTTGTTGAACCAAATACATATTACAAAGTTAATTTAGAAATCAGAATATATATATATATTATATATATTTTTTAACAATTTAACAAGTTCGAAAATAGAAAAACGAGAGTAATTCATTGTTTACAAGAAAAGAAATTGCTACTTCTTTGGAAATTGGAAACATGAGACAGACACAAGACCATAAAAATTGATAGAGATCGTGAATCCAACCAACAAGACCTTTCTCTGACTCTCTCTTCTTCCTTCTTCTCCTCCAATTTAGGGTTCCTTCAAATTCTTCTTCTAATCTTCTCCGATTCTCTTGATTTCGTTTCAAATTGGTTCATCTTTTTGAAGATGACGATCCCTAATTCCGATTTCATGATTGAAAACGGAGTCTGTGATTTTCCGACTACTCCTGCCGAAGAGAAACGTATTGTATCGGAGCTGATTACCGAATCGGAAGATAATTTGAAAGAAGGAAACTTGTATTTTGTCATCTCTAAAAGGTTCTTGTTTCTTTGGATTAGCTGATGATGATGATGATCCAAGTAGTGTTATGCATGAATCTTGATCTATTGTTTGATTTAGGTGAGGAATTAAAATATGAGTGTTGGTCTGAGTCGTAGTTAATGGTTGTGTGAGTGCAGGTGGTATGCAAGCTGGCAGAAATATGTTGAGCAATCGACAAATGAATGTCTAAGTGGGGAGTCCTCGAGGCCTGGAGCGATTGATAACCATGATATTATCGAAAGTGAAAGCGACGCGAATGATCCACAGCTTCGTAGATTGTTGGTGGAAGGGGTTGACTACGTTTTAGTTCCTCAAGAAGTTTGGAAAAGACTTGTTGAATGGTGAGTGTTTCGTCTATTATGCCATCATTTGATTGAATTGTGTTTAGTTTTATACACCTGCTCTTCCAGTGCAACTGTTAGTTAAATATGCTTTCAATGGCATAACCTGGTCTTATATCTCTTTCAGGTATAGCGGAGGTCCTCCGATAGAAAGAAAGTTGATCTGTCAAGGCTTTTATAGTAGGAGTTATAGTGTAGAGGTTTACCCACTCTGCCTTATGTTGACAGACGGACGAGATGAGAGTAGAACTACAATACGGTTGGGAAAACAAGTATGCCCCATCATACTACTCAGGCCCTTAGTTTTGCTTCGACCTAGTTGTTGTGCTTATGCATAGCGAGAGACTCTTTGTGTATTTACTATTAGGCCCCACTTTGGTCCCTTTCTTATATGGGTTGTTCGTGTTTCAGACCTCTATAAGGGAACTTTGTGAGAAGGTTTGCACTATGACAGGGGTAGCGCAAGAAAAGGTGTGTTTCATTTCTATGTCTAGATTTTTTTTTCTGATGAAATACGCATTGTTTTATATGGAGATGTGTTCTTTAATTCACACTGATATGTATAAGCAGGCTCACATATGGGATTATTTCCATAAGAGGAAAAACGGACTCTTGGATCCTTCATCTAACAAGAGCCTGGAAGAGTCTAGCCTTCAGATGGACCAAGATGTAAGTATCTAGAGATCTGTGATACTTATATTGACAAATCTTGAGGAATCACCTTTGTCACTTGCACTTCAATTGTCACAGCTTGACTTTGGGTCATTGTCTTGAATCTTTGTTGACAAATATATTGTTGAGAGGATCTTGTTGGATAATGCATGCCTCTTGAGTTCTTTTATTGAGACAAACCGAATCGCATTTAACTCACTTAATATCAATGTTCGTTTTTCTGTTCGACATTGACTGGTGCATCCCATGCAGATTCTTCTTGAAGTTGATGGGTCGTCTTCCTCTCAATATGCTATTAGCTCGGCAGGAAATGAGTTAGCTCTGGTACCTCTGGAACCGTCAAGGTCGCGTGTTACAATTGCTGGGGGGCCTACCCTATCAAATGGTCATTCCACTTCGTCCAAGTTTAGTCTCTTTCCGAGAATAACTTCTGAAGACGACGGCTGCAATTCTTTGAGTATTCTTGGAAAAGGAGAAAAGGGAGGATTAGCAGGATTGAGTAATTTGGGAAATACCTGCTTTATGAATAGCGCTCTTCAGTGTTTGGCCCACACACCTCCAATTGTTGACTACTTCTTGCAAGATTACAGTGATGACATAAATAGAGATAATCCTTTGGGAATGTGTGTAAGTGCTTGATACTTTTCTATTTCCTCAGTTGATGGTACTCACATGCGTTCTGAATATTATTCTAATACTTTAATTTCCAGGGTGAGCTTGCTATCGCATTTGGTGATTTGTTGAAGAAATTATGGTCATCAAGGAACGCAGTTGCACCACGCTCTTTTAAGACAAAATTGGCTAGATTTGCTCCACAGTTTAGTGGTTACAATCAGCATGATTCTCAAGTTAGTCATTTCCTCTAATATGTATGATGGTGCATAATTGAGCAGATTCTTTGTTCCTGGCATTGTTGTTGTTCTATGCTATCCTCTTTGACAGGAAAACAATATTTCATTTTTGTTTGTGTATGATGTATTAAATTGTTGTCTCAGGAACTGCTTGCTTTCTTATTGGATGGGCTGCATGAAGATTTGAATAAGGTCAAACGAAAACCTTACATTGAACTTAAAGATTCTGACAGTCGTCCGGATGATGAAGTTGCTGAAGAGCTTTGGAATTATCATAAGGCCCGAAATGATTCTGTAATAGTTAACGTCTGTCAAGTAAGTATCTGTTACGGTTTCCTAATCGCTTCTTCCATTGAATGTTCATCTGGTTCTACTGTTCTAGTTTTTCATACAAGTACTACAAGTTTCTGTATTTTATTTTCCCGACCATTTCTTATAGGTATTCGATTTCTTTCAGGGCCAATACAAGTCAACTCTGGTTTGTCCAGTTTGCGGAAAAATATCAATCACTTTTGATCCCTTCATGTACTTGTCTGTACCTTTGCCATCAACACTTACGCGATCCATGACAGTTACGGTGTTTTATTGTGATGGAAGTCGTCTTCCGATGCCATATACGGTAACAGTGCCTAAACATGGATCTATTAGAGATCTCATTACCGCATTAGGTACTGCTTGCTGTCTAGCCGATGATGAGAGCCTATTACTTGCAGAGGTATGATTTTTGGCATGTACCTTTCTTGTATTAATATTTTTCCTTCATCCTTTTTTTTGGGCTGAAATCCCTGACGATTGTGTGTAATTGTCCTCTCAGGTATATGATCACAAGATCTTTAGATATTTTGAGAATCCCCTGGATTCACTGAGCGCGATAAAAGATGATGAGCATATTGTGGCGTATCGGTTAAATCAGATGCCGAAAGGATCAGGAAATGCAAAACTCGAGATTCTTCATGGAGGGCTGGAAAGGTAAGCATGCTTGGTTTTATTGATTACTTAAGAACTCTTCTTTTTTCCTTTTGTTAAGCTTTATGGATCATAATTATTGGGTTCCACAGGGATGTTCTGGAGAGTGTTAGAGGCAGAGACGTGAAGCTTTTTGGAACTCCTTTAGTGACTTATGTCAACACAGACCCACTAAGTGGAACTGACATTGATGCAGTTATCTCTGGATTTCTGTCACCTCTGCACAGGGTCCATGCCTCGTCTAAGATTCATAACGGAAGTGACAATGGCCACCTTGCTGATGCTACTACTGACGAAACATCCGCAAGTTTATCATCCCCAGATACCGAGATAGACGATGCATCTGATGGACAGTTATCCTTCAGGATATTCTTGACAGATGAACGTGGTTTGAACTATAAACCACTTCAGTCTGAATCTTCTGTGAGCCCGGGTACCATTACAAAAGTTTTAGTCGAGTGGAATGAGGGTGAGCATGAAACATATGATTCCAGCTACTTGAATGATCTTCCGGAGGTTCATAAAACAAGTTTCTCTGCAAAGAAGACAAGACAAGAAGCGATATCCCTGTTTTCGTGTTTGGAGGCCTTTTTAGCAGAAGAACCTCTGGGACCAGATGATATGTGGTATAGCTCGTTGCCTGAACTTAAAGTCACACAAACTGATAGATTCATTTGAAGATTTAGCTTTGACCATCTTTCTCACCATTCTGAACCAGGTTTTGTCCGAGCTGCAAAGAACACAGACAAGCGAACAAAAAGCTAGACCTGTGGAAGTTGCCCGATATCCTTGTGTTCCATTTAAAACGGTTCACATATAGCAGATATCTCAAGAACAAGATTGATACGTTTGTGAATTTCCCAATTCAGGATCTAGACTTGAGCAAGTACGTGAAAAACAAGAATGGCCAGTCATATCTATATGAACTATATGCCATTAGTAATCATTACGGTGGACTTGGTGGTGGTCATTACACTGCGTACGCGAAGGTTGGTTACTTGACTATTTTTTTTTTTTTTTTTTACTTTGCATATGCACAAATGCATCATAATCTTAATCATGGTATAATAGACTAGACTTTCTATCCACCCGTACAGTTGTCCCATTCTGCTTGCTACTAGACAGTGCTTCTTATGAGTTTGTTATCTAATCTTATGTGTCACTGTTTCTGCAGTTGATTGATGACAACAAATGGTATCATTTCGATGATAGTCACGTTTCATCAGTAAATGAATCTGAAATCAAAAACTCAGCTGCATATGTACTGTTCTACCGAAGAGTGGGAAGTGAAACAGAGACACAAACAGCTGAGATGTCGAGGAGTGATATGGATTAGTCAAGCCTTAACTCTCATAATTGGCAAAACAAACACGAAGTTACTGTCTCTCACTTACTCTCATCTCAGGTGATGATGACACCTCTATTCTTTGTTGATTTAAATCGGGTGGTTCGGTTGAAGGGTTCTGCTTCAGGTTTTATGATGTTGTTATGGAATGTTGGATTTAGGTACGGAAAATTGTTTGATTAGTGAAATTTCTAGGTGAGGGGGTAATTTTTTGGGTAGTAAATCAAGTGATGAACAGATTTAGAAGTGTAGAGATAGAAGTCTTTGTTGTGATGTTATCAACACCAAGTATATGTTTGTTCTTCGGAAGTACTCATTGATTTTGAGATGAAGTCATGAAAAAAAAACTTTTGTAGCTTGTGAAGCTCATATATTGATACGGCTATGAGGAAATTTTGATGTCTGGATTAATGACTAGGAAAATGACTAATGCTCAATAAACATAGTCATATTGATAGTGAAGGTTACCACTTACCACTTACTATTACGCATATAACCACAAGAAACATTAGTATTTAAAATCGGAAAATTACACCAACTAGTAGACAGATCAAACATGACCACATGAAATCATAAACGACTAAGATAAGAACAACGTTTTCAGAAATCAGAACTGATCCAAAGAACCTGAGAGTAAATGACAAAGAGATGCTTATTATCAAGCCTCGTCCATTTCTTTTTTTTTTTTGTGTAAGAACAAAATATAGATAATACATCTGTATATTTTGTTATACATTTATGTTTCATTGTCAATCTACACATGATCTGATCGGTGCATCTGAATCTTATCTTGTTATATATTAATGTTTAAAGCAAGATCCGCAGGTTGTGGGTAATACATAAATGTGTGACAACCCATGTGGAGGGAGAGCAATAAGTTTCAAAGCTGATCGTTCAATGCTTTGGCAAAACAAAGTATTTCTCATATCACTCAGATACAATTTTCTCTCGGCAACACTATGGATTCAGAGTTAGAGCTCATATCACTCATTTATCAAGTAATAAGTCTTCCCAAGATTCTGGATTGGAAATGGGATTCAGTTACTGATTCAGAGGTCATATCACTCATTACTCAAATAATCTCTATGGTCAGCTCAATGGATTTGCATTTGCAGCAGAAGCTGGAGTCGGAGTTCATGTCACTCATTACTCAAGCAATCTCTGTCTTTGACTCTATGGATTTGGATCCCGAGGTGTCGCCGCTGTCGGAGCTCATATCACTTATTTCTCAAATAATCTCTACGGACTCGGATTCGGATAGGAAGCTGGAGTAGGACCTCGATAGATCTCTATGTGAAACATTATTTGGTGAGCCGGAGCCAGAACTCATGTCCCTCGTTTATCAAATCTTCTCCCTCGTCAGCTCTATCAATTCAAAGTTGGGGAGATTTATCTCCTTGTGTCCTCAATTACGTGTAAATTTGAAAAAAGGAAAATTTCATGTGAGTGAATACTTCCCGCCGAGGGGCAAGTGGCATTGTCTCCCTGGAAACTGGGTGAAATTCAAGTTTAAAGGAGAAGACGCTACTTATTTTGGCTGTAGAGGATGCAACGGCAAGAACCATGAAGAATATGAACAGGTTAGAGATGAGATCAAATACCATCTCCATCGAAAACATTCTCTCCAGCTTGTCTTTTTCAGTGAAGGCAAAGAGAGGAAATGCTATTGTTGTGAAGAAGATCTCCAAATGGTAATTTATTGTTGTTTGTCCTGCGATTTTGCTATGAATATGGCTTGTGCGAAGAAACCACCAGTCTTATCTATAGACCATCCGAAGTGGCATGAGCATATATACTCTTGCTTTGTTTCCAAGACACGCTTTCTTAACTTGCAACCTTTGCGCCTTGGCCGATTCAAACTCCCCTCTCTATATGTGTCCCCCTTGTGACTTTGTGGTCCATCTAAGATGTATCGACTTACCACGTGTCATAAGGATCTCACGGCATCACCATCGTATCTCTTTTACCTCTTCTTTTGACCAAGGAAGATTGTCTTGTGGTGTTTGTCAAAGAAACATCGACAATGATTACTGGGGCTATTCTTGCATCAAGGACGGTTGTTCGTATGCAGCACATTCAAAATGTGCTACACAAAGAAATGTGTGGGATGGTAAAGAACTTGAGGGAGAGCCAGAAGAAGAAATTGAAGAGATCGAGCCATTTGTCAAGATATGCGATGGAATCATACAGCATTTTAGTCATCAACATCATCATTTGAGACTTGATGATAACACAAATAGAGATTACGATGAGAACAAGGAGTGTCAAGCATGCATCAGGCCAATCTATTTTGGTAACTTCTACTCATGTATGCAATGTGATTTCATCCTCCACGAAGAATATGCAAATCTTTCTCGCCAAATATACCATCCTATACATCCACATATGCTCACTCTAGGATATGACAATATTGTGGACCATGAGGCTATGTGTGCAGCTTACCCTTCGTTGTGGACAGATGGTTTCTTCTACGAGTGTGGTAAAGAAGGATGTGATTTCAAGCTACCCGTGCAGTTCGCCACAATATCTGAGCCATTAGTACATGAAAGCCATATGCATCCTTTATTCCTAACATCCAAACCAGAAGAGGAGCCACGAAGATGTTCGGTTTGCAAAGAGAGCAGATATGCTAGGACAAATGAAATATTCAATTGCATTGAGTGTGACTTTGCTTTATGTTTTGTATGTGCTACTTTACCTCAAAAGGTGAGGTATAACCATGATAAGCATGTGCTCATTCTTTCTTATGGGGAAGAAACAAGTACCATGACGTATTGGTGCGAAATCTGCGAGGAAACAATAGATCCAACAAAGCAGTTTTATGTGTGTGATGAGTACTGTTGTCTCACCCTACACATTAAATGTCTGCTTGGGTGGGACTTATACATGAAGCCTGGTTCATCTTCGTTTTATTTAGAGAAAAAGGTAGACGTTCTGTCTAATAATCATCATATGACTCTACCTATTTGCTGCTATTGTGAGACGGTTGTCCATACAAAATATTTTTGGAGTGGTCTGGATCAATATATTGTTCGTCGTATTGTATTCTTACCTTCCTGATATTTTGATGGACATTGCTCTAGTTGTAAAAACTATTATTAACTTTGTATTTTGTTGTATTGATTAGTCAACCACTGAGATGTCCAATACTATTGTGAGAGATTTTCACTGAAAGTCTACTCAAAAAGGAAAAAATATTTCTTTGCATCAGTGTTACATGTTTCTTGAACATGTTTTTAGATATTGCCAGATATTCTTGTGTTCTACTTAAATCGGTTCACGTTGTATAGCAAATATCTCAAGAACAAGATTGATACGTTTGTGAATTTCCTACTTGTGAATTAAACACGATTTTGATAGTCGATAAAAACGAGGTACTTCTTAAAGAAACCAATCTTAGGAAACATTTCAGTTCATAGGAATGATGGATCAGTCCAATTAGTTGAAGACAAGAGGAAATAACATCAACGTACAACCCATCTCACAGGGGTTTACAAAGTTTGAAGTCTAACAATATCCAAAGCACAAGAGAAAGATTTGAGCAAAGACAATGACTGCCTGATTAGTAGTATGTCTTGCTTCCCTGCATGTTCAAGAACTCGACTCAGGATCGTCTCTGGACTTGAACGACTGAGAAAAGTGCATTTGTGAGTAGATTCAAAAAGGCAAGGCCAAAGCCATGTCCCAAAAGAAACTAGTCAAGCATACTGATCACCTATAGAAAGTGTAATGAGAAAAAAGATAGGTAAACCCGCAATCTTACCGAGGTATATAGGCGATTATACTCCTCCTCGCGCTTGAGAAACTCGTCGTACATTTTCCTCACATTAAAGCTAGCGCGTTTTCCTCTTCTGAAAGTCTGGAAACAAAGCAATTGGTCACCATCTGAATTTCGAATATCGAATTCAATGACCGTTACTTACTTATAAAAACATGGCCAAAAAATCCACCGCTAAAAGCCAACACATACCAAAAAGTTTTCTGCTTGCACCCACATTATTTGTATGCTCTCTGGATTTCATCACTGTAATAAGGGCATCGTATGCTTCACTCGCAAGTAGATTACTTATTTAAGCTAAGATAATCTGGGTTACTCAATATGCTTCATTTAAAGTTGTTTGACTAATTTTTCTTATTTGACTTGTAGGAAACTCACAAATCCAAGAAACGGAATTTTAGGTTAGAAAATCTATCCCAAATATCGTTTTCTTCTCGTTTCTCGGGTTTCTCGCATGCCCCGCATTTCGATTATCATCAAGCTATGGAAGACAAGAATGAGCGGATTGCGACTTTGGAGAAAGAAATGGAAGAACATAAAGCGGCAATAGAAGAACAAAAAGCAGAGAACATGAGGTGGGATGCGGAGTACAATAAAAAGGATGACCAGATGGAAATGTTCATGAATGAGATGCGCGCGAAGTTGCCGTGATTTTTATGATTTCCGTCTTTATTTTGAACAATTTGTTGTTTTGGGCTTTTGGCTTTAAAATGTTTTCACTTATAATTCTTTAAGTGTGCTACTTTACCTCCAAAGGTGAGGTATAAGCATGATAAGCATATACTCACCCTTTCTTATGGGAAGGAGACAAGTACCATGAAGTATTGGTGCGAAGTTTGCGAAGGAAAAATAAATCCCAAAGGACGATTTTATGTGTGTGATGAGAATTGTTGTGTCACCCTACACATTGAATGTCTACTTGGGCACGACTTATACATGAAGCCTGGTTCATCTTGGTTTCACATTGGGAGGTCTGAGGAAAAGGTACACGTTCTTCCCAACAATTTTCATCTAACTCGACCTATTTGCTCCTTTTGCGAGAAACGTTGTACACACAAATAGCTTGATGGACATTGCTGTAGTTGTGAGAAATATTCCTAAATTTGTATTATCTTGTATGATTAGTCAAACACCCATATGTCCAATATTATTATGAGATATTTCCATGGAAATTTTACTTTATTTTGCTTTACATGAGTGAATGAGTTCTGTTTTTTTTTTCCTTAAATTTTTTTGCTCAAAGTCTCAGGCCTCTTTGATACTTGGTTAAGTCTAACCCTTACCATCATTTCTCAAACCATTTCTGATATGGATCCTTTTTTTTGAAATCTGAAACCAAATTTCTTTGTATGTTCCTCAAGTGCTCAAAATGTTAACAATTTCTGTAAAAATAACTCTTAGTTTGGTGTTCTTTGAAGCTCTAACTGTTGGTGTATTTCTCGTTGTACGTATGATCGTTCCTACGGAGATCATTTCTTTTGAAACAGGATTGAGCACTCTGTCCTTTCAACGTTGATTCATCCGTGGTACAATAACAATGTTGTTGTGTTGCAGAAACTATCTTAAAAGCATGTACATTTATATACTGATTCCTTGGTGTACTAGTCTTTGGTTCCAAGTGTGGAAACTATACGAGCAAGGCAAAGAAACAAGTTATAATTTCAAGTTTTCTGTAACTTTGACTATTTTTGTAGAGGCAATACTTGGGGTCAACAAACCATAATTGCTACCTAAAGAGTTCACTTCTTTCATAGATGTTGCTGGTTTCCTCTATCGTGAACTAAACAGTGTCTTACACTAAAAACATATTACTTAAATAATTTTAGCCTATGTAAAATTTATTTTAGACTCAAAAACTAAATTCACATTCTTTCCGTCGACGCTAGCTAATTCCTAAAAACCATCTTCTTTTACATGTGAACAATAGATGAGAGTTATTATTGAAAATTATATTTGTCCATGAAGTCATAATTATACAATTTTGAAAATTTTTAGTAGACAATATAAAATTGTGAAAAACTTAGATTGATAATTTTTTCATGAAAAATATATTATTATGATGGATAAACTTGTATATGTAAATATTATCACCATGGAAAGATTCCTAGATCTCGTTCTCATTCTCAATAAATCTCCAACGAAAACAAGTTGTTTTCAGAAAATTTTTTGAACTAAGACATCATAATCATCTGATTTATCTTACTAAAGAGTTCACTTCTGTAATAGAGAAATCAGTCATCAATTCGGTATGTTATGGTTCGATGTTTAGTGTGCGAGTCTACAAATGGATCATAAAAAGCCCATTATCAATTCTAGAAGCCCAAAACCCAATAAGCTCTCGTTCACTATAACAAACATTCTTCACACGTCTCTGCGACTTATCTTCTTCTCTCCTTTTCTTCATTTTCAGAGAATTTCACGAATCCTCTCTGGTTCTCGCCGTCTACTTTCCGTTTTAAAATGAAGTTCCGGTTAAGAAAGTTTAGCTTGGAACAACAGAGACTTTTTCTTAAGAAACAACATGTAACTGCATACCAAGTAAAAGCTCTGAAATCAGCCAAAGAAACAATCTTTTTGACCAAAAAAGTAGCATTGAGAAGGAATCATACCTTAGGAAGGTTTACTTGTTAAGGTTATTAATCATGCATCTCATTTTCTCTGTTTGATGTGTTTTTATTACATAAAATGCAATAAACAAGACATTATTTGACTAAGCCAAACAGTGTTTGATATATATATTCTTTAGAATTATGTCTGTTATTAGCAACTGGGATTTAATTAAAAAACTAAGAACAATTCCAAGGTATGGAAACATTCTTGTCCTTAATACGTCTTTACGAGATTCTATATAAATGTTTAATCTCCTCCATTAGTATTACATATCTCTTTGACTTTGTGATTAGAATGAGGAATTATAGAACATCAATTGTTGTGGTACTTAGTTTGGTAATATTTCTCAATGTGGCACGAGCTGGTTCTGAGAGAAAGGTAGTTGAGAATCATTCAAGGTACTTCTTTTTATCAGACAACATAAAGTAAGACTAACATAATTGGTTGGTTTTTGTTTTTGATGATCAATAATAGGTTCATATAGTGTATTTGGGTGAGAAGCAACATGATGATCCCGAGTTTGTCACGGAATCTCATCATCGGATGTTGTGGTCGCTTCTTGGAAGGTATGTAAAGGGTAGTTTTCTCTTTTCAAAGTTTTATAATGTCTCAAAATGTTACTCAGATTTCTTGTCTTTTGTTCTATGTTAAACAGTAAAGAGGATGCCCATAATTCAATGGTTCACAGTTACCGACATGGCTTCTCAGGTTTTGCGGCTAAGCTTACCAAGTCCCAAGCCAAGAAGATAGCGGGTACTCATTCTTCTTCTCACATTTTCTTACATGAAATCTTTATTGTCTCAACAAGCTCATTTGATTTTTTTTTTTCATTGCTAATGCTCTTTGGCTACAGATTTACCTGATGTTGTTCATGTTATACCGGATAGTTTCTATAAGTTGGCAACAACTCGAACTTGGGATTACCTAGGCCTTTCTGCTGCCAATCCAAAGAGTCTTCTACATGAAACTAATATGGGTGAACAAAGTATCATCGGTGTTATAGACACGGGTATGAATCTTTATTTGTACATTTTATTCTCTACTTATTGTAGTATACTTCTTAAGTCTTGTGCTTCTTTTGATTCCTCTTCTTAGTGCCTCTATGATTAAAATGTTGTTTGTGGTGGTTGCAGGAGTATGGCCTGAATCTGAAGTATTTAACGACAATGGGTTTGGGCCTGTGCCAAGCCACTGGAAAGGAGGCTGTGAGATAGGAGAGAATTTCACTTCCTCTCTCTGCAATAAAAAGCTCATCGGAGCAAAGTATTTCATCAATGGTTTTCAAGCAGAGAACGAAAGCTTCAACTCCACAGACTCACTTGATTTCATTTCCCCTAGAGACTTTGATGGTCATGGCACGCATGTTTCCACCATTGCGGGCGGTTCATACGTGCCCAACATCAGCTACAAGGGCTTAGCTGGAGGGACTGTGAGAGGTGGGGCACCTCGTGCTCGTATAGCAATGTACAAGGCTTGTTGGTATCTGGATGATGAAGACATAACGACTTGTTCATCTGCTGACATCTTGAAAGCTATGGACGAGGCTATGCATGATGGTGTTGATGTTCTGTCAATCTCTCTAGGCTCCGAAGTTCCTCTGTCTGACGAAACTGATATACGCGATGGGATGACTACTGGAGCCTTCCATGCAGTCTTAAAGGGTATTACTGTTGTTTGTTCCGGTGGTAACTCTGGCCCAGACTCTCTTACCGTGACAAACACAGCTCCTTGGATGGTGACTGTGGCTGCAACTACTTTAGACCGGTCCTTTGCCACACCTCTTACACTTGGGAATAATAAAGTGATATTGGTAACAAAAGATATACGCTTTTTATTAATTGTTCTACTCAGTACTCAGATTACATCTATGTCTTATTGTGAGTCTCGTCACTATATTGCAGGGTCAAGCAATGTACACAGGCCCAGAACTTGGCTTCACTAGCTTGGTTTATCCTGAGAATCCAGGGAATAGCAACGAAAGTTTTTCTGGGTAATGTTATATTTCTTGTACTTTAGTGTTTATCAACTCTTGTGAAGAAGATCAATTCTCAGACATCACCATGGTTCCTGTAATGCAGTACTTGTGAGGAGCTTCTCTTCAATTCTAATCGTACAATGGAAGGGAAAGTTGTGTTGTGTTTCACAACATCACCTTATGGTGGTGCTGCATTAAGGGCTGCACGTTATGTGAAGAGAGCCGGTGGTCTCGGCGTAATCATCGCAAGACACCCAGGCTACGCTATCCAACCATGTCAAGATGATTTCCCATGTGTTGCTGTGGACTGGGTGCTTGGGACTGATATACTTCTCTACACACGGTCCAGTGGGTATGAAAATATTTCTTTTTTCTTTTTTGTATGAATGTAAAATTATATTCATCAAAAAAACCGTTTGTACAATGAATGCAACCGCTTGTATGAATGAAAATATATCTAAGACTAAATTTCACACTTGTTGTTTACAGATCGCCTATGGTGAAGATACAACCTTCTAAAACACTCATCGGACAACCAGTGGGTACAAAAGTGGCAACATTCTCATCAAGAGGGCCTAATTCGATCGCCCCTGCGATTCTCAAAGTACATAATCCTTGCTTGTTCATTTCTTTTCAGACCCATTAAATATCTTGTCTAAGGTTTTATCAATTATATGAATGCAGCCGGATATAGCAGCACCGGGAGTGAGCATATTGGCAGCTACAACCAACACCACTTTCAGCGACCGAGGGTTCATTATGCTGTCAGGAACATCAATGGCAGCTCCTGCAATTTCAGGAGTTGTTGCACTTCTCAAAGCTCTGCACCGTGATTGGTCTCCTGCTGCCATTAGATCAGCCATTGTCACTACAGGTTCTTATCTTCTCATCAGATGTAACTAGGAAATAACAAGAACATACTAATTTCTATAAGCGTCTTTACTCTGCAGCTTGGAGAACAGATCCATTTGGAGAGCAGATATTTGCTGAAGGGTCACCTCCGAAGCTAGCTGACCCGTTCGACTATGGTGGAGGCCTTGTGAATCCAGAGAAAGCTGCAAATCCAGGTCTTGTATATGACTTGGGACTTGAAGACTATATTCTCTACTTGTGCTCTGTTGGTTACAACGAGACATCAATCTCTCAGCTTGTCGGCAAAAGAACAGTCTGTTCAAATCCCAAACCATCTATTCTTGATTTCAACTTGCCTTCCATCACAATCCCAAACCTCAAAGATGAAGTGACTCTCACTAGAACCCTTACTAACGTTGGACTACTCAAATCGGTCTATAAAGTTGCGGTTGAGCCACCATTGGGTTTTAAAGTGACCGTGACACCGGAGACACTAGTGTTCAACACTAGGACCAAAAGGGTCTCTTTTAAAGTTAAAGTCTCAACCAAACACAAAATCAATACAGGTTTCTACTTTGGAAGCTTGACGTGGAGTGACTCTATGCACAATGTCACCATTCCTTTGTCTGTGAGAACGCAAATCCTGCAGAACTACTATGATGAAAATTAAACCTAAAAAATTACTAACCATTTGTGTGCTTGTACTTATACTGTAATACATGTATGTATTGAACTGTTTGACTCTTTGTAAAATTTAATTAAAGAAGGGAAAACTCCCAAAAATTGCCCTAGTTGCCTCAACATTCGCTAAGAAACTAATGATTTGACAAAGCTCAGAGATTGTCGCAGAGACTTTTTCTTAAATCAACTTTGACCAAACTTTTACTTTTTCTGATTTCTATAGAGCTAAAGAATCAGCATGGAGCTTACCAAGTAAAGCTCTAAACTTAGCTAAAGAATCTGCCTTTTCTTTGGTCAAAACTCATACTAATTCCAGCTTGCTTACACCTCAAGTTTAAATTTTTCCGACCGAAGTAGTCAAGTAGCAAAGCAAACTTGTCTGAGCATGAACACATGAGTTTATGGTATAGGAGTGTAAAACTAATCCTTTTGCAGCATATTACCAAGTAAATCTTTCGATTGCTATGTTTACAATTACTTATTGGTATATGTCATCAATCTATTGATCAGTGTGTTTGCTCCATTTGTAATAAACTAGAGTTTAGTTGACTAAGCAACACAGTTTGATATATTCTTTAGATTAATGTGTGTGGGTTTTACATTCTGACTATATATGATGATGAAACTAAAGAGATTCAAACAAGCAAAAGTCAGAACAATTCCAAGGATTAATGGAAACATTCTTGGTCAAACTCTTCTTGAGTAGACATCTATATAAATGCTTAATTAAGCTTCTTCGATATTAGACTCCAAATTATATTACATCTCTTTCTTTGTGGCTTGAGATTGAAAAATGAAAAACCCTTTTCTTCTTGGAATGAAGAATTGCAAAACCTCAGTTTTTGCGGTACTAAGTCTGGTAATAATTCTCAACGGGCTGAGCACTTTCGTGGTAGTGGTTCAGGCCGGTGCTGAGAGCAAGGTACTTTAAAATTATATAAGGCCATTCTTTTACGAGCAACATAAATAGCTAACAAAGTTGGTTCTGTTCTAATAGGTTCACATAGTTTATTTGGGTGAGAAGCAACATGACGATCCAGAGTTTGTCACGAAATCTCATCATCGGATGTTGTGGTCACTTCTTGGAAGGTATTTATGGGGTAGTTTTGTCTTTCTCAAGTATAATAATTTCTCAAAATGTTAGTCAGATTTCTTGCCTTTTGTTCCATGTTCAACAGTAAAGAAGATGCCCATAATTCAATGGTGCACAGTTACCGACATGGCTTCTCAGGTTTTGCAGCCAAGCTTACCAAGTCCCAAGCCAAGAAGCTAGCAGGTACATAGTTTTTAAATCTTATATTTTCTTGGCTTTTTAGGAAACATAGGGCAATTATTTTACATGACATCTTCATTTGTCTCAACAAACCCATGTGAAATCATTTTCATTGCTTATCCTCTTTGACAACAGATTTACCTGAAGTTGTTCATGTCACCCCGGATAGTTTCTACGAACTAGCAACAACTCGAACTTGGGATTACTTAGGCCTTTCTGTCGCCAATCCGAAAAATCTTCTAAATGACACTAATATGGGTGAAGAAGTTATCATTGGCGTTGTAGACAGCGGTATGAGTGTATTTTTGTGCAAATTTTTCTTCCTACAATGTTTTAAACTCTTGTTGCTTTTGTTTCCTTTAACTTAATTAGCATCTCAACTAATAAATCTATTTCTGAGGTTGCAGGAGTTTGGCCAGAATCGGAAGTCTTTAAGGACAATGGGATTGGCCCTGTGCCAAGTCACTGGAAAGGAGGCTGTGAATCAGGAGAAAATTTCACTTCCTTTCACTGCAACAAAAAGCTCATAGGAGCCAAATACTTCATCAACGGTTTTCTTGCGACGCACGAAAGCTTCAACTCCACGGAATCGCTTGACTTCATTTCCCCTAGAGACCATAGCGGACATGGCACGCACGTCGCTACCATAGCAGGTGGTTCTCCCTTGCACAACATAAGCTACAAGGGCTTAGCTGGAGGGACTGTGAGAGGCGGGGCACTACGTGCTCGTATAGCCATGTACAAAGCTTGTTGGTATCTAGATAATTTAGACATAACGACTTGTTCATCTGCTGACCTCTTGAAAGCTATGGATGAAGCTATGCATGATGGTGTTGATGTTTTGTCTTTGTCTATCGGCTCTCGTCTTCCTTACTTCTCAGAAACTGATGCTCGCGCCGTGATAGCTACAGGAGCATTCCATGCTGTTTTAAAGGGTATCACTGTTGTTTGTTCAGGAGGTAACTCTGGTCCAGCGGGTCAGACTGTCGGAAACACGGCTCCTTGGATATTGACAGTGGCTGCAACTACTTTAGACCGGTCTTTTCCCACACCTATCACACTTGGGAACAATAAAGTGATATTGGTAACAACAAGATATACACCATAATGTTTTCAAAACAAAATGTTTGATGATTTGTGTCTTATTGTGAGTTTGGTAATTGTATTACAGGGTCAAGCAATGTACACAGGTCCAGAACTTGGCTTCACTAGCTTGGTTTACCCAGAGAATCCAGGGAACAGCAACGAAAGTTTTTTTGGGTAAGATCAAATCTCTAGTTTCTCATTACCAAATCTTTTCTATATGGATGACATCATTTCTCTGACATCACATTCTCTGCAGTGACTGTGAGCTTCTATTCTTTAATTCCAATCGTACAATGGCCGGGAAAGTCGTGTTGTGCTTCACAACATCAAAACGTTACACCACTGTAGCAAGTGCTGTGTCTTATGTGAAGGAAGCTGGTGGTCTTGGCATAATTGTTGCAAGAAACCCCGGCGACAATCTCTCACCATGTGTAGATGATTTCCCTTGTGTTGCTGTTGACTACGAGCTCGGGACCGATATACTTTTCTACATACGTTCCACAGGGTAAATGAAAATATGAACTATGAGAAAAAAAATATAATCAACACACCACTCATTGTGGACTTGTAATTTGCAGATCACCTGTTGTGAAGATACAACCTTCTAAAACACTTTTTGGACAACCAGTAGGTACAAAGGTGGCAGATTTCTCATCAAGAGGACCTAATTCAATTGAGCCCGCCATCCTCAAAGTATATGAATATGTTCTGTTTTTCAGATATATTAGATTATTTTGCTTCAAGATGTTTATGATCATGTGAATGTTACAATGCAGCCGGATATAGCAGCACCAGGAGTGAGCATATTGGCGGCTACATCAACCAATAAAACTTTCAACGACCGAGGATTCATTATGGCGTCAGGAACATCAATGGCTGCTCCTGTAATTTCAGGAGTTGTTGCACTTCTTAAAGCTATGCATCGTGATTGGTCTCCTGCTGCTATTAGATCAGCCATAGTCACTACAGGTTCTTACCTTCTTCTTCCATTGCTGTAAAAAAAACAAGAACATATACTGATCTCGATAATTGTCTTTACTCTGTAGCTTGGAGAACTGATCCATTTGGAGAGCAGATATTTGCGGAAGGGTCACCTCGGAAGCTAGCTGACCCGTTCGACTATGGTGGAGGCCTTGTAAATCCAGAGAAAGCTGCAAAACCAGGTCTTGTATATGACTTGGGACTTGAAGACTATGCTCTCTACATGTGCTCTGTTGGTTACAACGAGACATCGATTTCTCAGCTTGTCGGTAAAGGAACGGTCTGTTCGAATCCTAAACCATCTGTTCTTGATTTTAACTTACCTTCCATCACAATCCCAAATCTCAAAGAAGAAGTCACTCTCACCAAAACCCTCACTAACGTTGGACCAGTTGAGTCGGTCTATAAAGTAGTGATCGAGCCACCGTTGGGAGTTGTAGTGACTGTGACGCCAGAGACGCTAGTTTTTAACTCTACAACCAAAAGGGTGTCTTTTAAAGTGAGAGTCTCGACCAAACACAAAATCAATACAGGTTACTTCTTTGGAAGCTTGACTTGGAGTGATTCTCTGCATAATGTCACCATTCCTCTCTCTGTGAGAACTCAACTCATGCAGAACTACTATGATGAAAACTGAACCTATAAAGACTTAACCTTTCGTGAAATTGTACTTATACTATATACTTGTATGTATCAAACTATTTAACATTATGTAACGTTGATGATTAATAATGATGAATAATCTACTTTTGTATTCTTATTGCCAAATTTCCTCCAATCCCTACTTTTCAGATTTTTTCATTAGGTATGTTATTGAAACTTTCTGTAGTTAACAAAGGGTGGTGGCCTAGTTAGTACAAGGGGGTTGTTATCTTGTGGGCCGGTTCAAACTCTCTTTCGGACAGAGACACATTCTTTAAATCCAAATGCACTAACAACGCATGCTCTGGTACCAAGGGAGATTATAAGCTAAAGGTCCAAAAGAAAAGAACATTCTACAGTTTCTATTTATATTCATGAAATATTCCTAGATTAGAAAACCCCTTTTTAACATCCCTAGTAGTGATTCTTGATCATCAAGGAATTAGTGGCCTAAACACCAGCAAGAAGTCATTTGCTCAGACGCACATCATCCGTGAATATCAGTCGATACACTAAAGTATTTTAACAAGATTCAATTTAGATAATAGTATTATTTATCAGTATGATGCTTTACATATTCGTCAACAAATCAATATAACACAACTTAGATAATATTATTATTCATTAGCATGATGCTTTACATATTTCTTCATCACAACAATATAGTAAAAAGTATTTGAGCAGTTCTCCTTAACAAATCTGGTTTTTAGCTTAAATCAGTTTTCGTCGTAGTACCGTTGCAAGATCTGTGTTCTTACAGATACTGGGATGGCTACATTGTGAAGATTATCAGTCCAAGTCAAGCTTCCAAAATAGTAACCAGTGTTTACTTTGTGTGTAGTCGAGACCCGAACAGTGAAAGATCGCTTTGTGGTTGTAGAGTCGAACACTAGTTCTGTTGGTGTAACAGCCACATTAACGCCAGTTGGAGGATCGATTACAACCTTGTATACTGAGTTAACGGGTCCAACGTTAGTGACTGTTCTTGTGAGAGTGACTTCGCCTCTGAGGTTTGGGATTGTGATGGAAGGCAAGTTGAGATCAAGAACAGAAGGTTTGGGATTAGGGCAGACTGTTGTTTTTCCGAGGACTCGAGAAATTGAAATGTCACTATAATCAACAGAGCACATGTACATAACGTAGTCATCTGTGGTCATGTCGTATATGAGACCTGGCTTTACAGCTTTCTCGGGATTTATGAGGCCTCCTCCGTAATCAAATGGATCAGCTAGCTTGCGGCTTGACCCGTCTGCGAAAATCGGCTCTCCAGATGGATCAGTTCTCCAAGCTTCAATGTTAAAATGTGTTACTTCGGATTATTTAAGTTATTCTGATAATAAAACTGTTATAACCAACACATTTGAAGATAACAAGAACCTGTTGTAACAATAGCCGATTTTATAGCAGAAGGAGACCAATCAGGATGTAATGATTTGAGGAGTACAACAACTCCTGACACAACAGGAGTAGCCATTGATGTCCCTGACATCATAGCAAATCCTCCATCATTTATAGAACTATTTGGAGAAATAGCTGCTAGTATGTTCACACCAGGTGCTGCTATATCCGGCTGCCATAACAGAGAAGCGGTTATAAAATCGAGAAGCGGTTACAAAACAGAGAATCTTTTTTTTTTTTTGAATAACCGCGAGTTTCCCAAAGGCTTCCTAGGCCCAAAGACTAATCTCACGAGGCTGGCAATTCCCCTATGTAAACCTGCCAGTGGCCGTGCCTCGAACCCTGGTGGCGGAACAGAGAATCTTTAGAAGTTAGAAATGTATGAAATGGTATGATCTACCTTAAGAATCGCTGGAGAGACTGAATTAGGTCCTCTTGATGAGAAAGTTGCAACCTTTGTCGACACGGATTGTCCAAAAAGTGTTTTTGAAGCCTGTATGTTTACAATGGGAGATCTAAAAACAAAAACAAAACCCAATATGTTCAGTTGAATGTGTTTGTTAAAGATATTGTGATCATTTTGAAAATATACCTTGTGGAGCGTATATAGTACAAAATGTCGGTCCCGAGCTCGAAGTCTACGGAAACATATGGAAAGTTACGAGTTGGAGTAAGCAAGTGGGTCGGATTTCTTGCAATGATTACCCCGAGACCACCCGCATTGCGTACTGTGGTTATAGCAGCATTTGATGGTCTAGATGCTGTGAAACACAACACAACTTTTCCTTGCATTGCACTGTTGGGATTAGAAGAGAGCTTCTCGCAGTCACTGCAAATTGAAGGATATATCATGTCACAAAGTCACAATATCGAGGGTTTAACGTCTTCAACAAGCAAATGATCAAAAGATGAAATATGATGTAATTCAATGTTACCCGGAAAACTCTGGGTAAGTAAGACCAACAAAACCGAGTTCTGGACCGGCAAAGATGGCTTGACCCTACATTAAGCAAAGAGGTTTAATTAGATCTTTAAAAAAAAACAGTTTGTCTTATAGTTTTATTGTCATGGATAATATGTATACCAGTATTGTTATATTGTTCCCAAGTGTTATGGCTGTAGGAAAGGAACGGTCTTGAGTGGTTGCAGCCACTGTCAAAACCCAAGGAGCTACATTCGAAATGGTCTGAGCCGTGGGACCAGCATTACCAGCTGCAGCTACAACAGGAATTCCCTTTGCGACCGCATGAAATGCTCCAACAGAGGTCAGCTCCCTCGAATCGGTTTCTGGATATAAAGGAACACTAGTTTGCAAGAGAGTGACAAAATATCAACACCATCATGGATTGCTTCATCCATTGCTTTTAAGACATCAGCTCCAGAACACCCTCTTTGAAGCCAGCATACCTTATAAACAGCTATATGAACACCGGGAGCACCACCTCTTGCAGTTCCTCGTCCGAGGCCTAAGTAGCTTACATTAGGTAGAAAAGAACCACCGATGGTCGAGGCAACATGCGTGCCATGACCGTTAATGTCTCTTGGGGAAAGGTAGTCTGGGTTCTCTGTTTTGTTCAAGACTCCAAATTCGGCATTGTTGGCATCAACAAAGTATTTTGCTCCTATCAGCTTTCTGTTGCAATGAATTGAGCCATTGAAGAGGTCTCCAGATTCGCAGCCGCCTTTCCAACGGCTTGGTATAGGTCCATAGCCTTTGTCATTAAACATTTCAGACTCTGGCCACACTCCTGTAATCATAATTTATGCTTTCTATTAGTAAACTTGTTTTGAAGAGAATCAAACATTTTTTCGATATGCACATACCTGTGTCGAGGACTCCAACGATTACTTGGTACCCCATCCTGGCCTTTTCTAGGAGACTATCTGAATTTCCTGGAGATATGCCTAAGTAATCCCAAGTTCTTGTTGTTGTCATTTCGTATAATGTATTTGGTATGACTTGCACTACTTCAGGCAGTTCTGTTCTCAAGAGAGGGCATTGATTTGTTCAGGAAAATAAATACTTCGTTTAAGTCAAGTCAAGAAACAGAGAAGATTTCAACTCTAAAAGTACCAGAAATTTGCTGAGCTTGGGACTCTGTTAGCTTGGCTGCAAAGCCTGAGAAGCCGTGTCGATAACTGTACACTATTGAATCAAGGACAGCCTTTTTGCTGTAACGTGAAAATCAAGAAAGTAAACTATCTACGATATTTCGATATATATATATATATATACGTCTTCCAAAAGTTCCTATGTAGAAGTACTAAATGATACCTTCCAAGAAGTGACGACAACATCTGATGGTGAGATTCAGTGACAGACTCAGGATTGTCATGTTCCTTCTCTCCCAAGTAAACTATATAAACCTATTTTGTCACAAAGCAAAAACAATAGTCAATGTTAGATATTGTTATATTTCATGATTAAGACAGATCTTTCATAAATACCAATTACCTTGCTCTCAGCGACGACGAAGCTGATCTGAACATTCAAAACTATAGACAGAAATAACGCAAAGAGAATTATGGTTTTGCTCATTTTTTTTCTCTAGAAAGAAATATGATTCGATGTTTAAGATTAGCAATGAAGCAAAAGGCTTTATATAAGGTATAACATTCGAGGACTCCTTCTCCGAAGAGGTATGGTGGTGTCATGTGGTTGCTTTGTTTTTGAGAGTCAAGGTTTCAATCTTGACATAGTTCAAATTAAAAATCTATAATTATTTCAAACATTGGATTTTCAATATTAAGCAGCTTTGAGTTGTTCTCTTAATAAGATTAGAACTGATCAAAATAAGAACACTAGAGTTGTATCTAAGTTAACTTAATTCAAACACTGAATTTAAAAATATTAAGCAACTTTGAATACTTCTCTACTGAAAATAAAACTGATTAGGTTAAGAACACTAGAATTATTTCTTTGGCTATACTACTACTTCAAAACATCGAGTTTTAAATATTTTTTATTTTATTTTTTAATTTTGGAATTGATATTCTGGCTAAATTTCTTCTATTAATATTTGTAAATATTAAGAAACTCTGAATAGTTCTCTACCAGAGATTAAAACTCGTGTTAAAAAGAGTAAAGAAGTATCTTGACGAAATGACTAGATTAGAATTGGTCAGATTATGAACACTAGACAAGATTAGACTAGGTTCTTGGCTAAATTACTTAAAATACTGAATTTTAAATATAAAGTAACTCCAAATATCTCTACCAAGATTAGACTAGTTTCCTGGCTATTTTAATACAAGTAATACTATTGAACGACTCCAATCTCGGAGATAACATATCTTGAACCAGTGCGCTCTCTCTTATTGAATGGATTGTAATTCATATCTCAGAACCATGTTCCTTTAGCTTCTTAGCTTTACTCATATTGCATTTTTGTTTGATACTAAACCTCTAATTTATTATACCTCCTCCAATGATGAATTATGGGTATAGGAAGAATGTCAAGAAATGTGGTACGGCGCAAATTATGGCAAAAAAAATAATTTTTGGAGAAACGAACATAGACGACCATTTGATTCAATAACATATACACACTTAAAATAATCTTCTATTTGGAAGAAAACTAAAAAAGGCGGTTCAAACCAAAGATTTGAAACACAAACATCGCAGCCAGATTATATATTACTTCTAGTTTGGTAGGCCAACTTGGTAGTAGATTGTTTTTTTTTTCCAGAGAATAGACAACTATTAAATGATTCGATGTAGACTTTTTATTGTATGATGATATAGTATTATTTACGAAATAGTTTGTCAATCTTCATATATCTATATCATATATAGTCGACTATTATACGTTTCGAAATAGTTGTAGTTTTTTTAAGTGTAAACAACTATTTATATATCATGAGATCGTATTGGTTGTCTATAATTTGGAACTAAGGAATATTATAAAAAAAAAGAGTACATTAGTTGTTTTTAAATATATGTTTTTATTGAGGAAATAGGGGAAGACAGTCCTAATGCTTTAAAAAAAAAAAAAAAAACTTCAGGTTCAATTTTGGCCGAACAGTAGGATACAACAAAAAAATGTTAGAACTTGGTCAATAACAGGTGCAAATTAAAGTTAACATCACACATATTTCAATCTTATATGTCTTGAAGTAAAAGAAGCCGACTCTCTTAAAGAATAGCATATGTGGATCATGATGGATTCACAACTTGGGAAGCTCATTGAGGCAGAGAACATGATACCATATACAGCCTCTTTTTTTTTTTGTAGAATCATACATTGTAAACCTCTTTGATCAAAACCTCTAAAACATTTATATAAAAAAATTGATCCCTAGCTTATAAAATACAACATTAATCATGGGAGAATAATTTCACTATACCGGATAAAAATCAAAATTTTAAATCTAATTAAATCAAACCGCACTTTTATAACTAAAAGTACCATGTATATATGTTCTTCAAATTCAATTTTTTGTAAGAAACAAAAACTATTTATAAAAATATATAAAACTATTGTTTATGTAGTGTGTTAATAATTTAGTTCGCTATGAAATTTTCTCAGAAAAAAGTTCAGAATTTTTATTTATTTGAAAAATTTACTCAACAGAGTAAAAACAATATTTATGCTATTTTGTTTTTTTAGATTATATAAATAAAAATAGATACCAAAATAAGATGAGTAGTGTGAAAAGTATCATGTGCAAGATGAGACAACAAATCGAATGAACTTGGGATATGGTCTATGTCAAAGAACTGAACCAAGATCCATAATAAAAGAAATAGAAAAAAGATATTGTTTGTAATGTACTGTGCATACCAATATTAAGTTTAGAGTGATAAAATAGCTATCCTAGAGACTTGCTGCTTTCTTCAACGTGTGATCACTTTTCAAGATTTCCAACTAAAGGATACACTTTGGTATTATATGTGTCACTTGATGGTTATACAAGTTTTATAAGGGCCTAAGGTGATAATGATGCAAGTTTGGGTTCAAGTTTAACCAAGACAATTATCCTCATTCATTTGGGCATCTATAGGTTATTTCTCTTTTTCCTTATAATATTTTGATGTGAAATGTGAGATTTGTTTTGTAAGGAAAATGATTATTGATCTTAAGTACAAAAACAACTTTGTGATGCAAGGAATTGGATACATAAGAACATCGATTGAGTAGAACAAATACAGACTCTACTTCCAACTTTCGAAAGTTTCGCGGTTGTAATTTTTGGAGAAAAAAAATCCTTGCCTACATATATATATATATATATATATATATATATATATATATATATATAAGTTTTAAGGTAAGATTCTCTGATTTTGTGATTTAATTTTGTGTTTGAGTTACTTATTTCATGGAGAATTTTGATTTATTGTCTCATCTTAGATATAAAAATTATGGATTAGAATTTAGATAAAAAGATATAACTTACTTTTGCATTTTGCATGTTCTATATATGTTTTAGGTAGATGTTGAGCATCTTTTGTGCAAATTTCTTAGATAATCTTTGAACACTTATACCATGTATGATATATGTGTACATTAATATACATGTATATTTATTTATATGTTCAAATAACAAATGTGTATACAACTATAATATAATTGGTAGTGCAAAATAACTTACTAATATATTTAATTCAGAAAATATAAGAATAAATGTGGCTTATGAGAAATGAAAGAATTTGTATGTTTTGAAGCTTTTACACAAAATTGTTTAAATGTTTATGAAATCACAATTTTCATAGTTACACTTAGATTGCTACAATATATTGTTTATTGTGCTAATAAGACTTAATTTTGATGGCTCTTCATTATAGAAAACTAGATAACAACCCGCACTATGAGCGGGATGAAGTGATTCAAGTAAAATTATTATCCGGGATCCAAGATCCGTTTGTGTAAAACGAAACATGTTACAAATTTTTTTTTGTTTTATTCAAATTTGGGACTATTTCATATAAGAATATGTTTTACCCGTGAAATATTTGAACCTTGAATAAAGCTTCAACGTGATAAAAAAGTATTGACGAAATGTTACCATTTATGGCAATATGTCTTTCCGTATGTAAAGATTTCGAGATTTTGTAGTATAAAAAGAATTTTTTATTTTTTTTTAATAAGTATAAGAAATCCAAAATTTAGCAAAGATGAGATTTGATAGTTTCCAAGCTAAGATTTTGTAGTGTTCCAATCTAAGATTCTTAGATTATGAATGGATTATTTACGAAATGGTTATAATGTGGCCAGATTTTGGTTTATATACAAATGTGGTTATAATGTTTTTCTTTGAAAATTTAGAACTCCTCCAAAAAATAGGATTTTAAGTATTCGTAACATATATAGAATGAAGATTATCTTATTTATTTAATTAAAAAAATTATGAAAGATGTAAAGATTTTGTAGTTTTGAATTCGAGATTCTTTAATCAAATGTATATATTTTATCATTTAAATATAAACATATATATAAATATAAATAAAAATATTGTTTACCCATCCGCTAAAGAAAATTTATATAAATATATATAAATAAAAATATAAATATAAAAATATAGTAATATAAGATAAACAAAAAGTGTATGTTTTTAATTATTAATAGGATATAAGGATGTATGAGACTAATGGCAAATTCTGTAAATAGTCTAATAAATCTTGGGTAATTATCTAAATAGAAGCCAAATCATTGTGAGAACGACACATCAGCGTGGCAATCTTGTTCATAACACATGATGGTAAGGTTTTTTTAAAAAAATGTTTCTCTATTAATATATAGGGGATATTGATGAAATTTAACTAATTTTAGGAAAATCTTTTTACAAACACATATGAACTTAATGAAATGTTTATGACTAGTTCATAGCTCGCATTCACGCTCAAATGTATTAGCATAAACATATAACAGCTGCGTTTTCAAAAAAAAAAAAAAAAAAAAAAACATATAACAGCTGCAATTAAATAAAAAAGATGTAATCTTAGTTTCATGTAGATAAGTATTGTTTTTGGTCGTTTGGCACATCTTTTAAAATATCACAAATTCTCGACGGTACCCAAAACTGTGTATCGATAATTTTATAAAATTTTAGGAATTTTGAAGATAATAATCTAATCATTGTTTAGGCTATTAAGAGTAGTGTTAAATTTTATTAAATTATTAAATTTTTAAGTTTTTCTTATGAAAAAATCCGACTAATCGTGTACCAAAGTGTAACTGAATTCGAGAACACTAACCAATCTCCGTTCAGGTCGTTCTTCGGTAATTCGAGAAACCGAAACACTCATTTTCTTTTATGATCTTAATCGATGATCTATATTACCATCTACAATGGTAGATTCTCATGAAGGATTCTTAACCATTTTTTTAATTTAAATTTTGCTTTGTTCAAAATTAAGAACTTCATTAGAAGTTTTCAACTTTTTTCTCCTCCAATGGTAGAATCTTTAGCTAATGGGGTTCTTAAGAAATACTTTTTTTTTTTTTGTTAAACAATGTGTTAAAACAAAAAGAAGATGTACAATCATGCAATATATGGTTTTGTTACAATAGATATAAACCAAAACAGAGAACCAATTGCAAGTGATTGACAAAAAAAAAGAACCAATTGCAAGAATGTGAAACAAGATGCAATGCTCCATTTCTATACAAGACCGACAAGGTACAAATATACCAAAACAGAGAGTCCTACTCCAATTCTATACAAGACCGACAAGATGCTATGTTTGACAAGAATAGAGAGTCCTAGTCCATTTCCAAACCTGAAAAGAGAACATCAAACTCATTCAAAAAAGACGAAAATAAAACTAAGAAAACCATTGACTGTTAGGTGTTTTAACAAAGAAAACAAATAAATCAGTTCTCACAAGAACAATTCAAGATCAAAGTCGAGAAAATTGTTTAATGATTGTTGTGGTTGAGCAATCTGTAAATGGTTGTGTAGTTATTTGCATCAAACCTCTAAAAAGAACAAAACTGTTGTTCTAAGAAGATAAAGCTTGGATTTTTTTTTATGTATGTTAAAGATAGCTTACCAAGACAACAAACAAAACCACATTGAAGATCACAATAAGTCGCCACTTGGTTTTCAGAAACAAAGTGTATTTGAATTCTATATATGTGCACATCAAGAAGATGAAACCACGAAGAGCTATAATCATCTACAAAGTGTATTAGATCTTCTATGGTAATTTCTAATATCAATTGGGAACTGAGAAATCTGAAATCGAAAAGCAGAGATGTACCTCATCTACACACCCATCATCATCATCTACATTTTCAAGAGCAAAAGCCACTGCCGTTATTACCTTGAGAAAGCCATTGCTCACGACGGAGACCAAGCTTGTTCTGCAACACACGCTGCAATAACAAAACCATAAAATCAAAACTTTGACCAAAGAAAGAGAGAAAGAGACGTGAGAAGGAGAAAGAATGCACATCACATATATATGGCTATCATTCCATTGCAACGATAAGCTTCACAAATCAAACCTCCCAAGTCATCTAAGTCTATGAAACATCAGCAGAGTCAGGGAACCAATAACTCATAGTCCGTGTTCAATTTATAAGGCTGCAAATAAAAATAGTGAAAAAAATTAGATGAGATTCATCAATGAAAATTTTGAGAAAGATGAAGTAGGAATCACTAATTCAATGGAGAAACGCTGGAAATCAAGTTCTTATGATCAAAACACCAAATCACCAGAGACGATGGAGAGAATCCCAGATGCTGATACTCATGCAGATCATGATATTGGTACATAAACCCCTCCGATTTTTCATTGTTTGCTTCCGATTTGATCGAAATCTCTTCCAATTTTGATCTCGTCGATTATCGCGAAACGAAAAAAAAAAATGTCGAAGAAATGGAGAGAGAAACACAGGCATTTTTTTTCCCCTCTCTTAAATAAATCATTCGACCAACCACAATGTGACACGACACCGACACCGACTCTTATTTAAGACTCGATTCTTCTCCTATTTACCCATTTATGATTATTTTTGGTTCAATAAACCTTAAGAGCCCATGATGAGAAGCCCAGTTGGAGCTGCTCAAGGCCTCCGTTAAATAGGAAACGACCTTGATACACAAGCAAAACACAAAGAAAGAATATCAATATGGAAATCTTTCATCATCAATATCTTTCAATTTAATTCAAACAAGGATGTATTTATTGTAAACAATAGTATTTTTTGGTGGGAATAAATTTAACATTCATTCAAAAATAAATATATATCAATATGGAAATACGACAAAACTAGTAACTATTAATATTCTTGTTCTTCTTCTCCAAGACATGCCTCTGCTGGACTCAACCCTTCTCCACAGATTCCATTGGGCTCTTACCGCCATCTTTAACAAACGCATTTTTCTTCCTCCACTTATACTTATTTTCAAAAAGATGATATGGGCTATCACATTCACATGAATGGGGGAAAGTTCGAGCGGACCAAAGAAGTTTATTCTGTGTGTTTGTATTGATTAAAGAGACCTTAACGTCGACTCTATTCTCGGTATCTCCGGACGTTTCTCTCACGGTCATTCCATCGCTAGGCTAAAACAAACTTGGAGGTTTCTGTCACGAAGTATGAAGTAGTATTCAAGGTGAAGCTTCCAACTTCTGTGCAATGAGTTATTAACCCGCTGATCTCGTTTGGGTTGTCATGGATAAGCCGTCAAGGCTATGCCTTGTTCGATTAATTAGCCCCATTGACTCTAATATAAGACCTGCATTAAAAAGTCTTAATATTATTTCAAACATTATTTTAAATATAAGTAACTTTGAATAGCTAATATACTGACATTAGAACTTATCAAATTGAGAGTACTACTTCAAACATTGACTCTAATATAGTAAGCAAGTCTGAATAGTTCTCTACAAAGATTACAACTATTCAGATTAAGAATACAGAATAGTTTTCTTTGCTAAATTATTTCTAATTGATCAGATTAAGAACACTAAAGTATGCTCTTTACTTAATTACTTCAAACCTTAAAGTTATAATACCCTATTAATAAACACTGAATATTTCTCTACTGATATTAATAACACTAGAATAGTGTCAAACACTGAGTTTCAAATATTAAGTTAGTTCAGCTTAAAAATCAACACTCAAACACTGGAAATTTTGTATACGAAGAAACAGAGCCAACCTCTGTTTTGTAGGTTATTTGTTAATACTTGTTGATTTTAGGTAATTTTTCTTTATGTGGCTAAGTCTGAAATAATTCATCCGTGGAAAGAACAAAGAAATTTCACTCTTATTCAATTATAGGCTCCACAAATTTAATGTTTAATAACTTCAATGTATATGCTTTCATAAGTACAAACTCACAAGTCACAAATGGTTAGTTTTTGTTTGTTTGTTCAATTCTCATCGTAGTAGTATGGCAGAAGTTGAGTTCTCACAGACAAAGGAATGGTGACATTATGCAGAGAGTCACTCCAAGTCAAGCTTCCAAAGTAGTAACCAGTGTTGATTTTGTGTGTGGTCGAGACTCTCACTTTAAAAGAGACCCCTTTGGTTGTAGAGTTAAACACCAAAGTCTCCGGTGTGACAGTCACTTGAATGCCCAAAGGTAGCTCAACCGCTACTCTATAGACCGAGTCGAGTGGGCCAACGTTCGTGAGGGTTCTGGTGAGAGTGACTTCTTCTTTGAGATTTGGGATAGTGATGGAGGGCAAGTTGAAATCAAGAACAGATGGTTTGGGATTCGAACAGACGGTTCCTTTACCGACAAGTTGAGAGATCGATGACTCATTGTAACCAATAGAGCACATGTAGAGAACATAGTCTTCGAGTCCCAAGTCATATACAAGACCTGGTTTTGTAGCTTTCTCTGGATTCACAAGACCTCCACCATAGTCGAATGGATCAGCTGGCTTCCTAGGTGACCCTTCCGCAAAAATCTGTTCTCCAAATGGATCTGTTCTCCAAGCTACACAGAGTAAAGACGATTATTGGGATTAGTATGTTCTTGTTTTGTCTAATTTATCTTGAATGAAGAAGATAAGAACCTGTAGTGACAATGGCTGATCTAATGGCAGCAGGAGACCAATCAGGGTGCAGAGCTTTGAGAAGTGCAACAACTCCTGAAATAGTTGGAGTTGCCATTGATGTCCCTGACAAGAAAATGAATCCTCGGTCATTGAAAGTGGTATTGGTGGTTGTAGCCGCTAATATGCTCACTCCCGGTGCTGCTATATCCGGCTGCATTCATATGATTGATAACATCTAAGGCAAGATCATATCTTGAGTCTGAACAAAACAGAACATGTAAAGATTCTGACGTACTTTAAGGATTGCTGCTGAAATTGGATTAGGTCCTCTTGATGAAAAACTTGCTACCTTTGTACCCACTGGTTGTCCAATGAGTGTCCGAGAAGGTTGTATCTTCACTACAGGTGATCTGCCAAACAACAAAATGTTGCTTATTTTCTTACTTCTCGAAGTAGTAATGATGTTAGTCTATTTTTTCATACCCATTTGAACGTATGTAAAAAAGTATGTAGGTCCCGAGCTCGTAGTCAACAGAAACACAAGGGAAATCATCTAGACATGGTCTGAGAACGTTGCCTGGTTGTCCTGCGATGATTACACCGAGACCACCGGCTCTCTTCACATAACGTGCAGCCCTTGATACAGAAATACTATAAGGTGATTCTGTGAAACACAACACGACTTTCCCCGCCATTGTACGGTTAGAATTAATGAGAAGACGCTCACAGGTACTGCATTACAAGAACCAGGGTGAATATAGAGAATCGATCTTCTTTATAGTTCAAGATTTGGTGAACACTAAAAAACTAGAGAGTTGATATTACCCAGAAAAGCTTTCGTTGCTGTTCCCTGGATTCTCTGGATAAACCAAGCTAGTAAAGGCAACTTCTGGACCTGTGTATATTGCTTGACCCTGCATTAAGAAAGAGTTCATCAAAACATTAGCAAAGTAAATGCATTGAAACATCTAATTTGAGGAGGATCATTAATATATATGGCGAATATCTTGTTGTTACCAATATCACTTTATTGTTCCCAAGTGTCATAGGTGTGACAAAGGACCGATCTAGAGTAGTTGCAGCCACTGTGATGATCCAAGGAGCCAAGTTTGTAACGGTCTGTGCCGCTGGACCCGCATTACCAGCAGCACAAACAACTGTAATACCCTTTAAGACCGCATGGAATGCCCCAGTAGCTATCCCATCTCGAACATCGGTTTCTGGATACAAAGGTTCAAAGCCTAGAGAGAGAGACAGAACATCAACACCATCATGGATTGCCTCGTCCATTGCTTTCAAGATGTCAGCGGATGAACAACTCGTTATGTCTAAATCATCAAGATACAAACAAGTCTTGTACACTGCTATACGAGCACGCGGTGCCCCACCTCTCACAGTCCCTCCAGCTAGGCCCTTGTAGCTTATATTGGGCACGTATGAGCCGCCCGCGATGGTTGCAACATGTGTTCCATGACCATTATAGCCCCTAGGGGAAATGAAGTCAAGTGATTCTGTGAAGTTGAAGCTTTCGTTCTCCGCAAGAAAACCGTTGATGAAGTACTTGGCTCCTATGAGCTTTTTATTGCAGTGAGAGGAATTAAAATCCTCTCCTGATTCACAGCCTCCTTTCCAGTGGCTTGGCACCGGTCCAATCCCATTGTCGTTGAATACTTCAGATTCTGGCCATACTCCTACATTGGCACAAAACAGTTTAGTCATTGAAACACTAAGACAGAGCCTCAAAGGAATTAATAGGAATAGGAAAGTTAAGAAATGTACACATATACACTCATACCTGTGTCGATAATACCGATGATCATTTGTTCACCCATAATAGTTTCACTTAGAAGATTCTTTGGATTGGTGGCAGAAAGGCCTAAGTAGTCCCAAGTCCGAGTTGTTGCCGGTTTGTAGAATTTATCCGGTATGACATGAACAACTTCAGGTAAATCTGTTTCCAAAAAGCATTGGCAATGAAAACAAAATCAGGTTAGCATGTTGAGACAGTCAATATGTCATGTACATATATGTGTCTGGTTCCTTAAAGGCCAAGAAAATGTGAGATTAGGACCGAGTACCCGCAATTTTCTTGGCTTGAGACTCGGTAAGTTTGGCCGCGAAACCTGAGAAGCCATGTCGAAAATTATGCACCATTGAATTATGGGCATCTTCTTTACTGTTAACATGAATGATGAAGCAAAACCAAGAACCATGAGTATATAAATTGAGACATTATAGCAATGGAGAAAACTACACTTACATACCTTCCAAGAAGTGACCACAACATCCGATGATGAGATTTCGTGACCAACTCGGGATCATCATGCTGTTTCTCACCTAAATACACTATATGAACCTATTGATTATCACACCAGAACCAAATTTGTTAGTTTATTGGTCTCTGTTCATGTTTCTTACTAAAACTATGAAAATATATAATTGTCTATCGAGTACCTTTCTCTCAGCACCCGCTCGCGCCAAGAAACCGCTCTGCCCATCGAGAATCATAACCAAACTTAGCACCAAAAAGATTGATGTTCTATGATTCCTCATTACAAGAGAATGTAATTCGGGACTAATAATGGGGAACCTTAAACATTTATACAGATGTGGCCTTTAGATGAGCTTGACCAAGAATGTTTCCATTTCTTGGAATTGTTGTAAGATTTTCTTGTTTGAATTTCTTATCTTTCGTCATATCGTCAGAGTCACAAAGTTTTAATTTAATCCAACACACAATGGCTAAGGAATATATCAAACATAGTGTGCTTAGTCAACTAAAATCTAGTTTATTGCAATGTATTGAACAAACACATCATCAGAGCAAACCAAAGTATGTTTCATGCTGATTCCTTAGCTCCAAAGAAATCAGAAAGTAAAAAAGAATCTCGTATGCAGATTATGGTTTAAAAATAAATAATGGAAAAGATTTTATCGGTCAAGGTTTGCTACACAATGTTCTTTTCAAGACTCAAGAGTCGAGCCTACAACAACCTCCAAGATTTTGTCAGGCGAAAGAGAGTGTCTTTGGGCCGAAGTTTATTGGGCTTTTTCTATGATATAAAGTTGGGCTTTGATTTTCTAAGCATATTGCATATCCTGGAAGAAAGAATCTGTCCAATTTGGTTCGGCAATTTTGGAATTTAGGTTTTTTTTTCTTTTTTTTCATCGAATTTAGGTGTTTGAGTTTGGAAAAAAAAAAGATAGGTTCGGTTTGGGAAGGACAAATTTTGGTTCGGTTGAAAGTAAAAGATTAATGCTGAAATAGAACTGAATAGAAGTGTCAAGCGGGCCGATAGCCTGCGGGCTTTGTCCAAATATTCTATGGTGGGGCAGGCTTGGACATAATTTTTCATGTCTATAAAATAGCGGGCCTCGTGGACAAACCTGTTGGGCTTAGCGGGTTAGGTCTGGACATATCATTTTTGCCCGCTGTCCTAGCGGGCCGGTCCGTCGCGGTCTCACAAACTTAAATGCCCATCACGGGCCGGCCCAGATGGATGCGGGCCGGCCTGTCTGACACTTCTAACTGAAAACAAAATTCGCTTCTTCTTTTTCGAAAACGTCAATAGTTTCAGTTAGATTTAGTATATCTAATTAATTTCGATTATACTAGGATAAAATTTTGATAATTTGGATTTCATTTAGAACAACTTTGGTATTTTGGCTATATTTGTTAAAAAAAATAAAATGGGATATTTCGGTTTGGTGGTTCAGAACCAAATCGGTTACTGAATTTCATTCTTCCTATTGCCAATCAGGTCACCAAATAAACCGAATCTTAACTGAAATAGCCAAACTTAGGTTTGGTTTGGTTTGGTTAAACCAAACTAAGTTAGGTTTACATTCCCAACCCTAGTACATTGTAAAACTAAAATATCTAATCTCTTGCAAAGTTTAGTTACCTTACCTAGTTTCGCATTTAGATGGTTACCGTAAATCGATTGTTCATTGTTGCATAAAAAAGGTGAACAAAATAATCTGGAAGAACATCGTCACCAATATAAAAATTTTAAAAAAAAATTAACGAAGAGTAGGAGCAAATAAAGAAACTTGTGAACCAATCCAACCATTTAGCAACACATTCGTAAGTATTTCATGACAAAATCTATCAAACACAAGACCAAAAAACTAAATAAAAAGGGAAAAACCGTATTGGAATAATCAAGAAGGAACTATGGTTTCGAAGCAATGAAGCCCGTCAAACTCCGGCGCAAACCTCAGTTCTTTCTCCACCAAAACCTTCTTTGTTGTCTTCTTAATCGACACGGCTTGAACACCCGAGGAAGAAGTAGATGATCCATGAGAGGATGACTTAGATGTAAATTTGTTCCTCATAATCTCTGCACAAAAGGAATCAAACATACTGAACAACGAACTCATTATTCTATAATCAAACTTGACTTGAAAAGCTTTGTGGGTTTTCGTAATGAAGAAGAGAAGAAAATACTGTAAGTTTGTTTATATAGAGAACAAACTGCCGTATCAGTGTCATATATGGAAATTGTAGAATCTAAGTTATAATTACAACTTTTTTTCCTTTTTTTTTTGACAACATTTTACTTTTTTTCTTTCTAAAGTTGTAACTACTTTTCTTGACCTCTAATCTTACTATTTTTTTTCTTTTCCTACAATAAGAAAAATAACAGTAAAAACATATAATACGAATGATAAAAAATAAAAAAATTTGTAAAACACTAACTACTAATTAAGATTAATTTGTGTATTCTTGTTTTTGAATCCTTAGATACTTACTTACACTTCGGAGTATGCAAATTTTTATAAAATAAAATTGAAAAGATAGAGAAACACAAGAACTAGACAGTTTTTGTTTTTTGGTTAAAAGCTTTCAAGAGAACTAGACAGTTATGATACAATTATATACAAACAAAAAGAAAACAAAGCAGGGTTTTGTATTGGTACTACTTCAATAGTTAAGATCATCAACAGTAATGTCATTACATATCAGTCCTCGATTTAGTTTAGACATGGGAATTCAGTACTTTTGGTTTCAAACGGTATGGGTTTTTGGATTTCTAGGTTTTTAAGTTTTGGAATTCCCAAATAGATACTAATTTTGTTTCGGTTTTAAGGTTACAGTTCAATTCAGTTTAGGATAAAAATTATAATAAAACTAAAATTATTAATTAATTTATAGATTTTTAGTATATATAAATATATTTAATTAAGATTGTTTTAATGTATTAAGTTTCGATTCGAGTTTGATTCGAATAACTCAATACATTATGTATATACGGTTCGAGTTGTAATAAAATTCGGTGCAAACTTGAAATTGATGAATTTCGTTTCGATTTAGTTTGGTTTTGATGTCCACTCCTTAGCCTGAACTAAAATAACAAGAAAATCTAACACTAGTGGATAATAATAATAATAAAAAAAAAGAAATAAAAAAGAGAGTGTATGTGTCAATTTCTTGGTTCCGAAGCAATTTCTTGGTGCTCTCTTCCTCTCGATTGCATCTTGATACACAAGAGACAAGACAAATCATCCTCTCCCTCCTGCCTCCTCCACAACATCGAATCTCTCTAACGCCTCAATCACTGATATTGATGCTTGTCTCTTTGTAACGTAGATTGTTTTGAATTATAATTTCTCTATTTTTCCCAAGGTAAAAAATTATATACCTAAATGAGGCAAAACAGACATGAAAAATTCTCGAATCTTGTTTACCAAGTAACTGTAAAATAGGGTTTAGCAAAAAGGTTAAATGCTCCAATTGCGATAACCGGTCACGCAATGCGACTCCGGATACGAACGAACTCATCCGCATTAGCCGAACCAATCATCCACGCCACTTTTTTGCCCCCACTTTGGTCCAAAGCTCACGTTACCATCTTTGGCAAATCTTTAGCATTCATTTAACTCTTTATAAACACACCTCTTCATCCCAATGATTGCGACTTGTATGACCCATTAAGATTTCCAACCCAATTATAAATAGGGTTGTTGTGGTGGGTCCAAAAGACGGGCCACTTGTATAAAAATAGTTTAGGGTATGACTGGTTAACTACAATAGAAGAAAAAAAAAACGTAGAAGAAAAAATTCTTAAGTTATATACCAGTCAAAAAAAAATTAGAAGAAAATTTTTTCTTCTAAAATTGTCAAAAAGTAACTACAACAAAAGAATTTTTTCATCTCGTAAACAACTAGAACTCTTTTTTCTTCTTGATGGGACTTTTCTTTTCCTCTACTTTTTTTTCTCATTTCTTCTGGTTTTTTAACCAGTCAGACCCTTAGTTTTGAAAAGAGATGACTAGTGGTGATAGTTTTGTGTTACTGTTTTTTTATAGAAAATTTGCAGAGCATAATTATAGGTGATATTCATATAGTATTATTAGGAATTTTTTAATATTATTTATAATGTTTGTTTATTGTTTGAGATTTTTTATGATACTCCTACTAAATATGTTTGTATTAGTGAGACCAGTTTAAGTATCATATAAAAAAATTTACAAAATCAAAAATAAATATATAAAAACATAGGATTACAAATGCATTGGTGAATTTTTTTTTTTCCCGCTTTCACAAAAAAATGTATTTCAGGGACGAATCAGGAGCCGTCACGTCACCCAATACTGGATATCAAAAGTATCACTGCAGTGATACTGATCAGGCCCAAATTCATTATCTGATCCATTAAAATATTATATGTGGGCTCTTGATACTCTAATTGTATCACCTATGGACATGGTCTAATATTCATAAGAAACAAACTGATCTTGAAACGTCCTTATTAAATATATCGAAGATAGAGATATTTTTTGGATTACGTATAATAACTAAAGAGCCAACTCAAGAGTGATTACAATATAGACTCTCTTCAGGTTGTTGAAGCTTTGAAGGCGTCGAGACAGCTAGCAGTAGCGAGTGATCTGTTCCAAAACTTGTCCCAATACTCAACAAATGGGAAGGTTCTGTAAACAGCAAGAGATTCTTGTTCATTGATCAGCTCGTGTGCTGGACCAATCACTGCATCTGTCGAAGGGAAATAGAATGTAGGAATCGATAATCGCTCCTTCTCGGTGTTCACTACGGCTCTGTGGAGCACACTCTTGTATTTGTCATTGCTTATGACCTTAATTTAGCACAATATAGTGTCAAAACAGAGGAATTTAAACCCAAAATACTATAAAAAGTTAAACAAAGGAAACTGATTTGTTTTGATTACCAAACCTGCATTTGGTCGCCGATGTTGACAATGAAAGTATTGGGAATTGGATTAACAGCGACCCACTTATTATCCTTAAAGACTTGCAAACCAGAGACTTGGTCTTGAAGAAGGACAGTGATGACGGTTGGGTCTTTATGTCCGGGAAGTCCGTAAGTTAGCTCGGGCTCGGGACATGGTGGATAGTAATTAAAGGCCATGTGTTGAGCGTGTTTGCCTAATATATTGCTTATATGGTCGCTTTCAAGGCCTAAGCTCTCTGAGATGGCTTCAAGAAGTCTCAAAACCAAAGCTCTTACGCTTGTCGCGTATTCAGCTGTTACTTCTTTGAAAGAGTTGGGACTAGAAGGCCATTCTTCGATGAAATCTTCAATGGGAAAGCAATGGAGTCTTAGGAAGTCTCTCCAATTCAAGATTTTGTCTGCGCCGATGTTGAAACTGGTGGAGACTCTCGTCGTCTTTGTTGGATCTGCCGAGTAGTGTTTGACTCTTTCGCTCTCGGGTTGATGGAAGAACTCTCTTGCTACGGTTAGCATTTTATCTACCGTTGTATCCGGTACTCCATGATTCTTGATCTAGAAGATAATAAACAGAGCTTAAACAGAGTAAACGTTGTGTTGAAACAGAGCAATACTAAACTTGGAGTTACCTGAAAGAAACCATAAGTGGAACAAGCACTATCAAGTTGCTGGACAACTTCGGCTCGATTAGGTCCATGAAGCTCCCGGAGATCGATTAGAGGGATGGAATCGCTGGAACTCTCGACCTCGGACAAGTTTGGACGGTCCAAGATTGGTCGGACATAGTTTGAAGGGATGTGACTAACGGAGGAGTCGAAATCAGACACTAAGAGCTTAGATGTTGCAGAAGTTGCCATGATTTGGTAATTTGATCATGTCAAAAGATGAAATATAAAGGGACAAAGATGCTCTATAGTTCTATATAATATACACAAATGTAACGTTTAATGTGTTTATAAGTGGCGATCTTAGGAACATTGTAAAAATGACGTCGGCAATGTTGCGTCATTCTCCGTTTATGTTGCCGTGTTACGGACGGCAGTATTACTAAAGTAACACTTGTATAATTGTATTATTTGTTTTAAACAAGTAGATAAATTGTCAATGTTTTGTATGACTGTATATGAATTAACAAAGAAAAACAATGACTATGACTTTTTGATTTTTTCAAAAATTGATTTGTAGTCTTATATTAAGTTAAAAAATATATAACGTTTTAAGCACGGTTGATTCGTTGACCTGCCAAATTGAGCTGTTAAATCATGCCCACCAAATACGTTAAGGAAAACTATTAATGGAAATGTGATTAAGATTGTCTTTTAAATCTACAATATGTGGTTGTCTTTCGGAGTTGCGAATGGGTGGTGGTCTAATGATAGTACAAAATAGTGAGTTTTTTTGTGCATCGGATTTAATTCTCCTTTGTTACAGAAGGTTCTTCTTTAAATTAGAATACCTAAAGGTTAGTTCCCGGTATTGGATGAGATTATAACTACACTTTATCAAAAGAACAAAAAACATGTGATCGCCTTTCGTATCTAAAATTAAAACAAAAATTGGAAAAATTGTCAAATATGATTAAAATGACTATCGAAAGATTCAAATCCTGATCTCCCAACCTGAAAGTGAATAAATCAACGATGAAACCACGATAAAGTTATATGTTTTTGGTCGACGTACGTAACTATGGAGTTAGAATATATAACCTATGGTGGAGAACACGAAAATTAGTTGTATATAAATAGGTATTACCAAAGGAAAAATACATTAATTAGAAGGGTGTATTGGATTAGTAGTTTTTTAGAAGATTTGATATATGTATTTTAGATTTGAAGAGACTTTGAAACATACGTGATGATTTGGTGGATTTTTAAAAGTTTGATTTAAAAATAAAAATTGATGGTTATTTGGTGAGATTTTGATGGTTAAAGAGTATGAAAATACGTTAAGAAATAGTTGACCCGGCCTATTCACCCGATCAAAGGTAGTAAGATGAGTCAAAATGTCTGCGGATTCGCCTGATCGATCCGACCAGAGGTAAGACGGGTCAAAACATCTGGGGATCTTTCTGACCTATCCACCCGACTAGAGGTAGGGCGGGTCAAAACCATATTTCTTATCTATTCAATCAAATCATACATCTATATCTCTTGTCTCTTTTTCTATGTATGAATAGTTTCATAATTGGGTTTTAGGGGTTTTTAGTAGAAGATTCAATTAATTACTGGATTGATTGTCATTAGAAATTTTCTATACTTAAGTTCTTTGATTTACATACTTTTAATGCTAGAATATGACTGACCACCCTTTTTTATAAGATAGATTTTTCTATGCATCAAAAGTGTATGCCTGAACGAATGTTAATTGAAAAATGTGTTTTTAACCTACGAAAATTGATGCTAGAACGCATTGTAAACCAAATGAACATGTTTGATAATGAGAATTTGACTAGGAAATTACAAATGAAAGTTTAGTAATCGAGTAGTCAAATTTAGTGACTAATGTCTTGAAAGAGAATTAATTTAAACTTCTATTCTTGTTTGAGAACGATTCTTCATTATTGAATTCCTTGTTTCATGTATCCTACTAATCATTGTTCTTTGAAATACCCTATACTCCAATATCTTTAATTTATAAGTTTAATTATTTATTTATTATTTATTTTTATTTACAAATCTGAAAACTAACAAACAAACTTCCAGATTTTAATTAAGAACAAGTTTCGCAAGTCTTTAGTGTACCATTGGCTCTTGTAAATCGACCCGGTATAAATACCTTATGATTGAATGTATCATGTATTACTTGAGAAATCACGCACACCACAACCATCACCAACAACTTATGGTCCAATTTCATGTCTTCTAACATGTTTGTAATTGTGTTAGTAGTATAAATCGAAATCAGGAAATAGCGAATCTACGACTTATCACAGATCCAACTACCACCAGACCACATACAAGTGCTATATTTTTGTTTTATTTTAGTTTATCCTCATATGTAATTTTATTATTCTTGTATCCACATACAAGTGCTATATTCGTATATATATATATAATAACTCAGATGACCATAAAAGCTTTTTAAGCTCAAGGACTAATCCTAGACCCATAAAAACTCAAATTGCTCGAACCCCGATGACTAATGCTATTCGAATCCAGGTCGCGAGAATTGTCTCCTTTTACCACTGGACCAAAGCGACTTGGTTCATCGTATATTTATAAAATCTGAGGTTTAAAACTTTAAATCTCAAGCAACATAAAAGTTTTCAACAAAAGAAATATTATTTTTGTAAAAAAGAAAACAAATAGATTATTTTTTTGGGATCTTTTCTTTCTGTGGAGATAGAATCTATAGTCATATACACGTCAGAAAGTATCATTCGTACGAAAAATATTTTAATTATCAATATAAATTACAATTACAAAAATGATCAGTAAGTGTTTTCTTCGTAGAGTGGTTGAAACAATTTGTTTTTAATTAAGAGAAGAAAGAAAAAGAAGAAGTTTCAAAAGAAGTATTGACACGCACACACATGAACTGGAACGTTATACATATTATATGAAAAAAAACCCAATAATTTTAACTCTAAGATCCCTAAGATAGCATCAGCAAGCACTTGCGTGAAATCTCCAAGCGATACGATAACGTAAAATATATTTTAGACGACTTTTTTCGTTTCCATGAAAATATTAATTATAGTTCGACTTTGAGTTGCACAATCGTCCAATAATAACAAAAGGAAACTTTTACAGATTTAATGATAATAAAAAGACCCACCTTTCCTACTTAATTTGTCAGAAACCTATGCATCTGTTTATAGTTTCAAAATCACACGATAAATGATGTTTAGTTAATATTATTAGGGCTAGGTTAAGTCGATTTCTTTTTTTTTGGTGAGTAGGTTAAGTCGATTTCTTGTTTCCCAAGACTATACAATAAGGGTTTAGTAGATGTGATAAATTAGTCTACCATACTACATATATACAACCCCGGCTCAGCTCAGGGGTGGCGGAGATGCGACGGTTGGAGTTTTTTTTTTCTTTTTATAAAAAATTTTATATATAAAATAGGCCCAAATATTTTTAAAAAATATAATTAGTATGAGAATTATATTTCAAGAGGTCTAATTCTTTATAAGTAAAAGTATAAAAAAGCCCAAAATTTTAATATAACAATTTTTACTGTAAAAAATATGCGAATTTTTGAAAAAAATAATTAAATTTTCTTTTTCTATATAATAATAGGCCAAAAAAAAAACTTTTGTCCTAAGACTCCCAAATATATTGGGCCGGGGCTGGATATATACAAGACATGAGATTGGGAGATTCGTAGATCATCTTGTTAACACCTTTCTTGAGATTGACTAGATCTAGTCAATTCTCTAGAGAAAACCACTTTTGTCGTGTTCTATGTCAAGGCTATATCTCGTGTGGTACTTTAGTCCATAAATCTTCACTATCTTGAAATCCACAGTTTACAAGGAATTACAGATGTTACGTTTACACCAATAATGAAGATATATATCAAATACAACAAACGACAGTATCACATCAAGCAACTCAGAAGAACCATCTAATTACCACGAGCAGAACCTTTAACGTTCTTACACAACGCGGTGGCTAGACCGCTAGGTCCATTGTGTATTTGTGTGTTAAGTTGATGTCAATCAGCTGAATATAATATCTTTGCAAGGAAAGCTTTTGCTACATTGCATATTCACAGCCACTCAGTTCCTTTGATGTTCCCCAAAAGTTCTTTAACGTCACGTTTCATGAGAGTCTCCCTGTAGACAAGATGATGACCTAATCTTATAAAACAACTCAAATAAATTAAGAAAGCGAAGTTAATTTGTTTCTTGCGTAGGAAGTTTACCAATTTAAGGCATGAAGGACAAAGACAATGCGCCTACTCAGGGCCTGTTTTTTTTTTACGCCCACATTTTTGCTTCATGATAAGCATCTTATAATATCTTTATCTAATTCCGACAATGATTTGACATAACATCATAATTGAATAAATGTTTTATAGAAACAACATGTTTGATAATCTATTTAATATTAGAAATTTAGAATGATTATTAATATTGAGTGGTGTGATGTTGTGCTTTCACTTTCCAAGCCATGTGATATATACATCGTGTAAGTTATTACTACTGCTGTTTGATATTAGCCCAACTGCAAATCTATTGGAGAAGCTCTTTAAGCTTGACGATGTACAAGGAGCAGAGGAAATATACGGAGAGTGTAGGAACCGCAAGGACCCGAGTTCGATACTAGAATACCGGGTTTGCTAATCTCTCGTTATAACGAGGAAGATGGTGAAGCCAAGGTAAGGAAAGTAGACTATTCGAGTCGACAGAAGTGGATGCGGATGAAGTTTAAGCTGTTCAAGGAAGATTTAATCAGTTGTGCGGCAACTTCGGTTATGGTTGCGGTAACTCTGATCTTGCTATGGTGTGTTCTAAACCACCCTGTAATATGCCTTTTAGTACTTGCTTTCGCTTTGAAATCATTCTTGGACCCTTCATGGTTAATTTGGTCACTCCCTGCAATGTCGCGGAGGAAATCATTAGTATATTTTTTTCAAGTGTTTTATATATATTTGAAGATGAAATGTTACATGTCAAGAGTGTAACCGGAAGTTTAACATAGTAAATAAGATAGAGACTGTATTTACTATGTTATAACATGTCATCTTCAACACCAAATCAATGCTTGTTGTCGGCTGACTAGTGATACAACCAGGTTTCCTAATCTACTAATCCAAAAATGCACGATTAATATGTTGCGGTAGTTGTTGCTTAATTGCGATCTTCGCTGGAAACTTCCTTGGCCAAATGAATTGATTTGAAATAGAATGCGCAAATGGTCTGAGCTGGTATCGCTGACCATTTGGCATAGCTTGCTGCAAATAAACATGAGCTTGAGAGATATATGTGATTCGTTTAGATTTAAGTGAGCATATAACATGAACAAGAATAGTGTAGCTAGAAAGTCATATGTTGTAAGAACTTGTTACTAGGAACACTATGTTTTGGGATTTAGTTTCCTCAATATGAAATCCACATTGGATCTTCTCAGCAGCAATGATGTTTAAACATATTAATTTTTTGGACAATAGGCATTGATTGAAGCCACGAATCTGCCTAACATGAGCACCCTCGAGTCCGCGAGATCGATTTCTGTGTTTCATTCTAGTATTGCTCCTCCTTGAATGTCTTCTACAATATGTATAAGTGTAAATATAAAAGCATAATGAGTTCAAACTGTTACAAGAACGGTTTATTTTATTTTTCTAAGCAGATTTATTATTTATTGAAAACTACTGATCTTGAAATGGCAACACAAAATGGATTTTTGAGTTCCAATCAAGAACTAAGGACCGACCTAGTTATAACGATGATATCTTAGGCGGTGGAAGCTTTGAACGAGTCAATACAGCTCTCAGTTGCAAATGCTGTGTCCCAAAACTTTTCAAAATACTCAGCATATGTAAAGTTTCTGTAAATAGCATGAGAGTCTTCTTCCTCATTGATCAGCTCTTGTGCTGGACCAATCATAGCATCTTCAGAAGGACAGTAGAATGTCGGTATTGATATCCTCTCTTTGTCGATGTTCACAACAGCTCTGTGTAGCACACTCTTGTATTTGTCATTGCTTATCACCTAAGAGGAGAAACAAAATAAGCACATAAAGTTAGCACAAAGAGAGTGAACAAAACAGAGTTTTTTTTTCAATTTGTTTCCTAATTACCTGCATCTGGTCACCAAGGTTGACTATAAAAGTGTTGGGAATAGGATTAACAGCAATCCATTTACCGTCTTCGAAAACCTGTAAACCAGAGACTTCATCTTGAAGAAGAACAGTGATCAAGTTTGCATCTTTATGTCCGGGAAGTCCGTAAGTTAGCTCGGGTTGCGGACACGGCGGATAATAGTTTATAGCCATGTGTTGACCGTGTTTTCCTAAAGTATTGCTTACACGGTCTTTCACAAGGCCTAAGCTCTCTGAGATTGCCTCAAGAAGTGTCAGAACCAAGGCTCTAACGCTTGTAGCATATTCAGCTGTGACTTCTCTAAAAGAAACTGGAGTTGAGGGCCATTCGTGAATGAAATCTTCGATAGGATAACAATGGAGTCGAAGGAAGTCTCTCCAGTTAGAGACTTTCTCTTTGGAAACGTTGAAACTTGTGGAGAGTCTTGTTGTCTTTTTGGTATCCGCAGAGTAATGCTTCACCCTTTCGCTCTCTGATTGATGGAAAAACTCTCTTCCCACATTCATCATTTGCTTGATTATTTCTTCTGGCACTCCATGGTTCTTGATCTGGAACATGCAACAGTAACATTTTGATCGGGCATAACACAGTCTCTTTTATAATAAAACAAAGGGAACACAGTGGCTTACAATAAAAACATAGTGAAGTCGAAAGAAAACAGAGAAAAATGATTTAAACAGTGTAAACTCGAGGAAAAATATAAGAGTGTAACTCAAGAAACAAAGTAAATCTAGTAAATTGGTAAGGAGATTGAACGTGAATTGTTCATGGACTTGCCTGAAAGAAGCCATAAGAAGAGCATGCATGAGCAAACTGATTGATAATGTTGGCTCGATTAGGTCCATGGAGGTCTTGGAGATCGATTAAGGGGATAGAATCGCCAAAAGTTTCAACCTCAGACATGTTTGGACGGTCAGAGACTGGTCGGACGTAGTTTGAAGGGACGTGATCAACAACTGAGGCGATGTCGGATACGAGGAGCTTTGATGTTGCAGAAGCTGCCATGATTGGTGTGAAAATCTGAAGCGAGAGCGATAGCTAGAGAGAGATATGTTATCACTTATCGTACATATCCCATATGAGTCATAGATGTGTTATATAGAGACAAGGACACCGCGAGATGTTTGCCACGTTGGCTAATATGAATTTGATTTTGTTTCATCCTCAAACCTTTTCAATTAAGAAACTGTTGTCATCTTTAATCTACGGACACAAAAAAAAATTTCTTCTTTAATCTAATGGATAGGATTTAACTAGTCAAAATACGAAAAATGTAGAATTAATATAGAAACTGTAATCTTTTATATATATATATATTTTCGCTATTTGTAACTTTTATTGTTGTGTAGATAATGTATTAATAGTGAAAGCCCCTTTGGCCCATTGGTTGACTAAGGGTTCATTAATGCTTCTACACCCAGAGGTTTGGGGTTCGAGTTCCAGATACTGCGATTTATTAATAAATTTACAGATTATTGGAGACAAGTATGCAGGAGATCTCCAGCGATGTACAATTATAGCCGTTTTTACACAAAGAAGGAAGTATCCATCAAAACTATGAAGAAGGAGGTGAAAGAGGTGAGCATAAAGAAGGAGGTGAAGGAGGTGAGCATGAAAAAGGAGATGAAGGAGTTCGTGGATCTGATAAGGGTCGGAAGGAATTGTCCGTTGTAGAATCGTCTATGTAACAGTTCTCATAATTTGCAATAAATAATAAATTCAGATGATAAAAAAAAAAGATAATGTATTAATAAAGTTTTAAATAAGGAAAATTAGAGAAGTTGAAACGTTAATATTTATTTTTCTTTTTTTTTGTCATTTGTAAATTTTATATCTTTGTGTATTCAATGTATCACCAGCTAGAACTTAAAAACAAGAGAAAAAACAGGTTTTGCATGTTAATAAAGAGACTAATTAATATACAGAAGTTATAAAAAAACAATCTTTTCTTTTCTTTTTCTTTCTATTTTTTAACACTGATATATATATATATATATATATATATATATATATATATATATATATATATATATATATATATATAAAAAGAAGGAAAAACAGGTCTTGCATGCTGATAATTACATATAGAAAAGAGACAAAAGAATTAATTAATATAAAAGTTGTAACGTTTTTTTTGTTGTCATTTTTAGGTTTGTCTATATGTGTACCAAGTATATCACTACTAAAAGTTCAAAAAAAGAAAAACAAGTTTGCATGCTAATAACTATATATAAAATTTTGAATAAATAAGTATGTGATATTAATATATAAAAGATTAAATTAATTAAATAACATATATATATTTTTCATCTAATAAATTTATTAATAATATAATATTTTTTTTTCAATAATAATAATATAATAGTTAATAAAACATTTTACGGATTTAAATTTTAATGTAAAATAGTATCTCCGTATAAAATATTGGGTGCGGAAATTTTTCAAAATTGTCGTGATCGTTGGAAAGTAAATCAAATGTGCCAATGAATGAATTGTCGGGGTACCGGGAAGCACTCGAGGATGTTTTTTTGGAAAAAATTCTTTCTCTGCGGAAAATAAAGATTCTTTGATCTACGGATAGGATTTAACTATGAATAGTCCAAATAGATAATAAAAGGAAAAATAATGAATTAATAATATTAGAATTAATGATTATCTATTTTATTTTCTGTATTATTTTTTTTTCCTCATTTGTAACTTTTATTGTTGGATATACAATATATTAGTAACATCATATCTTCAATAAGCCCTCAAACTCTCAAATTTAGGGGTTTTTTTGAACTCCAACAAACCTTCAAACCTTTAAACCTTTATTTTTTGAGGGTTCATTATTTAGGAAAATGGCCAAAATCAATCCCAACTATTTCCATGCGGTTTTTTTCTATCCAAACTCTGATCTCCCGTACTTATCAACCCGAACTAACATAATTTTTAAATAACAAAGTTGAACTATGTAACCGTTAGCCAATTTCAACATAGTCTTTTTTGTATTTGTCATTATTGATTGGAATTGTTAAGTCGTAATTATCTGTTATTTTGTATCTGAATCATTCTTTTATTCAATTGGCTAAATGTTACATAATTCAGGTTTGTTACATTATTTAATAACGGATATATGTTAAAATTGACTAACAGTTACATAGTTCCGGGTTGTTATTTAAAATTTATGTGGGTTCGGATTGATAAGTACAAGGAACTAGAGTTTGAGTTGAAAAAGGACGCATGAAAATAGTTAGGGTTGATATTGGCCGTTTTCTCTTCACTATTCACACTCTAAAAAATTTCATATTTTCATCTTAGTCGTTATAGCTTATATATCTTATAAGTTACAAAAAAAATCCTATTAAATTCAATTATTACAAATATATACATACAAATTCAAATAATTTACATTCAAAAAAGGTAATCAGAGAAATTGTAACGTTTTTCTTTTTTTCTTTTTTTTTTTTATTGTCATTTGTAATTTTCTCTTTGTGTATACAATGTATTACTAGAACTTAAAAAAAAAAAAAGGTTTTCATAGAGAGACAAAATAATTATTAAAAAAAGTTTTTTTTCGTTTTTGTAACACTGATATCAATATTAAAAAAAAAAAAGCACTTGGTGTTGATGATTCGGTATAAAAAACAAGTGACAAATGAATTAATTAATATAAAAGTTGTAACGTTAATATACATATTTGAGTCATTAGTAACGCTTATCTTTATGTGTACCAAGAGTATATCACTACTAAAAGTTAAAAGAAAGAAGAACAAGTTTTGCATGCAAGCTGATAAATATATATTAAAATTTGAATAAAGAAGTATTACACGGTAATATACTAATATAAGAAAGATTTATTTTATTAACTAACTTATTTACGTTTTTTAACTATGTAAGACAGGGTAATGTTCGTATTAAAATCCAGTGAGCTACCTATTTAATGAAAGGGATTTGGGTTATATATTATGCAAAAGTTTTTCAAAATTGTCGCGATTTGATCATTGGAATGTAAATTAAGTGTGCCGATGAATGAATTGTCCGGATTTTGGAAAGCACCCGATCAGGATGCTTTTCGGGAAAAAAAGTGAATGCTCAAGTCAAATAAGATTCGACAAGAATTTAGAACCTTAGGACAAGTGCATAAATTTATCTAGAAAATGTGAATTTAAATTATATGTAATTCAAAGATTCAAATAAACAACGTTTAAATTGCATTTATTAGATTATAAAATTGTGGGTTAGTTCTCATGCGGAAAGTTTTCAAAATTTCGTGATTTGTTGTTTGGAAAGTAAATAAAAATGAACTGTTAGGGTTCCGAGAATCACTCGAATTAAAAATGTTTTCCAAAAAATCATTTAGTGCTCAAGTCTAAGAACAATCGACAATAATCTATACTAATAAGACGAGTGTAAGATTATGTTGGCGGAAAAATATTGAATTTTAATAAATATATTTTTTCGTGAAAGTAAATAAATATGTGCCAATGAATGAAATCTTAGGGTTCTGTAAAGCATTCAAAGATGTTTTTCGAAAAGTATTTAATGCTCAAGTTAGAGAACAATCGATAAGAAAGCAAAAAGATAAAACAATTTTTTGGATGTGAGTTCAAATGTGATTCAATTCCGAAATCCGAAAAAATGACCTTTAAATTGTATTTATTAGGGTAAAAATTGTGGGTTAGTTAATATTCGAAAAGTTTCAAAATTGTAGTGATTAACGTCATTGTGGATTAGTTATCATGGAAAATTTTCAAAATTTTCGTGAATTATGTTTGGAAAGTAAATAAAAATGTGCCAATAAATGAACTATTAGGGTTTCGAAAGCACTCGAAGATGTTTTCTGAAAAACAGTTAATGCTCAAGTCTGAAAACAATCGACAATAATTTAAATTAATAGGACAAGTATATAAGATCAAGTCTCAGACATTTAATGCACAAGTCTAAGAACAATCAACAAAGCCTTTGTACCAATCTAAACCAAAATCAAAGGTATCTCAAGTTCCTCAAAGATGTTTTCTGAAAAACAGTTAATGTTCAAGTCTGAAAACAATCGAAAATAATTTAAATTAATAGGACAAGTGTATAAGATCAAGTCTGAGACATTTAATGCACGAGGCTAAGAACAATCAACAAAGCCTTTGTACCAATCTAAACCAAAATCAAAGGTATCTCAAGTTCCTCAAAATGTTTCTCAGATTTCTAAGGGTATGAAGATGGGAACTAGCAAGAGTGATTTGGTAATGGAGGATGTTCCTGAGATGCAGGATAATGATCTAACTGAATGCATAAAATTAACAGAAAGCACATATAATTTACTGGATATGAAGGAGAATATCAGGATGAGAGGATACCACGTTCTCGCTACTGATGAAGAGGGGAGGGCTTTTTCTGTTGACGAAAGTGGTAACTCAAAAGGTATTTCTCACTTCTCTAGTAGTCTAATTCTTTTCAGGTTGATATTGAAAATACAAATAAGGCAATGAAGAAAATTATTCTCAAAATTAATAGAAACCTGAAATACAAACCTTTTGGGACAAAAATAAAGGAACAAATACTCACAAGAGAAATGTTTTCCCAATATATGGCTTCTCCGGAGAAACCTGTTGGTGGCTAAGGCTATGTTTCAAAAATTTGTATGTGATATCAAAACAAAAAGCTGTAGGTACAAATACTCATAAGGCTAAGGAGGGAATCAAAGAAGGGATGGTGGCGATCTCGATACCATAGGTTGATACGTGAAGATCTTAAGTTGAAACTGTCAGGGAATAGAGGAACACTTGATAGAAGACTATTAGCATGACATATGGAAGAACAAAAAGTCGGTTCTTTTATTTTTATCGGAAACTAAAAGATCTTATTCTTATTTACAAAACTTTCTATCTCAAAGTAGTTATAGTAAGTTATATACGGTTGAGTCTTGCGGGTCTAGCGGAGATTTAGCCTTATTTTACAATGACGATATAATAAGATTAGAGGTTCTTTATGCAAGTAATCGGGTTGTTGATATTAAAGCATTATTCGGGAAACAAATAGTGTTTATATCTTTTGTTTATGTCGATCAGGTTGTTAAATTTCGCAAACATGTGTGGGAGATACTAACTCAGCTAGGTTTTAATAGGAAAGCTCCATGGTTCATGATTGGACTTTAATGAATTTACTGGAGATCATGAGAAAACGGGTGGCAATTTAGGGTTAGCGGCCTCTTTTGTTTCCTTTAATCTCATGATTCGATATTGTGGAATGTTAAAGACTTTCCATCTTATGGGTATCAATTGTCATAGTGAGGTTGTAGAAAACAAATCGTTAAATGTACACTTGATCGGGCTCTCAGAAATGAAGATTAGCATGATTTATTCCCTTATTCTAGATTATTTGGGAATGATTGGATCTGATCAAAAACCAATTTTAGTGAATTGTTCAAATTCGATAGGTAGAAAGAGTCGATGTTATTGGGATCAATTGTCATGGTGAGGTTGTAGAACATATTGTTAGATGTACACTTAATTGGGGCATGATTTATTCCCTTGTTCTTGATTATTTGGAAATAATTGGATCTGACCAAAAACCGATTTTAGTGAATTGTTCAAATTCGATAGGTTAAAGGATCGAAAATTTCGATTCGATTAAATATGGGTTGGAAAAGATGGGTTTCCTATGGCGATTGATTCAGGTAAGAATCGAACTAACATTTTCCTAATACGGTGTTTCTTGAAAAGATTAAAAATTGTAGAATCTATATTTCATGGTAGAGAGAGAGAAATAATGTTCCGTAGGGCAATGTAAATATTTCCTCTCTTGAGGTGGCTTCGGAAGAAGCGAAGAAAGATGACATAATTTTCGAGGAACAAATTACAAAAATTGAAAACAAAAATAAAATGAGCCTTATCATGATGAAGAGATCTACTCGAAATTAAAAAAATAAACAAAAGTTTTTGATTTAAGGTTAGTGACAAAAATTCTAAATTTTTTTCATGCGTCAACAAAATCGTGAGACCTTCCATTTTAAATCAAAATTCTTTGATTCTACTAATCCTTCGTTTAAGTTTAACAAAGGAGATCGTGACTCTCAAACGTTCTTCTTTGTTAAACTTTCCTTTCCCTGAGCCTCGGAATAGATCCGGCCCAACTAGGATGGACATAGGGGCAATGGCCGAGACACCCATGTGATTTATTTTCCTAAGCTTGAGAATAGACCCGACCTAACTAAATATTTTTTAGTTATACATAAAATGGATCCAAATTTAATAGAAAAATGACTTAAGCCCAAAAATTTTACTAGAAAAATCTAAATTTTAGCTTTTTTAAAAAAATAAAAAAGTAAGAACTTGAAAATATATATTTGTTTTTGCTAAAAAATAAATACAAGGGCCATAAAAAGTTTTTGCCCAAGGATCCCTATTTATATTGGGTCAGGGCTGCTTGCATGAGTATATCACAATGACACAATAAAAAAAAAAAACAAATCCATCAATCGCAAAAATCCATCTCCCCAACCCAACTCTCGCTCAAAATCTCATCCCTCAACAGATCTATGATGATACATCTTGAGTAGAGTCACCCAGATACATATTCCAAATTTCTTGCCATTAACAACCCATCAAATCCTTTCTTAGCCTCAAGCAGATCCAAATTTTTTCTACAAAAATAAGAAATTTCTTTGATCCATGATTAACCAAATCGAAATACCACCAACTAACCATCCCCAATCTACTAGCCAAATCAATTTCCTCACAAGAATACCAAGAGATAGATTAAACTTAATCTCCATTTCCAAACCTAATCTTCTGTGTCGCCGTCATCGAATGCATGCATTGGTTTTTTAGACGAAAGTATCTTTCTGATAACTTAATGAAATTGATTTTTCACAAGGTATTTAATTTCTAAACCTAAAATCTATCATTTATGAATTTTCGTTTGCAATCATTAAATCAAACCAGCATTAAATTGAAATCTAACTAGTTCACAATACTTAATGAGTTGGATCGATATAAAGTTTTCAGCATTGAACACTATGAACTTTATCAAGTGTTATTTCGAATTTCTAAACTGTTTGTGATTTTTTTTTTTTTTTTGAAGTTGCAGTCATTGGCCAATTCTGTTACTTTCGTTGATCAGTTTGTTTTCATCTCAAATAATCAAGCCTATGGCAAGGTAAAATTCAAATCAAATTTTTAATTTGGATAGAAATTCTGACTATTATCACTACATACGTTTCTCAATAAATATCATTTTTATAATTTTCACATAATTAAGAAAGTATATGAAATTATCTCCTAAAAATTATTGATTGTTGGTATTGTATTTATTTTTATACTATTAGTTTAGAATTGAATTGGAATTTTGTGTTTTCTCTGGAAATATATATTGAAAATCTAAACAATAGTCATTTTATAACAGAAATTTGAAAGGAGTACTAATCATGATTTGCCGGTGCACTAGTGTAGTTAAAGTTAGCTAAATATTTTAGACCCCCGACCCCATTTAAAGAAGTAATAAATATGTTTACATAATATATGTGATAAAATAAAAAATGAGTTAAGAAAAAAAAACAAAAAAAAAAACTAAATATGGGAAAAAAAATGAAAGGGATGGCATCATCAACATGATGTCAAAACTAAAAAAATATATATACAAAATTAGCATTATATAAAGTTTGACCCCATTTTTTAAGCTTTTAACTTTATATTCTAGATTTATATTGTGAAATGGTATTTATAATTTTGCATTTTTGTGTTTTTGAGGTTAATGATAAAGTTAGGTTAATCACGCCACATAACAGCATATGAGTTCATATATTGTACACATAGAGATGCGCAAATATATTTAAGATATAATTTCTATAAATTAATATTAGATAAACTAATATTCTTTAATATACATTATCAAATAATTAAAATATTTCAAGTATTAATTACATATTATTATTGACTTTGTGAAGTCAACTTGCAGGTTTTAGAAATGGAAAGTAAAATTACAAAAAGTAATAGAATGACGGGGATTTTTTTGCAGAAAAAACTTGTATAGAATAATTAAATTATTTTATAGCTAGTACTCCCTCCGTTTCATAATATAAGTCGTTTTATCTTTAAACACGCAGATTAAGAAGATTTACTTTTACAAAGTTCAGCCAATCATAAAAGAGACTGCATAATATAAATAATTATAAAATATTAAAGTAATATATAAAGTGCATAGAAACTTGAAAACGACTTATATTATGAAACAAAATTTTTTCTCTAAAACGACTTATATTATGAAACGGAGGGAGTATATATTAAGGATTTTGCGGTTACCATAAATTTATAATAGATGATAACATATGAACTCGGATGTGGTGATGTGATGTGGTTAACCCAACTTCATCATTAACCTCAAAACACACAACAATGCAAAATCATTGAATACCATTTCACAATGTGAATCTAGAATATAAAGTTAAAATGTAAAAAATGGGTCAAACTTTGTCAAATGCTAATGTTGTCTTTTTTTTTTTTTTGAGTTTTGACATCATGTTGCTGATACCATCTCTTTCATTTGTTTCCCATATTTAGTTTGATTGGTAAAATGAGTACCATTGAGTTAAATTGAGGTACCTTTTTAAATGCGGTTGTTGGTCTAAAGTATTTAGCTAATTCTATTTAATTATATCAGTGCATCGACAAACTATAATTCAATAGATCTACTAATTAGTACTCTCTTTTAAATTATTTAATTAACTAAGTGGTATTAGTTTTATAGATGTAAAGTAAAATTACAAAAAAAATAACGAATTGGAAGGGCTTTTGAATAATTAGGCAAATTGTTATATCTTGTGTTCGTGGCATGGTGTGCTAAACATTTGTCTACCAACCTTTTAGCCCGTTTGTTTTCACTTGCATTGATAAACCAAAGAAGACCAATTTTAACGCATGAACCCTAATCTTATTATGTTGGCCTAAGAGTCTCCTCAATGAAATGATCAAATATTGAAGTGAACGAAAAAAACATTACCCATTTTCAAAGTCTTTAGTGAATTAGACAAAACGGTTGTATGAAATTTGTTAGGTATTTTTTTTTAGACGAAAATGTTTGCAGTTTTTTCCAAAGTATCTAATTCAGCACTTGTTACCTTCATTCTCAAAATGAGTCACATACATAGACAATTCCATAACGACATCTAAAACACTTAGTTGTAAGGTTTGAGACGTCACGAACTACTAGTAAAATCTTTATAACTTAATAGTGTCGGTACTATAATATTTATTTAATTTATAGTAATTTTAGTTTAGGGAAAGTTTCTAAAATATCACTAAAATGAGTTTTTGTTTCAAAAATACCACCACTAGTTTTTTTTTCTCAAAAATACCACTAAAATATATTTTTCCGAAATACCACAAAACTAAAATTAAAGTTTAAAGTTTCAAAACTAAATCCTAAAACCTAAAAAGTACACCTTAAAAATACTTTTCAGTTTTGTGGTATTTTTGGACTAAAAAGTTTTGTACTTGTATATTTGAAAGAAAAATATTAAAGATGGTACTTTTGTAACAAAAACTTTAATTTAGTGGTATTTTAAAATATTTATCTTTAGTTTATTTATCAATTTATAAAAAATGCTTTATTTTATCACTTAAGATTTTACATGAAATTTTAGAAAAAGATGAATTGAGATAATTTGCTAGAAATATATTTAATATTTTGTAAGTTTGGATTTCAAATTGAATAATTAATTATTTCAGATTTACAAAAAAAAATACTTGATAATTAAATATTTTAAATTGAATTAACGTAACAACATTTGAATTTCATAATTTGAATCTAGAATATAACTCGTAGTTGTTAAATGCTGATGTTGTCTCTTCTGACGTCATGTTGCTTACGTTACGTTTTTAAATGCAGTACATATAAGGTCATCTGCAACGCCGGACCACTCCCATGTTCTTAGCAGTTTTTTAATCCAAAAAAATGGGCTAATGGACTTAAGATCAGGAACTGGGCTCTAGTCCTGGATCTGTTCTTGTGGGTGTTGCGGGGTGACGTGTCATTTCGGGATTGGTTGGAAAAATTAGGAAAGGAAACAACAGATTCATTTTTTGAGATTTTTTTTTGTCCTTTTGTCAGTTAATAAAAAGAGTGTTGTTCGTTAAAGATTAATAAATGACTTTGTATTTTTCTTTCTATTATAGTAACTTTATTTCAAAAAGAGAAATATAGTATTTGTTTCACCGCTTATCTTTACATTCTAGGAAACTTCCTTTTTTTTTATTTGTTCATAAAATGACTAATTTTTTTATCATTACTCACAAGTTTACTTTTTTCGGTTTAAGTCCGGTTCTTTGGTATTGTATTTTGAATTTTAGTATAAAAAAAATTGGGAAAGGAAACAACAGATTCGATTTAATTTTTTTTGGTTCATTTTTTTTTCTTAAATATTTGGTATTATATTTTGAATTTTAGTATAAGTTTTTTAAGTTTGCAATTTAAATGTAATTTTTATAAGTTTTTATAAATGTAATATGTTTAAAAAGTTTTTGATTATTATATTATTAAATTATGATCTTAAACATGTTCTCCCAATAACCAGCTTTTTAACAAAAGATCTAAATTACTGATCTTACATTATTTTAACAATATTTTTACTCTAAAAACACCCAAATGTGATTCCCCATTGAGGATGCCCTAAGTCAAAATAGATCATTTTTTCATTTGTCTCTTATATTGTCACTTACATACAGATTAATTACGTTTTTAAATGCCGTAAGTACACCGGAAAATCTATATATATAATTAGAGAGTCTTCTCTCCATCTAAGGTGTCCACCTAAGCATCCACCTAAGCAATAATATTTATTTTACATTAAAATCAATTTAAAACATCCATTTAATGCATTTACTTGTAATTAATAGAAATAATAAATTTTAAATAAATAAAAAACGAATTATGTAAAATAAATAAATTGTTAAAATAATAAAATAATACTATAAAAATTTTATAAGTAAGACTAATATAATTCAACTTTTAAATGATAAAAATTAAATATGGTCAGTATTCAAAATTTTAAATGTGTTAATGAGTTTTAGGATGGAAGTAACTTTATGTAATTCTATATGTGAAACTTTAAACAAGAAAATAAAAATCAAAGTAAAATATTAGTTTCGAAGAACAATATACTACATATTTTTAGTTATTATTAAATTTTTACTTAAAGAAAAATAAAAAATTACTAAACTCAACATAAATTTATAATTTAAGAAGAAAATATTGTAAGATGCAAACTTTATCTTGTGAAATTATAAAAAACAAATCTTGAAAATTTTAAAACCTTATCATCCATCTTTTAAAAAATAAATAATCAGTGATCACAGTATTCATGAGTTTTACAATAAAATATATTAAAAATAAATGTAAGCCACTAAAAAAAGTGATATGTAATTTGTGTAGCATATTCTCAAGTGGAAGTACAACTTTATAACAGAATAAAAAAAACTAAGTTTGATATTTCATCAATGAAATATTGAAAAGATAGTTATGATATGTCTTGAAAATCAATTCACAGTCCAATATATATTATGTGTGAGTCAATAGAAGGTAAAAAGAAAGTAGATGTCGAGAGGCAACGATTGCATCATAGAAGATGACGAAAGAACTGGTAGTTAAAAGAGTTTGAAAATAAATTTCTAAAACTTTAGAAAGATAATGCACATGACTAATGTATCTTTGAGATCTCATTCATTGTGTGAAACGAATGAGTTCTTAGAAAATACATGACATACATTATTAAACAAATTATTAGATTCAAAGTTGGGTTTAACCATTTGGCCATGTAATCATGGAAAGTAAAATAAGATAGGCACATTGATGACTTAGTCAGAAATTCTCTTATTGTTGCACTAGCTTTGATGGGTAAATCAAACTCGCTAAACTGGTTCTAGCAACATGGTATTATAGATGTACTTTTACACTAAATAATGTTCATAAAACTCGGGAAATTCACATTTTATATGGAATGATGTTATGTTCGTATCAACATTTAATCATAAATAATATCTACAATTAGATCAACAGTCGATAATTAATATCAAAACTTTTAGAAATACCTTCATGGAATATGAATAAGAAATAAACTCTTTGAGAGTGTTGATACCGTTTATTATTTGTGGGATTATATTAAGTGATCTTTGTTACCACGTGATATATATCAAATTATTTATTTGTCAAAGAAATATTATCGTCGATAATATATATGTTATATATCGCTGCGTAAAATAAGTTTAGTGTTTAAAATTTGAATTATTATATTTATGCTCAAAAAATTATCTTTTAAATTTAATTGATTATATTTTATGCTCAAATTTTATATCAATAGAAAAGATTTTAAAATTAAAATCCCGCGCAACGCGCGGGTACAAAATCTAGTCTATATAATTCAATAGATCTCATTTTATCACATATATACACATTAATTAGTACTATTGTTATATATTTTTAAAATTGACTATAGATTTGTTTATGAAGATCTTGTTAATTAAGTTTTGCAAAATTATATGAGAAAATTAACACAAATAAGATTTAATAGGAAAACTCTATAGTTAATGACCGGAGAATTCAATGAGACTACCAAGAGTCATGAAAAATGGGTTGGAAGCTAAAATCATCATCTTTTTTTTTGTCACATCTAAGCTAATGATTAGATATTTCAAAAATGATATAATTTCATGTTACGGGGATCAATTATTATAGAGAGATTGTAGAATAAATAAACACATTGTCATATGTAGGTTTGATCGGACTCGTAAAAAACGAAGATCGGTAGAGTTTACTACATATAAGTACGTTATTTTATTACATATGTAAAACTTTAGAAAAAAATATATAAACTCTGTCAATCTTTGTTTTTCAGAGTCCGATTAATCTAACATCTAACAATATGTTTATTTATTTTATAATAATTGATCTCCGTAACAAAAAAAATTATAGTTTTTTTTTGTCAACCACACATTAATTAATACATAACTTCTTGATTGGTTGCCCAATTAGGAGGATAAAAGTTTACAAAAGTAATTTTAGAAAATAAAAGTAAAAAAAAATATATATATATATATAGCTTTTTAATATATCGAATTATTAAGTTAAAAGAGACAAAAGAAGATGTTGATTTTAGCTTTCCATCCATTTTTTTTTTATATTCATTAATCTCATTGAAGTTTCCGGTCATTAACTATAAAATTTTCCTATTAAACTTCTCATATAGTTTTGCAAAACTTAACAATTGACAAGATCTTCATACACTGATAAACATACGAATATTTATTTTAAAACAATAAGACAGATTAATTAATATGTATGTATGTGAAAAAGGAGATCTATTGAATTACATATTTGCATGTGCACTGACGCCATTTAAAAACGTAGCAAATTTGTATGTATGTGACAAAATAAGGAAATAATGAAACAAATGATCTATTTTAATTTGACTTATGTGAACGCCATTTGAAAACGTAACGTAAGCAACATGACGGCAAAAGAAACAACACAGCATTTAATAAACTTCAACTTATATGTACGTCATTTATGAAATGATTTTAATGATATTGTATTGTTGTGTGTTTGGTCAACCATGTGACATCACTGAACGAGAGTTAATAAGTTGGATAAAATTTCTATAAAATTAAAATTTGATAGATTAATAATCCTTAATATATATTATAAAGTATTAAATAATTCCAAGTATCAAACTTAATAAAATTAGATTAGATGATTAGATAATAATTTTCGGAAAGCCCTTATATAAAATATATGATTCCATTATTATCCATAACTAATAATCATATAACTTATATATATATATATATATATATATATATATAAGATAAAACACAAATGTATAGTTAATGATTTTTCAGAAAATAACTTTTCGTTTGAGATGGTCTCTAATTTTTATTGTATTTTAACAGTTGTTTTTTGTGTTTTCAAACTATCATATAATAGTATTGTTTATAACTTTATTATCAAAGTAGTCAAAAACTTTTGTAAGTTTTTAAGTTGTAAATATATATTTTTTTGTTTAATAGTTTAATAAGTTATTAAACGCGACAATTGAGATCATATGTTTCAATAAATGAATTTATTTATAACCTTTCTTCTTTATCTCCAAGATAGTTTTTTTCTAAATTTGAAATGTTGAAATCAAAATTTACAAAATATTAGCTTTATTTATATCAAATTATCTCAATTTATATTTTTCTAAAATTTCATGTAAAAATTTGAAGCGATAAAAATGTTAAAACAATTTTTTTTATAAATTAATAAACAAATTTAAATTACTACATATTAAATAAATATTATAATACCAATATTATTAATTTATACTACATATTTTTTTTAGAATGAAGGTAACAAATGCTGAAGTCATACTTCCGAAAAAGTACATAATCAATTTTATACAATGATACAAACTGCATTGTCTAATTCACTAAAGACATTGAAAATGGGTATTTCTTTTTTCGTTTACTTCAATTCAATCTTGGATAATTCAATTAAGAGACTTTTAGGCCAACATAGTAAGATTAGGTTCATGCGTTAAAATTGGTTGTCTTTGGTTTATCAATGTAAGTGAAAGAAAACGGATTTAAGAGTTGATAGAAAATGTTTAGCACACCATGCCACGAACGCAAGATATAATCAAATGGCTTCTATATCTCTTTATATTTTTAGTACCTTTATCTTCTATCTTTATAAATTGTAAGTCAATTTCACAAAATCAAAAGTAATATAAATTATAACATACAGTAGTCCAAATAATTCGTTTTCGTAAATATATTAGCCTAAATAATTTTGTCCACCAATTCTTATGTTGGTGTTTTTGTACTTGTATTGATAAACTAAAGTAAACAAATATTAACGCAAGGATATCAAGGTCGTTTAGCTTAGAGACAAAATTTTATAAATAATGAACTCAAAGACAATTAGTTTTCTATCTAAGTAAAAAAAAAACAAATAAATAGAACAAATAGATTTGAAGTTGAAAAAAATCACAAAAAACCGGCCTCTACTTTTACTTTGCGTGTGGGATAGGCTCAGTTAATTTCTTGGACGAGAGAAGGAACGGGTTAACGGACATTTAAAGTTTGACATGTGAAATGATGTACATGAAACGAGAAAGAACGAGCTGACATGCATGTAATAACGGCCAAATTAACATTAATTGTTGGTTTCACAAATTGAAGAAATTTTAACACGCTACAAACATATATTGCACTATGTTAATATTTGTACACATGTAAATACATATATAAAGCGTTAAAAATAATTATAGTGTTAAGTTATTATATCTATGTATACATATAAATATATATATATATATATATTTATATTTATATAAGAAGCGATTAACATTTGTATACATATAAACATATACATAGAATGTTATTAACATTTGTATGCATATATAAACACATATATAGAGCATTATTGACATTTGTATATATGTAAACACATATATAAAATGTTATTAACATTTGTATATTTGTATACACACTGCAAATTAAACATATATTACGACTATTGTATCCTAAACCGTCAAACATAGCACAATTAGACACCGAAATATTATTGGAATAATAAGTTTCATAAGATTTTCAATGGAATTTTACCTGTTTTCGTCGAGTTTTTACCGGATCTTCACCGGATTTTATCGAACTGTCATCGGATCTTCAGCAGATTTTGTCAAAAAAAATTCCGGATCTTAAGTAGATTCATTAATAACGCTCATGTGTTTACATGTATATATAAATCCAGTAATTTAACATATACTCCCTCCGTTTCGTTTTAGTTGTCGTTTTAGGATTTAAATTTTGTTTCGTAATAGTTGTCATTTTAAGTTTTCAATGCAAATGTTTGATAAAAATTCCAGTATTATCCCTAGTGTTTTAATGTTTTGGCCAATGAAAAATTTTATAAGATATATTAATAAAGAATAAAACAGAAAATTTAATGTTTTCTTAATTTGTGTGAGAAAACCTTAAAACGACAACTAAAACGAAACGGAGGGAGTATTTGTTTACATGTATAAATATATTAAAATTGTGTAATACTCCATCCGTTTCAAAATATAAGGCGTTTTAACTAAAAGTACGCCGATTAAGAAGATCTACTTTTTAAAAGTTCAGCCAATCATAAAAGATACTGCATAATAAAAATAATCATAAAATATTAAAGTAATATATAATTTGCATAGAAACTTGAAAACGACTTATATTTTGAAACAAAATTTTTTTTCCAAAACACCTTATATTTTGAAACGGAGGGAGTATATGTTTATAGTGTGTTGAAATTTCTCCAATTTTTGAAATCAGCAATTAGTGTTAGTTTTGCTATTGTTAAATGCATGTCAATTTGTTCTTTCTTGCTGCATGTACGCTATTTCATATGTCGAGTTTTAAATGTCGGTTAGCTCGTTCCTTCTCCTGTCTAAGAAGTTAACTAATCTATCCACACGCAAGACAAAAGCAGAGACCGGTTTTTCGTGAATTTTTACAACTTCAGCTATATATGTTTAATATATTTATCTTTTTACTTAATAGAAAACAAATTGTTTTTGAATTAATTATTTATCAAATTTTGTCTCTAAGCTAAACGACTCTGATATCCATGCACTAAAATCGGTTGTCTTTGTGTTTACCAATGCAAGTGAAAACACACCGACATTGGACAAAATTATTTGGGCTAATATATTTCCAAAAACGAATTATTTGGGCTAATGTATTTATTGCTCCAATGGGCTAATTAATGAAACCTTAACGAGCTATCTACAAGGCCCATTAAACAATAGGGTAAGCCCAAAGCACTATCTTACGCCCTCTTTTATATTCATCGCCACTGAAACTGAAAAAAGGGTTAGTTTCGCTGCGCTGTTTTAAGGGTTTTCGTTTTTTTGTTTTTTCCGAAGAAGAAGAAGATAAGAGGTTGAAGAAGAAGATGCCAGGACCAGTTATCGAGGAAGTGAATGAGGAGGCTCTTATGGATGCCATTAAAGAGCAAATGAAGCTCCAGGTTCGTTTTCGTTTTCTCTCGTTTTTAAGAGAGACTATTTTTTTTTCGATTTTGACGATTTTTTTGTGTTGTGGAGCAGAAGGAGAACGATGTTGTTGTTGAGGATGTGAAAGATGGAGATGAAGACGACGATGATGTTGATGACGACGACGATGAGATTGCAGATGGTATTTTACTCTTTTTTCTCGATTTGATTGTTTTTTGATTAATGGACTTGGTTTCTGAAATCATTTTGTGGATTTGTGATTGATTTTGTGGAATCTGTTTCTCATTTGTGAAAGATTAGATTTGTTTTGCTTGGAGTTATGATTTTAGGGTTTTGATGTTGTTGTTGTTTGTGTTTATGTGAAGGAGCTGGTGAGAATGAGAGTTCTAAGCAAAGTAGGAGCGAGAAGAAAAGCCGAAAGGCGATGTTGAAGCTGGGAATGAAACCTGTCACTGATGTTAGCAGAGTGACTATCAAGAGATCGAAGAATGTAAGTAATAATTCTCTTATTGTTGTTTTCATTATCGTATAACGATGTTTGATTATATATGTTATGGTATCTTTTAGGTGTTGTTTGTCATCTCGAAGCCGGATGTTTTCAAGAGTCCCAATTCTGAGACCTATGTGATATTTGGTGAGGCTAAGATTGATGACATGAGCTCTCAGCTTCAAGCACAAGCTGCTCAGAAGTTCAAGATGCCTGATGTTGCGTCTATGATCCCCAACACCGATGGTTCTGAAGCAGCCACGGTTGCACAAGAGGAGGAAGACGATGAAGATGTTGATGAGACTGGTGTTGAAGCCAAGGACATTGATCTTGTGATGACTCAAGCTGGTGTATCGAGGACCAAGGCTGTTAAGGCTCTTAAAGCCAGTGACGGAGATATTGTTTCCGCCATTATGGAACTCACTACATAGGTTGAGTTGCAGAAACTCCCGGTGGTTCTTTTTTTCCGTTGCTTCAGTTCTGATTCAGTTAGCAATTTTCTCGAACATTATCTGTGTTACTCCACTTTTAAGGCTATTTTTTCTCTTCCTCTGAGCCATAAACAATGTTGCTTCACATCTATAATTTGAGACTTTTATGTCTAATGTTGTTATCTCTTTACATATATTCATTGAAACGTTGCTTCAAAATACAAAATTGATTCAAGAAACAAAGCTAGCTACATTTGTGTATAAAGCGTTTCAACATAACATAATTCAGATTCAAGTCTTTCTCTAGAATTGACATGAGTGTCACTCTTTTCTATCTACACACGCTAGCAAAACTTCTCTAGCTCGTAACACCGCCTCGTAAATTCCGTACACAGACCTTAGACTCTAAGGCTGTGCTGTGAGATTCAGCCGCTTGAATTTGTACACACTAACCTGCAAAATCAAAAGCAAACGCTCAAGAGGACCTCATAGAAAGAGTAATCGATCGTTGACATTATTGCTATGAAATAAGAACTAGGATGATTTGATGCACCTTATAACTTCTTACTAATTGCTCAAGATCTTGCTTTTGAAAGAAATGTTTCGTTTTTCGTATTCCATCAAAGACCTATCTGCTTTAGCCTGAAGCCATAAGCTTTTATTAAAACACACCTAGATTGATTTGCTCTTCTGTTTGATGATGATTCCCTATAGCCTGCACATTGTCAAACCGATAGTCTTGAAATACGCCACAATATCATGTCTGTAAGTATACAAGTACAGACTAATTCTACCTTGCCAAAGCCATTTTCTTTGTTCACACCAAATTGAAAATGTGAATCTGGTACCATATCCCCTGAGACCATGGAGTACTTCTCTTTCCTTTTAACATTAACACTGGCACTCGTAATTTTCGCCTTTGGTGGCTGATGGTCTCTAATCGATTGCTATAGAGAACATATCGAATCTTAGAGAAATATGGTGAAAGCGAACATTGTTAAAACAAAACAGTTAGTTGAATGTTTTAAGGGAAGGTAAACAAAACTTTGGAACTGAATAGTAGAGATACACCGCAAAATGTTCCTTTTCATGTGTGTTTAGATGTTTTCTGAATACCCTGAAGCTTTAAAAATCTAAGAATGCTTCGATGATCCTTAAACTTGTCAAGAGAACATACCTTACGGATATAAGGCAACGAATATAAATCACATGAACTGTGAACAGCGCTTGAATGATTCCCAGTATGCTCCTGTACTCTGTTATTGATGTAAGAGTTGAGATTCTGCACAGTACAGTTGATGAGATCAAGATATTGCTCATTTGGTAAATCTGAAGTTTCTGAACTGTGTACATGTGTTAGCAACTCTGACAGTCCATGAATCGTCGTAAGGAGTTTCTTAACATCCACTTTTGGAGATGGTGATGATGTGGAACAGCGGTGTCTATCGCCAAAGTCAGATAAAGCTCTCACATCGCTTGAAGATGAGCCAATTGGAGAGATCAAAACGGAACCATTCCCCATGGCCGGTAAATCATTTGCAGCTTGTTTTTTCTCACAGCCATATACTTTTTGTTTATTATCTGCTAGTGAGAACTGAGGGGCCAGAGGATTTAGTTTCTTCCGACCACGAGACTTGTTGCTGGACCTATCCAGTTTTGTATTCTCAGAAATCTGAACTTGAAACCGAAGCTGAGGGTTGAATGAAAATGTTGTTCCCCATTCATGAGCATTATTAGAGTATCGATTCTTTAAACTGCCGTGGACCTCTGAAGAATGTGTCTCAACCTTTACATTAGAAAGCAACATATTGTCTGAAGAACTTAAGCCAGAAGTTGAGCCAACATTTGTCTCCATAGTTATCATGTGATCCGCTGCACCATGCTTCTCACGAACGAAGGCACTTAGTTTTGCACAAGCAGGAACAAACACAGGAGCCAAAGGATCCAGCTTTGTAGACTTTTGGAACTCTTTGTCAATATCTAACACGCTCATAGTGTTGGAAAGACTCTCTTGAGAAACCAAACCCAAACTTTCATCTACATGATGGATAAGGACGCTTCTTCTAGTGTTTTGGTTGGAACCTTGTTCAATGCCAGCTTCAGAAAAACTACAATTTTCTTCAAAGACTCTACCATTCTTGTCTAGGTTCTTCTTACCATTGGAGGGTATATACTGAGGTGCCAAAGGATTTAATCCATTGAGACAATTTTGATCATCGCTAAAACGCCTGAAATTCAAAGACTTGACACCTAATGCCACAGTGTTATGAGACCGTGTTCTTCTCCAACAAGAAGAATCCCCCACAATGTCATCTTGTATCGAAGATTTCTCAGATAGTACACTTCTGTTGGCGCTGCACAGATTCTTCTTGTCAATACCAGAACCGTTGGTACATTCAATCCGCGGCGCTGACACTTTAGAGAAGACTGGACTGCAATTGCTATCTTTTCTCACCAGAAACTTTCCCGAACAAGCTGACTCGTCCTTACCGCAAGAAAACCGTCCCTCTACTCCATCAAAACCAGAGTTATCATTAGCTATGTCAGCACTCCTAGCTACTGGAGTTATACTAGTAACTCCAAAAACCGAATGCCCCGATTCTTTCGCTACAAGAATTCCAAAGAAAACATTCACAAGTGTCATAGAAGAGCACATTACACTACTCTCAGCTCAAAACCACAAAATTTTAATACGAGAGTCTCTCCAAAGGATTCAAGAAACTCATAACAAGGAACAAAACCATAACATTTGAAGAAAGACAAAAAAAAAGAATCACCTTTAGGAACAGTGGTCGCATCATTGGGACAAATCTTGTGGTCTTCGGATGTCAAGAATGAGAAATCGAAAGTGAAATCATTCCATAAAGAATCTTCAGAATCAGATTCAGAAGCAACGAAAGAAGATGATAACGAAGTAACAAAAGGAGATAGACTACGATCACATTGCTTCATGTTTCTTCTCTATGGATTCGAAAATCTGTGGATAAAACCGAACAAGGAAATGTATTTTGCAGAGAAGACGAGCTTCAACCTTCTCCTTCCCCTTTCACTCTGCTATCTATGTGATTAGTGATTACCAATGTTGTTTAAACCGATCCAGACGGTTTAGGTAAACCGGACTACCTTCCGGGTCAACCGTCGATTAATCTATATATATAATGAGAGAGTTTTCTATCCATCTAGAGTGTCCACATAGGCGACACATTAGCGTACACGTCATCATACATTTTTAATAGGTATAAAATGTTACCAAAAACATTCGAACCCCTTACCCAATACATTTAATAGGTGCATTTCAAACCAAATTGCCATTTAAATCGTTTTGATTGATATCAAAATTTAAATTATATATATGACTTTATAAAACTTCCACTCAATTTATTTATTAAACGAAGAAACATTAAAAAAAATTTCACATACTTTTATATTATCATCTTTTAATAAAAGAAAATATTTTTTCATAAACAATAACATTGTTTAATATAATATAAACGGCCATTTTCAACCCCAACTATTTGGGGGCGGGTTTTTCCAACCCAAACTAAGACCCCCGTCAATTTCTACCCAAACTCAAAACTAATTCAAATTCAAAACCTAAACTAATGAAAATTAGCCGATTTCAACACGACAGAAGACGGTGTTAGCTCGGGATTTAACGGCTGCTGAGTCAGCGATATCGTGGCATTGACGTGGCGGGAAAACGGCCATTTTCAACACCAACTATTTGGGGGCGGGTTTTTCCAACCCAAACTAAGACCCCCCCCCCCCCCGTCAATTTCTACCCAAACTCAAAACTAATTTAAATTCAAAACCCAAGCCGCTGCTATATTCATGTAATCTTGTAGTTGGGTCGTGAGAGAAAAACTATTTATATATCGAAGGTGATCTATCATTCGATAGTCCGACTGTGTATTACTTACCATGTGATGGATCTTGGGGGTTGTATGATTTCTAAAACAATATGGTATTGTCTCCATTTGTGTCGAGTTGAAATTTTAATGAATGACAGTGTGTTACCATAGCTTTAGAGTTCATGAATTGTTATGCGGATTGAAATTGTTGTGAATTATAGTGATGATGATTCAGGTCACGAGACTATAAACACAATTGATTTCAGACAAGTTTCCAGATAGAATGTCTGTACAATGATTCCACTGCAGGAAGAAAGACAAAATCTTTAGACGGACACAATTGCTAGACCAAACTATTCAGGAACAAATTTTGCTTTTTCTTGCTATTGCTACATTTCTTTCAGATTCCGTTTACAGTGCCTGTGAATTCATAAAATCGACGAACATTTTTCTGTTTCGAGAGAAAATGAAGAACCCTAATTTTAATTTTTCCCCAAAATTAGAACGACGTCGTTTCATTGTTTGAAGGGGAAAAAAATAAAACGACGTCGTTTTCATTGACCAGAAGCCACGTCAGTGAAAACGACGACGTTTTATTTTTTCCCGCCCCCAAATAGTTTGGGTTGGAAAAACCCGCCCCCAAATAGTTGGGGTTGAAAATGGCCGCTTTTCCGCCACGTCAATGCCACGATATCGCTGACTCAGCAGCCGTTAAATCCCGAACTAACACCGTCTTCTGTCGTGTTGAAATCGGCTAATTTTCATTAGTTTATGTTTTGAATTTGAAATAGTTTTGAGTTTGGGTAGAAATTGACGGGGGACCTTAGTTTGGGTTGGAAAAACCCGCCCCCAAATAGTTGGGGTTGAAAATGGCGGTTTTCCCCACAAAAATATGTGAATAGAAGTTAATATACAAATAGATCATTCAAAAATAGAAGTTAATGAATTAATAAAACACAGCACAAAAATATATAAGATAAAAATATGAATAAAAATTAGAAGCATATAGATAATTTTCAAATACATATAATTTATATATGAGAAGTAGAAAACAAAAAAATATGTTATCACGCTAGAAAGACATTAACCTTTTCAAGATTTATAAAATATTTAGATTAAAAAAAGTTTATATGATAGTAAACTATAGAATTTAGATTACACGAAATAAGAATATCTATTTTTCAAGAAAAAAGTATGTATCCAAAATCAAGATAAAATATATATAAAATTGTATAATATATTTAAGGAAAGAATTGTGATTTAAAAGTACAATTAGATACAAGATTTTTTTAAACAATAACGTAAGAGTGCAATGTTTCATGGAAAATGCAATGTATGAGAATAGGAAGAATCCAAATATAAAATTTAATATGTAGGAAAAAGAACATTTTATAATAGACAAGAAAAAATAAAATATAAAAATGAAATAGATAAAGAGAATATAATTTTAATGTAAGTTTATAATGAATCAAAAATTTAATCAATTATTTTAACGAAAAGAACGTGAAAAGAGATAAAATGTCGCGAGGTGGACGACTGCATATTAGAATATGACGAATAAAATGACAGCGAAATAATTTCAAGAGAAATTGACTAAATTCAAAAAAATGTATGAACATGACATGGTCGAGATTGTATTATATTTCTCTGAATTTTTTCAACTAATTTTTTACCACGTGTTACCTAAAAATTTGTTGTTTTTTTTCAAGAGAAACATTATTCTCAATAAAATCTATGTTATATATCATTTCATAAATAGGTTTATGTCATTATAGATTTATCTTTTAAAATTCAATATATATATTTATATTCACGGTTTATATTGTTAATAGTTTATAAGTAAAATCCCGCGCATTGCGCGGGGTCACAAATCTAGTTGATTAAAATTTGTTTAATGTATTTTATATGATTTTATATTTATAAACTAAAACTAATCATACTATACTTAACAAAAATATAATGTATAATAATAATAATAATAATAATAATAATAATAAAGTGATTAAATTTTCTAAATCTAACTAAAACCGAACAAAAAATACTAAGATATTAGTCGATCACCAATGACGGAAATAAACTAATAAAACATCGCAAAGTCAGGACAACCAATTTATATTGAAAATCTAAGATATCAAGAATTGAATAGTTTAGTCAATATATTATATATAACTAAAATAATTGAAATACATTAAGATTTTATATTTTATTTTTTAAATCAAATGAATTCTCGTGAATTATTATCTGGCCGGTTCAAGTGGACCATCAAATCGTGAGTTAAACATATTGTTTTGAGCTTTTCCGGCTTTAAAATTGTCGGATATTAGCACTAAACCTAAATCGAAGAAGTATCCGCGGTTTTTTTTTGTTAGCGTTAATTTTTAAGGTGATGCTAATATAATGATGTTTTAAAAAATTTTATGCAACTTTAAATACATTTGATATTTTATGACATTTTATATTATGTAGTCCTTTATATCATTGGTTGAATTTCTTAAATTAACTACTAAATGATAGTAGTTTTTAAAAACAAAATTAAATTTCTTAAAGTGTGTGATTTTAGGTAAAACATTTTATATTATAAAACAGAGAGAGTATACAATAGTGAATTATATTTTTAACCATAATATATAAAATGACATTTCCTATTTACAAGCAGAGAACGTCGGACTTCTCTTAGTTTTATTTTTTTAAAGTGAAGTATCATATAATTATAATTTACTTTTTCCCAAGTTTCAAGTCGTTATGCATGTAGTTACATGAGACGGCATGCATTAACGTTATCGTCATTGAACATATTACTAACCCTATCGTCTCCACGAGAACCTACGGGAATATTACCATGTTGTTCCGTACCATTGTAGCCATGCCTATAATAGTTATAGCTCTCTTTAAACTCTTTAGAAGGATCTACGAAGTAGTTTTGAGTAGATGTGAAGTAAAGTGGAGGCTCAGGGTATGGCCAAAACTCAGCTCTCTTCCCGGCTCGCCTCACGGCTTTGAGCACTTTGTTTCTGTCAACGTAACCCACCACTCTTACTCTTCCCAACTCTCTATCCACCTCCACTGAATCAACTCCTATAATTTTAATCAAATTCATTACATCTAATCTTGTCTTTTAAATTTTAAGCAAAGCATTAATTAGTTGTTACCTCGGAGTTTGGAGATTGCGTTCCTAACGATCTTGACGCAACCGGTGCAACACATTCTGACCTTGAGCTCAACCGTCTAGTAGTCCACGTTCCGCGGATGTCAAACTCAAAAACTTTAGTTTTCTTATGAGAAACTTTGGATATATACATGAAAAATAGTATCGTACATACGATGTGTCGAAATGATCATTACTAAATTGTGGACACATGAAAGCTAGATGATTGTGTACGAATTGACATTTAAATCGAGACAAACCATGGTACCTAGCGTACATTTTTATAAACCAATTATTTCAGCATATATCTGCTTTCTAAATCGTAGACATTTGGAAAGCTAGACCATTGTATAGTCATTCGTTTAAAAAAAAATCCTTCGTTTTGCTAATCTTGTTATACTTTCAATTAAAAGATTTTTTTTTTAAATGCATCTATGTAACCACAATTATGTGACCAATTATATAGGGATGAAGATCTAAGCCATATTATTACCATACCCAAAAATATTTATAGAGCCATTTTACAATTTAGTACTCAAATAGCTATATACAATGTTCTAAAAAGCGGTCTAGGCGGTCGCCTAGGCCCCGACTAGGCGCTAGGCTCTTATGCGACGCCTAGATAACCGCTTTGACCGCCTAAAATTACACAGATCTTGTTTAATGTATTTTTTCAATTTAAATTAGAGTTTTATTTATATATATAGTTATAAATATTCATATATTGTTTAATATAAATATAAATAAATGTTTTATCTAATTTTTGTTTATAATTTCATAATTTTTAGTTTTATATAGATATTTTATATAACTTTTATATATAATATCATATGTATAAAATTTTATGTTATAAATGTCTAAACCGCCTAAAAAATCGCCTAGGCCCCGATTAGGCGTTCTAGGCGCTAGGCATTGGGTCACCGCCCGCTTAGCGCCTAGCGCTTTCTTGAACACTGGCTATATATGAGCTTGATTGGTTGGTCTGTAAGTCCACCTTACAGTATTAATTTTTTTTAAAGCCGAAATTATATGTCAATCGTGTTGTAGTGGTTTTTTAAAAGCTACAATCTTTTTTTTTTCTTTAGGCTGTAGCAGAGTAAATTCCTAAAGCCCTATTTTTTGGCTGTAGAAGTTTTAATTCACATTAATATTAGATAAATATGAAAATTAGAAATTATCAACAAAAATTCTAAAAAAAATATATATATAAGTTCTAAAAATAAAATTATCAAAAATACGTAGACTTTTGTGTTTTGACTAGGATTTTTAAAAAAAAATATTTATTGTTTTTATTTTAATTTTAATTAATAATATACCCAATTTTATTTACTTTAAAAAGTAAAAATAAAATTTTATTATAAATAATATATTTTTGTTTTAAAACACCTACGTCCAAAAACTTACAGCTACAACCAATTCACTTACAGCAAAAATTCTACAGCAACAAACGCTACAACTACAGCCAACACAGTTACAGCAAAAATTCTGCAGCAAAAACTTTACAGCTACAGCCCAACCAATCACCCACTATATCTTATGATAATAAAAAAATCAAAATAATCTTAATTATGGACTAAATTTATTTATGAGTGTATCGATTTGATTTGAAAAACAAACCAAAGTTGAATATATTTTGGCTCCAACTTGGTAACAATCATATATAATCGAAACCAAATTAGAGGATTCAAACGAAACCGAACCGAAAATCAAATGGTCATGCCTATGATTTCAGCTGTTGCGTGTGGCGGAATGGGCATGTATGTCTAAAGAAAGAAAAATAACCTGCAAAGAGAGTGGACGTTTCCTAGACATCCTGAAGTAGCTTATATGTGTTGTGGTTCTTGGATTAGACACATAACGACCGCGTCGAAAGGAGAAAATTCTTGTAATGATAGAGACAATGGACCCGAGACTTTTCATAATCAAGGAAGACATCTACGTCTACGATCGGAGATTTTGGGAAAGATTAGATTCAATATATACATAATGGGAATATATAGAGAGAGATAGATGAAAGCTTCGGAGATAGGAGAAGTTGAGACACATTGCGACATGAGTAAACAAGAGACTAACTTAATTACGGAAAGGAATATTTAGAAATTGAGATAATGATGTTATGTAAGCTAACTTAGCAGCTTTTTTGTTGTTAAATCTCGTGATCTCTTAGACACACGTCACACACGTTGAGGCTCTTGCACACTTGTGTTTTATTTATTTTATGTATAAGATTAATGTTTTTTTTTTGATAAGTATGTGAATTATAGATTAATGTTGTTTTAGTTAGAAGCAGGGTTTGGCCTTATCATGACGAGGAAAAGCACATGGTACACGTTCTGATGTTCATAAGAAATTATTGAAACAATCAAAGAAAATGAGAAATTGCTTCTTTTTATATATGCATGCATGTCCGAATGAAATTTTTTAAGTCTTACTGTGCACAACATGCAATATTACCTTCTGTTTTTGGTCATCTGATTAAGATTAAAATTATTGTGATTAGATGCTTTGAGAATTACAGACTTAATTTCCACGGAATATATCAAAGCTCTATCTATACAAAGAAAGCAAATTAATATATACTAAGAGGCAAAGGATGAAAGGGATAGGAGAGTACACACCACAAAGGAAGTGGACTTAAGATAATTAAACTTGACAAAAAATAACAAAAAAAGAAAAGCTTATTTCAGTTTGAAATTTTAATTTTTTTTTTTTAATTAAATGACCGATACCAACGATCTCGTTGACTTGGCTCCACCATTAAAAAAAAAAAAAAAAACCACATATAAGTTTATCTTTTTGAGTATATTTATTATGATGATTGTTGGCAAAGAAAACTTATATATTTTCTACGAGAGTAAGACAAACCACAAATTTTTGAACCTCAAAGAGACGATTTGTTTATATTTGAAGTCATGAAATATGGGGTTTTGTTTATGGTTTCTTGTGGTGTCATGTTTCTTATTCTAAGCCATGTTGAAGGTAATTTTTTTCTTATTTTGTGTTATCAATTGTTTGTATATATATTTTCATAGCCTAACTTTTTTGTGGTTGATAACACAATAGAAGCTGACGCCATGAAAAAGTTTGGGTGCAACACTACACACCCATTCCCTGGAAAATGCGGAAATAATGGAAAGAGTTCTTGCGTAAGTGACATGAAAAAGCTTCCTAGCGCGCCAAAAAATCGTAATATACGTTGCGAATGTTCTGACCGTCCAAGTTTAGCTTGGGGTATGCCTGGCGAGCGTGTATGTAGATGTCAATATGACTGTTAAAATTTATAATATATCCATAACTAAAAGAACATGTCGTGCTTTAAAGAAAAAAATGTTTTTGCCAAAGTAGATTGTTGGGGTGGGATTCCATCCTTTGGCGCCGAGCCAGACTTAGAGCACCTCGGGAGTCTTTCAGTGATCACCTCGGGGCATAGCATCATCCACCTCGGGTTATCCATCTAATCAGTTTAGGGTACCCGAGCCCATCGCCTCGAGGATACCCGAACGAGACGTCTCGAGGTACCCGAGCCCAGTTGCCTCGGGAGTACCCGAGCCCAGTTGCCTTGGGAGTACCCGAGCCCAGTTGCCTCGGGAGTACCCGAGCCCAGTTGCCTCGGGGGTACCTGAGCCCAGTTGCCTCGGGGGTACCCGAGCCCAGTCGCCTCGGGGTACCTGAGCCCATCGCCTCGGGGACACCCGAACAAGTCCTTCCTGTGTACCCGAGCCGATTGCACAAGTTTCTCCGAGGCGAAGTCTTCATCATCACCCGAGGTAAAGACTTAGTAAATATTCGTCTTCAAAGTATCATTTCCAAGCAAGGCATCATTTCCGAAAAAGAAGGATCATTTCCGATAAACCCGGAAATGATAAAGAAGAATCACGAAGGATCAACTCAAATCAGGGAATCGTCCAAAAAACTCCGAAGAATAAGGAAACTATCCTAAATCGCGATATTCTACGCCGACTTCAAGATAAATGGAAATCTTCCGAGAATATCGCTGGAGAGGCGGTTTATCACCCCTACATAAAGAGACTCAAGGCTCTCGCAGAAGGGAGGCAATATCGCTCTAGAATTTAAACTACGCAAAGCTCTCACAGCACAAACATCTTTTTCTTTTACGATCAAACTTTTGTACGATCAAAATTACTCTTTTCATCAATAAGATCAAGAACACCATCTTTGGTTACAATAGTTTCTGTTGTTCTTTGAGAATTCACGTTTATCGTATCCCTAAAATAAAACCTTAGACAAATCTCGATTGTGTTAGTTTCGACTTCCACATAGATAGCTATTGATTATTAAATAAATATGATTGTGAGTTAATATCTCTCCATTTTACAGAAAATGTTCAATTTAATGTGACTTTTTTTCTTCCCAATTTACTCTTAATCCGAAACTATTTTTCTTTGAATTTAAATCATTATTGTATAATTAATCTCTTATTGTATAAGGACATATATGTATTATTAGTGGCATTGTTATTTGTGACATGTGTCAAAATAATCCCTTATATATTAATAGAGAAACACTCTAAAAAATAAACCTTACCTTGACGTGTTATTAACAAGATTGTCATGCTGACGTGTCGCTCTCAGAATGATTTGTCACCTATTTAAATAATTGCCCAAATTTTATTAGACTATTTACAGAATTTGCCATTAATATTATACACACATATATCCTACTAATCAAAAGGAATTTTTAATTAAAATTGCAAATAATTATGCAACAAATCTTTCTAAAATAAATATATCACAAACTTAAGCAAATGATTACGTAACTAATATTAGTAACATAGACTACGAGACCACCTTTATCTCTATATTAGCAAGATCATTAAAATGTAACAGAGGCTATGTCCAACCTTAAGCAAATCTTATCAAGTAACTAATACTTCCAAACTAAATATACAACCGCCTTACATTTTTTCCATATAAACATTAGATATCTATATTTTTTTGGTGAGTACATTAGATATCTATATTAAATAGCAAAGACATTAAAATGTAACAGACATTTATTTTTATATTTAAGTGACAAAGACATTAAAATGTAACAGACGGTGGAAGCGGATTTATCAGTGAGAGTGGCTTCACTTCTTCAGTCACGAGCAACACTATCCCGGGAGAATAGCCAGTTGAAGCAGAAGATGGCGATATTAAAACAGGAAAAGCTCATAAGAGAAGGAAAATAAACCACACATTCAAGGAGTCTGAATACAAAAAAAAATAATCTAAAATCCTATATTTTATTTCAAAATCAAATTATTTATTTTACCCGGTCAGTTCAACCGGCTCATCAAGTTACGGGTTAATGGCAGATTTTTGTGGTTTTTTATTCGGTTTTGAAAAAACCAGACATCTGAGCCAAAAAGAAAAATTACCGGACATTGCCACTAAACCTAAACCAGAGAAGTGTACGGATCGCATGTTAACTGATCATGCCGAACGGTTCAGGTCGGACGTAAAAACACTAATTTGTACGTATATAAAGAAATTTATTGAAAAATACAAAAAATTCAACCCTTTTTACTGATATAGAAAATTGTGACCATCAACCTTTTCCGCGTAAAACGCGGGTCCTGTATCTAGTATTTTTGTAAAACTGAAGAAGAAGTATAAGAAACTTTCTCTTATGAGGTAACGCATGTGGCCAATGACAGTATCAGAACATGTAACATCATTAAGATTAAGTCTCTTATAGATGTCAAATCCAAAGCCTAAGTCGACAAAAGTATTCCAAACGTCCAACTAGGATTAGCATCAAGAAATGTTTTAGTCTCCACCTTTACACTCGGGAGGCTTGACCTTTTGTGCTTATACAATATCTTCTCAATTTGGAAAGACATTGTTTGGTGCACGGCTTCAACCTTCAGTAATAATTTTTTTGATTCCCCTCATCTATACTATTAATTGGGAATCACTAGATATTAAACAACCTTATGAAGAGTAAAATATTACATAAAATGCCATTGGGCTTTAGTGTTTTTAAATAAATTCATTAAGGGTATAATAGAAATCACAAAATTAATATATTTAAATAAAAAATAGTAAAATTCTATTAAGTAATTATTAGTTTATAAAAAGTTAAACTCATTTTCTCTATCCTATTATTTATGACCGAAAATTTAAAATTAATTTATGAAAAATTGTTAAACAATGAGAATGGAAAAACAAAGATATGATATATCATTTTAATTAAAATGATATCAAAAAACAAAACTAAGATAAAAATTAAAATAATATCATTTTAATTCAAACAATTGGTTCGAAAGATGAAGAAATGGTTGGGAACCCAGGCTTCTATCAATATTGCTAAAGTCTTGTCTATCCAGGAGTTAATGAATTCCACGCCGAGGCATTATTACGATGAACACGGTGTAGTTGGTCCTTTTATAGATAATGAAGTTGGAATTTTAAATGTTTATGCTCTTGCCCATCATTTTAGAGAGAGTGGAACAATATACGAAGAAGATTGTCCTATCACTGAGGAGCAGGTTTTCCTGGATGAGAGCACAACGACTGAGGTAAAATGTTCTCTCTCCTTCATTGTCTTCTCTCTTTGTTAAATTAACCTTGAATTAATGTTGTTTTCCCTTGATACAGGGATGTGAGAGAATTATCCCAAGCATTTGTGATGTTCATTCTATCTATGATTACATAGCGGACTATGGTGGTGAGGATGGTGTATCAATGTTTCATCAAGAGTTGGAGTATCAGCTCAGGGAGGGAGGACCACTCAGTATTCAATTCGAAGTGTATCCTTCTTATTACACCACTCAGGTCAGGAATTGTATTTTAATTCTGCTTTTTAGTTTACTTTCATATATTTTCTAAAGCATTTGATTTCCCATCTTTGTTTTTGTGGATTAATACTTGATCTCGGAATCCCACTAATTTTTAACTTTTTGTTTTTTTTAGGGAAACCTCTATAATATAATCCTTCTAATTCAGAACTTGAGTTCATTCCTCTTGGTGGACACTATGTCATCGCCACTGCATTAGGCACACTTGATGGATTCCTCGCCTTGGAGTGTCAAGATACACTAGTAGAAAACAAATATTTTGTTAGAATTTTCCAACAACTTAAAAGTTATTGCTTCTATGATAGAAGTTCTATCCAACAATATATAATATTTGTTGGAAAATTCCAATAATATTCATACAAATTATACAACGTAATTACCACAACTAAAATTTGTAATGAATTTCTAACGATATAATATTTCTTGGAGATTTTCAACGACTTTCCTACAAAGTATGCAATGTAATTGTCACCATTATAATTTGTTGCAAATTTGCACTGAATTTCCAACAATATAGTATTTGTTGGAAAATTTCCACAATTTTTCTATAAATTATGTGATGTACTTGCCACAACTTAAATTTGTTGGAAATTTACAATAGATTTCTAACAAATATAATACTAAACTTAATTTTATGGGATATTCATTGGAAATTTCCAACAAAATTCGATTGTTAGAAACATTTGTTGGAATATGCCATGTTTTCTAGTAGTAAAAATTAAAAACATTATCGTTTAAAAAGATTTATCAATAGAGGATTTTAAGATTGAATTTGAAATTTCATAAAAAGTTAAATACAAATATTTCAAGATTCAGTTTGTTATAATATTTTCACAAATTTTGAAATATAAAATGAAATTTTATTTCATAATTTCTAAAAAACGATATTAGATATTAACAAATATTTATATTTACTATGAACTAAAATAAAATAATAATAAATTTAAAGTAATTATCATTATGGCCTTTGTTTAGAGCAAGTTTGGAAATATCTAAACAATAGATTGTACATATTAATTTCAAAATATTTTATGTTTTAATTTTTCCTTTTTAACCAGATGTTCCTTAAATAAATCCCTAATATATTGCACACAATGTTTGAAATAATATAAATTAATTATATATTTTGCATTCAAACAAATTGTGCAGCAATAGCAGATCCCTTTTATAGATGTATCTCAAATTTTTAATTTTAGTCCAATCGAATTAATTATGATTAAACAATGAAAAGAAGAATATACAAATTTTAGCTAAGGAAAGAAACATTAATAAATTTGTTAAAATATATTTGTAACTTTAATAGCATACATATTAATCTGCAAAATTTACAGTTAGTATTGTATGGTATATAAAGGTAAGCAAACAAGAATTTAGAACATAATTTTAATAAAATGATATGAGAATAGGAATTACGAGACGAGATAGGAGGGGAACATAAATTAAAAATCAAAGTAAATACCCAACTGGTATGAGTTCGGGTTATGAGAACTATATAAAACAAATTTGTTTACACACATAACCATGTACATACGTTTTCGGTTACACATATTCTATTTATGACGGATACGGGATCGTAATATTTTTATTTCACGTATAAGAGACGGGTTATGGGATGAAGAATTTATGATAGATATATGACGTGATAGGTTTCCCGTTTTAAAATAGTTAAGCCTAGCTAATATATATGAAATAACTCAAACTAAAGTTAAGCTTATTTTATCTTAAATATAATTTCGCACGAAAGTGTAGGTTCGGATCTTAAAATATAACTATGCACTAACGCAACTGAATTTCGTTCATTAGTCTAACTTTATAATATATATACTATTACGAAATTCACTAACACAATAATATATTTTATATTTTTAAAATCTATATAACAATTTTATAAAAATATCTCTACAAGTACGTGTGAATCCAGATCTAATACACTAAAAAATATATCATAAAAACAACAAAATATTCTATGTAGAATTTTTTTAAAATATAAAACCCCGCACGTATATTATTAAAGTAGACACTCCAACTAAAACAGAGGTTTCTGTTGTAATAATAAAACCAAATTAGGCCAATATGTCAACCCCAAATTCAAAAAAATTAAAAAGCTTTCATGGTATCAGAGCCATGGAAAGCTCTTCTAAACCTTTTTGTGCTTCCTCACTGAGCATCTCTTAGTTTTTCTCTCTAAATCCCACTTCTTCCAACTACTTCTTATGGAAGAGTGTTTGAGCTGTTCATTGGTTTTTCGATTGGCCAGATGACGATGAGTCACATGGTTGGTAGAAGCTGAACTTACTGAAGGCAAGAGATGATATAAGTCAGCAGAAAGACGAAATCAAGGTACTTAAAGATTCTTTAAGGGGTAATAAATGAACAATTTGTGAGTGGTTCCACCACTATGAACACTAGTTTAGTGAACAAACACGAAGAAGAAAAGAAAAAGCTGGAAAATGAAGTTATAGCTGATAATGAGAGGGAAACGATGCTTCGAAAGTTCATCGTGTTGCCTTGGGGAGGTTTCATTGTTGTCATTGCGCTGATTTTTGGAATAGGGAAGAAGTAGCTTGCAGTAGTTTCGTGTTATGTATGTTTTTTGAATTTGTTTTTTTTTTTTTCAAGTGTGGACAAAGTTGTTTGTATTTGTTTATTTTGTTGTTTGAATGCCAAAGGAAAACTCTAATTACAAACGCGTACGTAGGGGGGCTACAATACTAGTTTAGCACTCGCACGCGTATCACTCAATTCTTTTTCCTCCTTTTTAATTCGTTTTAATACTCCAGTTTAGCTTTTTTCAAAACAATCAACTCTCAAAAAAAAAAAAAAAAAAAAAAAAAAAAAAAAAAAAAAAAAACCAATCAACTCTCGAAGTTGCATTTATTGTACAACCGTCTTTTTTTGGTGAATAAATTTTACATTTATACAAAAAAAAAAATTACTCTAATTACATATTAAGAACCTAGACATCTACGACTATACGATCGAAGATTTTAGAAAAGAACATAGAAATATTGGATTTCAATATATAAATGATGGGAATGTATAGCGAGAGTCAAAGAGATAGAAGAAAGCTTTGGAGATAGGAGAAGCTCAGACACATTGCGACATGAGTTAACAAGAGACTAGCCTAATTACGGAACAAAAAAAAAAATTACGGAAAGGAATATCTAGAAATTGAGATGATGATGTAATGTAACGAAACTAAAAGCAGCTTTTGTTGTCAAATCTCGTGATCACTTGTGTTTTATTTCCTTACCATTAATTAATGTTGTTAAGTTGTTTTAGTTAGAACTTAGAAGCAGGATTTGGCCTTATGACGAAGAAAAGTATATGTACACTTGAAGAAAACTAATGATCATATGCATGTCAGAAGAATTGTTAGTGTGTTCTTCTTGTCACAAAGACCAAAAAACCTTAGATTCATTCAACAAGGTACTTAGAAGTGATTATTAACAAACAAGGAAAGAACCTTGTTGATGTCGACAGTATAGGTTGGTAATTCACACAAAACTATTTATAGTTTGAGTCCAAATTTAAATTTTAAATGTACTTTGTATTTAGAGTTAACTAAAGACACTGTTTTCCTTTTGGCATTCAAACAACAAACTAAACAAATTCAAAAAACATACATATCACTAAACTACTGCAAGCTACTTCTTCCCTATTCCAAAAATCATCGCAATTAACCCAAGGCAAAACGATGAACTGTCGAAGCACTGTTTCCCTCTCATTTGCTGCTATAAGTAACTTCAATTTCTAGCCTTTTCTTCTCTTCCTCATTTCCTTACTTGCGTTAACGGTTATAAAGTTGTAGGTTCGAATTCACCAACAGTTCAATTTCAAACATAAAATATTTTTAGACCACATATAACAAAATGAGGTATTTATTCCATCTGAAAAGTTTTTATATTAAACATCCAAATAAAAAATAGATAGTTTTTTTTATTGGAACTTTTCTCTAATTAAATTTGATATAAATTTTTTTTCTAAAATAAAGACCGATCCCACCGCTCACATAGACTTGGCTCCACCTTTATCTTTTATATTTGTACTTTGCCTAATTAATAGCAAAATATATTTGTATTGTCTATTAGTATCTTAATAGTGGGTGTTGTTGACAAAGAAAACTAATATATTTCAAGCTATAGGTTTTTGTAGCTAAGGGAGACGATATTTTTATCATTTTATAAGTCATGAAAAGTGGTGTTTCGTTTATGTTTTATTGTGTTCTGACACTCCTCGTTTTAAGCCATGTTAGAGGTAATTTTAGCTTCTTTTTTTTGGTAATATCAATTGTTTATCTAAATATTTTACATGTTAATTATCAATATTTTTTTGTTTATATAACACAACAGAGGTGGAATCCAAGCAAAAACGGATGTGCGAATTCAAAAAACCTTTTCCTGGAAAATGTGGAGACACTGGGAAATTCACATGCTTCATGAAAATTATGGATTTGCCTAACAAGCCAAAAAATATTCCCATACGAAATTTCTATTGTTCTGATATTCCACGCTCTCCTGACCGTATGTGTAAATATATTTACGAATGCTGAGTTTTTTTTTCTATCTCTCTATAATAAAAATCACTTTACCAATAATAAGACGGAAGCTTTCCTGAGAGTTTGGCATCTTCCTTATCGAGGAAGGTCATGTTAGTTTATTGTTTCTTCAAATTATACTACTTTTGATTTTAAAATAAATATAATTCCTGGTTAATATCCAGACTATAATCCTTTTATGGGAAAACGACTTGTGTCCCCATAGGAAGTTTCATATAGTATTACAACTACACAGAATTCGGACCTCGACCGCAGTCCACACAGATCAGAAGTTAAACTCCAGTTTCCCCCCCCAAATCAAAAGTTTGAGACTTTGGTCCCCAAAATTTTGAATTTCGTGGTTTATCTGTGGTTTACTGTACCGAACCGATGCCAAACCAAAACCCAGTAGAATAAACCGAAATCTATCATGTCCAAAAATCTATCATCTTCTTTAAAACTCTTTTCCGGATTCCCAGCTTTGCAATATCCGTCAATCAACGTGTTGTACGTTATCAAAGAAGCAACAATCTTCTTGCAAGCATTTCGTCGAACAACTGTTCTGCATCTTTCATCTTTCTCACTTTACATAACCCATCAATAAGGACATTGTAGATAAACACACTGGGATAGATTCTATCGTGCTTCATCCGATTAAACAGCTCTAAACCTTTACCTACATCGCTCAATTTGACGGTAGCTTGAATTGCTTTCCCATACATGAACTTACTCGGACGAAAATCAGAATCCAGAATATTCAAGAACACGTTTATAGTCACTCTGAATTGTTTCGCCTTCACAAGATGATCAAGCAACAGTGTTAACGAATCTGAGCTGGGAAAAATACCTTCACTCCTCAAAGCGAAGAACAAATCTGCAGCTTCAGAAATCATCTTCGATTCGTTTAATAGCACGGAGAGAAGCAAGTAGGAGAAATCGTGTTTCAACGACGGAGATGATAGCGAGAAGGCGGAGAAGAGTTCTTGTTGAAATTCTCACAATCTCTCTATCTTTCACACTCATTTACGGTTTCATTGTCTTTAGAGAGAAAGAACAAAAACCATTTTACTATAATCTTCTACATTGATAATTGATTGGATCACTCCTTACAAAGCACACATACACATTCATATAGTAGATTTCTTCTACTCACCATACTCACTCTCTTAGACTCTAAACTTAGTCACTATTTGACCTTACTTCTAGACTTTAGACTTAAGCATACAAGCAACCTTACACTAGCTACTAACAATCCCAACAACTCTCAACTACTCTAGCTTAAGTACTTTAGCTAGAATAAGATACATAAGTTAATTCTACGAATGGGCCACAAAGAAACATACTTCACCACTTTGGGCCTATACTAACTTCATCAGCCCAATAAGACAAAACACAAAAACCCACTTCTCTTGTTGACTCTGTCTTTCTTCTCCTTTGTCGTTGACCTCTCTGTCACGACATCTTCTTCTTTTTCACTTGCTTCTTCTTTGCTTTGCTTCTTCATCTTCTGAAGCTTCTTCTTCTCTTTTGCAAGTTCAATCAAGGATACAATTCCAACACTCCCTCTTGGATCCTTGATTGAAATCCCCAATTCCAATTTAGGGATTTGAATCCCTTTGCTTCTTCTTCTTCTCTGGAATCGCCTCTTCCCTGTGCGAGTCCCTTTCACGATCTTTGGCACAGCTCACTAGTAAGCTTGCCTCCTTCATCTCCCTCTTGCTTTGAATCTCCGCGCATCGAGCTTCTTCTTCTCGATTCTTTGTGCGTGAAGTTCTTCTTCTCCCTCTGTCTTCTTTGACCCCTTGATCAATTTCTCTTCCTTGCAGGGACACTTCAACTCTAGGGTTTTCCATGTCTCCTCAAGTCATCTTCTACGTGAGCTCTCCTCACGTTCTCATTTAATTTCTTCTCCGTGACCACTCGTCACGTCTCTTGCTCGGCTGACATTGCAACCGGCTTCAGCTCCCACTGTGGTGAGCTTTTTCTTTGCTTGGTGTCTTCCTTTGATCACCAGCCTCTTCACTCTGTTTTTGATTCTCCGAACCATCACCTGCTTTAGCTTTAGGACACTTTTCCTCTGACTTGAACCACCACCTCGGCTTTCACTACCGTAGTATGGTTGGCTTCTCCTCAAGTCATCACCTTAGCTTTAGCCTTGGTCGTTTGGTTCCTCAAATCTCCACCTTAGTCTTCTTAACCTTAGCTTGATTGGTTTCTTGAATCATCAACCTCGGCACTCTCCGATTTGGTTTGTTTGATTCCTTACACCTCCACTTTGGTCTTTCTAACTTTGGCTTCTCTTTCTCCTTCTCGTTTCAGCTTACGAACCGCTCGGATTCTCAACCTCAACAAGCATCTTCAAGCTTCACCTTCACTGTGCCGGACAAGCAAGGAATTTCGTTTCACAACTCTGTCTCCACCACCGCACTATCTCCACAGCTTCTTCCAGAGATCTCCTTGTCTTCTTGGATGCTCTTGGGGTACGGTCTTGTGGAACAGTTTGTGAAAGATTGATGGTGCTCAGTGCTCTTCCTTGTCACCACCTCTCTTTCCTTCCATTTTTCTCTGACATAGTCTCTGGTTTACTCTTCTCTCTTCTAGCCTTACACATCTCTTCTTTTGTGTAGGCACCTTCTCTTCATCTCTCTCACCAACCACTTACTTCAGTGGCTGCAAGATCTTCAGCTTTGGTGGAGCTTCACACTCAGGTTTGCTCCTTCTCTTCTTCACGGCTTCTTCTTTGCCGACACACCTTCAGCAGCTTCTAGGGCTGCATCATCACTTCTTCTTTTTTTTTTTTTTTTTTTTTTTTTTTTTTTTTTTCTTTGCCGTCTTCTTCTCACGGCCAGCTCTCTTCTTCTTTGATGGCTGTCTCCATCTTCTTCACAGCTTCTACTTCCTTGGACATCCTTTGACAGGCTCCAAGATCAAGTAAGCTCTGATACCATGTTGTAATTCTCACAATCTCTCTATCTTTCACACTCATTTACGGTTTCATTGTCTTTAGAGAGAAAGAACAAAAACCATTTTACTATAATCTTCTACATTGATAATTGATTGGATCACTCCTTACAAAGCACACATACACATTCATATAGTAGATTTCTTCTACTCACCATACTCACTCTCTTAGACTCTAAACTTAGTCACTATTTGACCTTACTTCTAGACTTTAGACTTAAGCATACAAGCAACCTTACACTAGCTACTAACAATCCCAACAACTCTCAACTACTCTAGCTTAAGTACTTTAGCTAGAATAAGATACATAAGTTAATTCTACGAATGGGCCACAAAGAAACATACTTCACCACTTTGGGCCTATACTAACTTCATCAGCCCAATAAGACAAAACACAAAAACCCACTTCTCTTGTTGACTCTGTCTTTCTTCTCCTTTGTCGTTGACCTCTCTGTCACGACATCTTCTTCTTTTTCACTTGCTTCTTCTTTGCTTTGCTTCTTCATCTTCTGAAGCTTCTTCTTCTCTTTTGCAAGTTCAATCAAGGATACAATTCCAACAGTTCTTTCGGCGAGGTGAACGGCGTAGAATCCGACCGAAGCAGCGAAGAGAGAGCGCCACGTGCCGTTTCGATTCGAATCTGCTGGAGAAGAACTCGGAGATTCCTTAGCTTTTCGTGTCGCTCTTCGTCTCCGGTGACGGCATTCGTAGGCGGAGCTTGTGCGGGTTGAGATTCGGATTTGGGGTCGGTGGAGGCTGAGAAGAGACGACATGAGCATGATGCTGAGACAGACTCAGTGAACTTGACGGTGGCGTAACGAGAAGATTTCGAAACGAGTCTTAAGCGAGTCACCATCGTTGAGCTGCCGGAGAACTCGGCAAAATTGAAAGACACCCAAATCTTAACGTAATAAAACCTTATAAATAAAACATATATTTGGAAAATTAATGAAATTTTGAAATTAGTTACAAAATTCATTGCGCGATTATGTTTAATTAAGTTTAAGGATTTCAATTACCAAAAAAAAAGGTTTAGGGATTTCAATTCGGTTTATTCTACTGGGTTTTGATTTGGCATCGGTTCGGTACAGTAAACCACAGATAAACCACGAAATTCAAAATTTTGGGGACCAAGATCTCAAACTTTTGATTTAGGGGGAAACTAGAGTTTAACTTCTGATCTGTGTGGATTGCGGTCGAGGTCCGAATTCTGTGTAGTTGTGATACTATATGAAACTTCCTAGGGGGACACAGATCGTTTTCCCTCCTTTTATATATAAAAATGTTTTTGGCTCTTGGTGGTGACATCAAAAATAGTAGTACCATACAAAGTGGGTGATTGATTGAGCTGTATCTATAAAATTTAAATTATAATGTACATTTCTTTGTTGTACCTTTGTTGGATGTAGCTATATATATTAACTATATATGTAATTTTATATATATATATATATATATGTAATTTTTAGCTATGTATATTTTAAAATAAAAATATGATTGATAGTTATAAGCCTTGTTCTAAAAATCGGGCTAGGCGGCCGATTAATCGGCGCCTAGGCGCTAGGCGGTGCTGTACCGATGGGTTTAATGCATAATCGGTTTAAGAAATCGGTTTACTGATTACACCCCGCGTAAACCCGATTTTTTGGAAAATCGCCGATTTAATAATTTAAAAATTTGGGCTTTAATTCGAATTGGGCCTCAAAATTAATTAAACCCATTTATTTTTCTGGATTTGGAATTTTGGTTTAATGAAACCCACATCCACGTTTTCTTCTTCTCTCCACTCGTGCATTACAGTGAAACCAAACAAAATTAACAAAACCTAAACAAGTTTTTTTCTTAAAAGAATGGAAGAAACCTAATGAACTTTGCTCACATCCCATAATCTCGTCTCTCAAAAATTAGTTCTAACCCTAACAAAATTTGATTTGATTTTGAGCCACTCTTATCTCTAAAATCTCAACATCGGCACTACACAATTCTGCAACTTTCTCTCTGGTGCGTCTTCGTTCTTCTTTTTAGATTTTATACTTTGTTTGCCAATTAGGAATGTGAAGAACGCTTGTGTTTTTCTTGTTGTTCGATTACTTGTTTTTTTTTACTGTGACAGTTTGAATCTTTCTTGATGTTTCTATCATCCTTCGTTTGATTCAATTGTTTGATCATTTGCAGATAATTAAAAAGTCCTAACTAAACAAGAAGTCCAACATATGCTAATTACTTGATCATTGAAGAAATCAAACGAGGAAGAAGTAGTAGTCTTCACTTTTTTGTGACCTTTCACTATTTTTTGTGTGTCTCTAGATCAAGACCATACTATTTTTTGTATAACATGTTGGAACTTTAAATTGTATTTTGAATACCCATTTAGGATGAATGTCATTTTGATATAAAGTAATTTTGCAAAAGTATTGATAAAAGTTTTAAAATATTTTAGTATTTAAATTGTACTAGAAATATTTTAAAAATATATATAATATTGACTAAAAACTAATCCCGATTAATCCCCGTGTAATCTCCGATTTTCTTGCTAGGCGCTAGGCCCACCCTCACCGCCCGACTAGCGCCTAGCGATTTTTTTAACATGGGTTATAAGTTAAAACAGACACTACAAGCAATAATAATAAGAGTTCATTTGAGAAAATACCCTAAACTAAGATTATAATTCAGCCATATATTTTAAACCATCATTGAAGATGATCTCAAACTATCGCCAAACGAAAGCTAACTCAAAGAGGTATCTGGTCTCCAAGTATGAGCTAAATCCGAATATGGAAAGGTTTCCAACAAATGCCAAAGTTCTGAATTTTATGTATGAGATACACCTTTTCATCCTTAAATGACTGTATTTTTCGAACAAGTTTAATCTTTCTCCAAATTATTTTTTAATATGAATTGACTCAATAACAACAACAAAATTTCGGTAAGACACTTAAATTAGAAACTAGAGTCAAAAGTGGTAAAGATTGTTACATATCATTTACTAATGGAGGATCCTCGATATCACTTGGAAAATTTTATTCCTAACTTTGTTATGCAATAGGGTTATTAAAGAAAAATCACCTTATAGCATTTTAGCAATTATATTGACCTGGTTAATTGGTTTTCATATCCAAGCTTCGTAAAAAAAATAAAAACTGATTTTATATAAGATAAATTTTCTAAAATAAAGACCGATCCCACTGATCTCGTAGACTTGGCTCCACCTTTCTTTTTTTTTTCATTCTTTTTTTATCTTTTAACTTTTCCTAATTAATAGCCATATCGTCTGCTAGTATATTAATAGTAGGTGTTGTTGAAAAAAAAACTATATATTTCAGACGAGAATACGACAAGCTATAAGTTTTTGTACCTAAGAGAGGCAATACGTTTATCATTTTCTAAGTCATGAAGTGTGGTGTTTCGTTTATGGTTTATTGTATTCTCGCATACCTTGTTTTAAGCCATGTTAAAGGTAACTTTAGCTTCTTTTTGTGTATTATTAGTTGTTTGTCGAAATATTTTTCATTTTAATAATATTTTTTTGTTGATATAACACAACAGAAGTAGAATCCAAGGGAAAAAGGCTGTGCGAATTCAAGAAATCTTTTCGTGGAAAATGCGGAAAGAATGGAATATTCACATGCTTGAACGACTTTATCAATCTGTCTAACATGCCAAAAAATATGCGCGTAGGAAATTTCAGATGTTTTGATGTTCCACTTTCTCCCGACCATATGTGTAAATATTTTCACGAATGCTGAGCTTTATCTCTCTATAATTAAATTCTCTTCACCAATGAATAATAGTATAGAAGATATAAAGTTATAACGCTTTTTGGATTCTTCCTTACCGAAAAAGGTCAGGTTGGTTTAATGGTTTTTCAAATTATATTACTTTTGATTTTAAATAAGTATCTCTCCGTTAATGTTGAGATCGTAATTCTCTTATACTCCCAGAATCTCTTAATTATTCAAACAAAAAAAAATTAAGATGTCACATCAGAATGAAGAATTCTCAGAAGATGTCACATCAGAATGAAGAGGTGCATCAGAAGATGAATATGCAAAAGGCAAAGATTCATCATGAATTACAGGAGAAGCAATATGAGAAAAGAAAGTATGTATATCATCTGTCAATGTAGAAGATAGAAACGGGAAATATCCTCATTAAGAATGACATGTCTTGAAATTGAAATGACATTGCTCTCCAAATCCAATAAAATAAAACCTCTATAAATTAATACTCGATAAATGAATAACCTTTATAAATTAATCAATTCTTCCAAATTTGAGTTGGGACTAGTGTAAAAACTGACACAAATCGATAAATTAATAAGATAATAATTTTTTTAAAAAATCCTATGTAAACATTTGGTCCTATTAATATTATAAATTAATAATTGTGAAATATGATAAATTAATGAAATATGCCTCTAGTATTGTTTGTTTTTCTTCAATTTGTATCAATTCATGGTAGAATTCAATTCTAATATTTTTACTACATCGAACCATACCAAAAAAAAAAAAAAACTACATCGAATTTTTTTTGTGTTATTTTCTAAACTTAGTATTTGCTTTTCTACTTGTAATTTGTTTTAGAAAGATATTGATTGTAAAGAAAAAATTGCTTTTCACATATAATATTTTTTAAGAAATTACAAAATTAGTAGAATCATCTCTCTATAAATTAATAATTATTAATCTATAGATAAATTAATACCTCTATAAATTACTAGAATTTCTCGGTCCCGACATTATTAATTTATAGAGGTTTTACTGTAATTTGTAACATTTATACCCTGATGGATATCCTAAAAAGATATAGTTTAGCTCTAGGCGTTACAATTCGATCCATCTAGATTATGCAAAACAAGAGTTAAACTTGGATGAAAATGATGCATGTAAGAAGAACGGACTGTGAGAGCTATCGAAGGATTCATCACTAGAGGAGATATTCACAGCTGAGTCACGAGCCGTGTAAGTAACACCAGAGCTTCTACGATTAACAATCGCAGCTCTAAGATTGCCTTGAATCAGAGATTGAGCTTGCCTGGATGCAATTGGAGAAACATAGTCGGGTGAAAAAGGTTGAGCCCTTATTTTGGCACCTTTCTTTGCCATTGATATATATATATTCTTAACATGCAATATATGGTAACTAAGAAAACTCATCTTTTAGGTTTAATTCTAAGTAAGATGAGTTTTCTTAGTTTAGCGACCATGCCAATATAATTACTTAGAATTAAACCTAAAAGATTAGATTTTATACTTTGTTTGCTAATTAGGAATGTGAAGAACGCTTGTGTTTTTCTTGTTGTTCGATTACTTGTTTTTTTTTACTGTGACAGTTTGAATCTTTCTTGATGTTTCTATCATCCTTCGTTTGATTCAATTGTTTGATCATTTGCAGATAATTAAAAAGGCCTAACTAAACAAGAAGTCCAACATATGCTAATTACTTGATCATTGAAGAAATCAAACGAGGAAGAAGTAGTAGTCTTCACTTTTTTGTGACCTTTCACTAATTTTTGTGTGTCTCTAGATCAAGACCATACTATTTTTTGTATAACATGTTGGAACTTTAAATTGTATTTTGAATACCCATTTAGGATGAATGTCATTTTGATATAAAGTAATTTTGCAAAAGTATTGATAAACGTTTTAAAATATTTTAGTATTTAAATTGTACTAGAAATATTTTAAAAATATATAAAATATTGACTAAAAACTAATCCCGATTAATCCCCGTGTAATCTACGATTTTCTTGCTAGGCGCTAGGCCCACCCTCACCGCCCGACTAGCGCCTAGCGATTTTTTTAACATGGGTTATAAGTTAAAACAGACACTACAAGCAATAATAATAAGAGTTCATTTGAGAAAATACCCTAAACTAAGATTATAATTCAGCCATATATTTTAAACCATCATTGAAGATGATCTCAAACTATCGCCAAACGAAAGCTAACTCAAAGAGGTATCTGGTCTCCAAGTATGAGCTAAATCCGAATATGGAAAGGTTTCCAACAAATGCCAAAGTTCTGAATTTTATGTATGAGATACACCTTTTCATCCTTAAATGACTGTATTTTTCGAACAAGTTTAATCTTTCTCCAAATTATTTTTTAATATGAATTGACTCAATAACAACAACAAAATTTCGGTAAGACACTTAAATTAGAAACTAGAGTCAAAAGTGGTAAAGATTGTTACATATCATTTACTAATGGAGGATCCTCGATATCACTTGGAAAATTTTATTCCTAACTTTGTTATGCAATAGGGTTATTAAAGAAAAATCACCTTATAGCATTTTAGCAATTATATTGACCTGGTTAATTGGTTTTCATATCCAAGCTTCGTAAAAAAAAAAAAAACTGATTTTATATAAGATAAATTTTCTAAAATAAAGACCGATCCCACTGATCTCGTAGACTTGGCTCCACCTTTCTTTTTTTTTTCTTTCTTTTTTTATCTTTTAACTTTTCCTAATTAATAGCCATATCGTCTGCTAGTATATTAATAGTAGGTGTTGTTGAAAAAAAACTATATATTTCAGACGAGAATACGACAAGCTATAAGTTTTTGTACCTAAGAGAGGCAATACGTTTATCATTTTCTAAGTCATGAAGTGTGGTGTTTCGTTTATGGTTTATTGTATTCTCGCATACCTTGTTTTAAGCCATGTTAAAGGTAACTTTAGCTTCTTTTTGTGTATTATTAGTTGTTTGTCGAAATATTTTTCATTTTAATAATATTTTTTTGTTGATATAACACAACAGAAGTGGAATCCAAGGGAAAAAGGCTGTGCGAATTCAAGAAATCTTTTCGTGGAAAATGCGGAAAGAATGGAATATTCACATGCTTGAACGACTTTATCAATCTGTCTAACATGCCAAAAAATATGCGCGTAGGAAATTTCAGATGTTTTGATGTTCCACTTTCTCCCGACCATATGTGTAAATATTTTCACGAATGCTGAGCTTTATCTCTCTATAATTAAATTCTCTTCACCAATGAATAATAGTATAGAAAATATAAAGTTATAACGCTTTTTGGATTCTTCCTTACCGAAAAAGGTCAGGTTGGTTTAATGGTTTTTCAAATTATATTACTTTTGATTTTAAATAAGTATCTCTCCGTTAATGTTGAGATCGTAATTCTCTTATACTCCTAGAATCTCTTAATTATTCAAACAAAAAAAAAATTAAGATGTCACATCAGAATGAAGAATTCTCAGAAGATGTCACATCAGAATGAAGAGGTGCATCAGAAGATGAATATGCAAAAGGCAAAGATTCATCAGGAATTACAGGAGAAGCAATATGAGAAAAGAAAGTATGTATATCATCTGTCAATGTAGAAGATAGAAACAGGAAATATCCTCATTAAGAATGACATGTCTTGAAATTGAAATGACATTGCTCTCCAAATCCAATAAAATAAAACCTCTATAAATTAATACTCGATAAATGAATAACCTTTATAAATTAATCAATTCTTCCAAATTTGAGTTGGGACTAGTGTAAAAACTGACACAAATCGATAAATTAATAAGATAATAATTTTTTTTAAAAATCCTATGTAAACATTTGGTCCTATTAATATCATAAATTAATAATTGTGAATTTATCAATATATTTAATATGATAAATTAATGAAATATGCCTCTAGTATTGTTTGTTTTTCTTCAATTTGTATCAATTCATGGTAGAATTCAATTCTAATATTTTTACTACATCGAACCATACCAAAAAAAAAAAAAAACTACATCGAATTTTTTTTGTGTTATTTTCTAAACTTAGTAATTGCTTTTCTACTTGTAATTTGTTTCAGAAAGATATTGATTGTAAAGAAAAAATTGCTTTTCAAATATAATATTTTTTAAGAAATTACAAAATTAGTAGAATCATCTCTCTATAAATTAATAATTATTAATCTATCGATAAATTAATACCTCTATAAATTACTAGAATTTCTCGGTCCCGACATTATTAATTTATAGAGGTTTTACTGTAATTTGTAACCTTTATACCCTGATGGATATCCTAAAAAGATATAGTTTAGCTCTAGGCGTTACAATTCGATCCATCTAGATTATGCAAAACAAGAGTTAAACTTGGATGAAAATGATGCATGTAAGAAGAACGGACTGTGAGAGCTATCGAAGGATTCATCACTAGAGGAGATATTCACAGCTGAGTCACGAGCCGTGTAAGTAACACCAGAGCTTCTACGATTAACAATCGCAGCTCTAAGATTGCCTTGAATCAGAGATTGAGCTTGCCTGGATGCAATTGGAGAAACATAATCGGGTGAAAAAGGTTGAGCCCTTATTTTGGCACCTTTCTTTGCCATTGATATATATATATTCTTAACATGCAATATATGGTAACTAAGAAAACTCATCTTTTAGGTTTAATTCTAAGTAATTATATTGGCACGGTCGCTAAACTAAGAAAACTCATCTTTTAGGTTTAATCTTTTTGGATTTTGAAATGATATTAATCAAAACAAATGATGATTTGAAGTACTAATCAAGCAAACTTATCATCCTTAACAAAAAGATCATCCTAAACAACCAACAAACAGTATTCAAAAGCAAGTTCGAACTCAGGATTTTTTTCTTTCATGAAGAGGAAAAGCTTCTTCATCTCAGCTTGAGACTCTCGGTGTTCCTGATCACAGCATGCATTCTCAGACTCGTGTTCATAAATCGTGCGCCGAAGTTGATCTTGAAGCTCCACAAGAGTTGCTGCAGAAGAGCTCGCATAACTCTCTTTCCATTCTTATACTTTTGTGTCTTGACCAAAATGCATCCTTATGTTATGAGTTTGACAGCAAATTCAGAATTTTGACGCTTACCTAGAGCATAAAACATAAACTGATGTTGATTAGAGCTTAAAACACCTACCAAAAAACAAACAAAAACTGATGTTGATCTCTCTAACCCAAATTTCTTTTTTGAGAGGTGGATCAATTAATCAGACCTGGCGTTGCAGTTCAATGGCTGCAAACATGTTCCTTGCACCCTGTAATGTGTCCACATCAGCACATTAGATTATATCTTTCTTAGGTTATAAAAAGATATGTTTTATACATTAATAATACCAAAATCTCACAGAAGAAAAATTGCATGACTGTTTTCTTTGGTAATATACTCTTTGAAGTTGATACCTCAACCACCTATATTATAAACCCAACACAGCAACGTAAGAACTAAAAGACTTGTATCCAAATATACAACGACCGAAAGTAGTCAAACTTAACTAAACAATAAAAGAACTAAAAAAGTTTGTTTTTTCTTAATGAGTCCTACTACTCCAGACAATCTAAAACTTCAATACAAGAAGATTCTCATGTCTTCACCATACCAATCAACAAGTTTAACTTTATTAAGTCAATCAAAGACTAAAGCAAGCAACATAAATCAAAGACTAAAGCAAGCAACATATCCAACAAAGTCTCAATCTACCAAAACTACCAGACTTAACAGGAAAGAACAAGGACAAGAAAGAAACCTTATCGACGTAGGGCCACATGTACGAGAGAAAGAAATCTGTTAAACCAGTCCACCTTAATGTAAACAATAAAAAGAACAATCAGTTCAAATAATCGATGGTAGCTAGATCAAAAGTTCAATGCTTTAATTCAAAAAAAGGCTCGCAGATTAACAATCAACCAACGAAAAATCGAGTGAATCATTAAGTTACCCATATGACCAAAACAAACAAAACAAACCTCAAACATGAAGAGTTAGATTAAGATGCGACAAGTGTGTTTGATTGATGTTTTAACTTGCTCATCAGCACAAACAGAGAATAGATTCGGCGGTTTCTGAACCGGCTCCCATGGTCATTCAAGCTCAGCCACCGCCGCTTTAAGCTCGGCGCGTTTCCGCATCTCACAAATCTGGCGTTCTCGGTATAATTTCGCCATGAGGAGTTGTTTCTGTTTCTTCGCTTGACCTCCCTCCTCGTCCTCGACTTGATTTTCCCATATTTGCCATAAAATCAGTTTCAATTGAGATAGAAGAGAGAAATTCGAAGAGAGAATAGAAGGAAATCGAAGAGGATTGAAGGAAGAGGAGAGAAAAGTAAGAGATCAGATGGGAAAAATACCTAAGTTTTGGATACAACTAAAGTGTCGATTGATTTTGGGTTTTGTCTAAAACCATCCTAAGTCTCAAACCCAAATTAAAAAAGCGGAGCCAAAATTTTCATTCAGTTTGAAAAGAAAACTAAAAATAGTCACAAATAAGTCGCAAAGTGGTCTTTTATGACATATTCTTAAGAATCATAATTTTATTTTCTTAAATTACAAAACTTAAGACACAAAGAAAATCTATATGTTATAATCAATAAAATTACAATACAAAACAAAAACAAGATCAATTAGTCTAATGAGTTAAAACATGAAATGCAAAAAAATTTAAGAAATTTCAAAATCATTAGTAACATTACATATAACACTTGTGTAATGTTCAAAACCTTGTGCAAACCATAGAAAACTTAAAGTTTTTTGGCATAATAATGATTCAGTATCTATAGTAATTCAAATCAATATAGAAACCTTAAAACTTAACATGAAATTCAATGAATTTAGGACATTTCAAAAGTATTAGTTGACATTACATATACCATGATGT